GGGGTTTGTCCGAAAAGTGGGTATGGTGACTGAATACGACTTTGTGTGTGCTCTCCGCGAGGATTCCGGAAATAATAAAAGAACTAAAATCATCTGTTGCTTGGGAAGTCCCAGGTAGAGGCTCTCGGATCAGCAATCCAGAAATTCACGACAGCCGATCGTAAGGGGTCTGGTCGTCACTGTTAGATCTGAGGCCTACAATTCATTCCTAGTCTTTTAATTTACCATCTGTGGATCTTAAGCTTATCACATATTATCTATGTTTTAAAGGAAGGGGATAGCCGCGTCGTAGAATGCATCATAGCAAATATCCGGTCCCCCGACAGTCCCATCCAGATCGGGGGAGGGCGTGAAAGATCCATTCAACGGCAGTCAGCATTTCCAGCCCAAAAAAGTTGAAAGCGGTTAGTTTTTGTAGAGACGGCATGTAAGGTAGTGTGTTGAAAACTTATCAAACGAACAAGTCATGATAGAGTGTCAAGTATTCATGCTATCCACGGTCCTATATTCGCTAACTGTTACCTGCCTAAGCACCTTTTTCTTTTTGATTGCGGCTACAGTATTCAACAACAAGAACTTGCCTCTGGCGTCAAAAGTTGACTTGAGGTTCATGAACCATGTCGATCTCATCAAAGTCATCTCTCAAACAGTCAAGACTGAGAGAATGATGATTTTTTGGAAGAATCTCACCTGCGACCTGAGATCAGAGGGAGTGATTATTAGCAATAAAATCTAGGCAAAAGCTATTAGATCAGAAGCTATGATAGATGCACTTGCGAAAGCGACGATTTCCCAACCCTCAAAAGTGAAGATCACGGCTAGCAAAGCTTTCGCTATCATTAAAGGGCAGTTCGCTATCCCACTCTTTCCTTCTATCATCAGAAGCTGCCCTTCTGAAAGCAGCCAGTGCCCCACTCACAATCTCGTCGACCAGGTCGAGGTGAGTGCATAGCCTAGCGCTTTGGGTGTTCTTGAGATTGGCGTATTGACAGCGCCAAGTTCTTAGGTCTCGCCTACCTACTCATTTAAGAACAGAATGCGCAGAAAGCAGCGGGTCATGGGAGGCGATGAGTGAACTTGTCACGGCAGACTGTAGATGGGAAGAACACCGCCTTCAATACCTTACTGAAAGTAGGTGGGAGGGAGCTAAGCGGCTTAAAGCAGAATATTTACAGTGCTGCGCTGTTATAAGTACTGTTCATCGAAATCTAGCCTACTTCTAGGCAAATCCCCCGCATGAATATCGCATAGCCACTGTGGTTGCACTAGGTAAACTAGGGTGGTTTTCCATTCGCGGATGCAGTGGCTGAGGATGTTATGTACAGCAGTGGTGACATCCTCTAGGCTAGCTCAGGCTGGCCGACTTAGCTAAATAACTACACTCAAATCTTCCACCAAACCCTTTTTGTGAGCGATAATCGTACAACTGACTCACCTAGAGATAGATGTAGCAGAAAGGGCTACCTCCGAGTGTACTGAGCAAGTCACTAATAGGCCGGTTGGCAGCATTCGGCTCCTGGATCACGAGATCATCGAGGCGAGCGTCGCGGCTGGGAGGTGTGTTCAGGATTGTAATCGTTCCCGCAATGTTGAAAGCCTCGCCAAAATGAAGCGCCTGCCACAGCCAGTAGACTCGGTCGACCATGGCATGGTGGAGGAAGAAAGTCGGGTCATTGGTGGAAGAGTACAAGTCAGACGCTTCCCCATTGACAATCATGTGTCCAGAAGTATGCGTGCCTGCTTGCGGTCAGATCCATGACTCAACTTAGTTGAGGCGAGGGAGACTTACCCAGAAATCCATCACCAAAGCGACCTTGAAGCTCGTTTTGGAACGTGAGGACGTTCGCTGCAGCGGCCCCTATGGTAAGGTTGAAGACGTTCTCAGGAGTCATCCAATGCCGGGATGTCCAAGCGCTGATGTCTCTGGAGAGACAGCGAGGATTGTAGGCAAGGGGACCGCCAGGGTTGGCGGCGAGTCCATCGATACCGGGCCCGACAGGGCCAAGATAAACGGTCATGCTTGAGAAATTGATCAGCTTTGTGTCTTTTCTCTCTGAAAAAGGCTTGAGCCAGTCGGCAGCAAGTTGAATCGCGGGCGGCAAGCGACTCACTTGGCGAAAGGGCCGCTTGTAACGCAACCACCTCCATCTCCAGAGGGGATGTAAACACCACCCGATATGCTTCCGTTATGATATTTGAAGGCACCATTGCCACCCATGCTGGTCTCGCTACCATCGAACATGGGCGCCTTGGATGGATCTTCTCGGTAGGAGAGCCAGTTCCAGTACTAACAGGAGACACTATTAACCTTGTAAACCCGTATTGATTTCTTCCAGCATCGTCCACTTACCGGCTGGTACCCTTTGTAACCGCATTCCTGCCTCAAAGCATTCTCGTAGGCCCATATAAAGTAACGATGCCATGTAAGAAAGTTGCCAGTTCCGTGAATGCTTAAGGTCTGGTTGATATGAACAGCAACAAAGTCGTCATACCGGCTGCGAGCGCCGGGAGCAAAATCGGTAAGCTTGGAAGGCTTCGTCAATAGGCAATTGACGGCGCTGGTGTAAGCCTTTTTCTCGGATCCAGAAAGCGAGTTCCTAGGAGTATGTTATCAGCGATCAACTCCTGGTTCTCCGGTGATAGTGGCGAACCAATCTCGTCGAACACGCGCGCTGAAGAGGTTGCATGAGCCTCTCTTGCCAAAGGTACCGTTCCCCTCCGCCGCTTGCAGAGCTTCGATTGCCTGGGCCTGGATTCCAGAAAGCTCGTCTCCGTCATAGGCAAGCGAAGTCGCACCGTAAAAGCCCAAGACCGCAAAGAGATTGAAGGAACGCATGGCGAATTGGCTAACGGTGTTCCAGGCGGGGGGAGTCCGGGTTCGGAAGTCCGTCAGATGGAGAGCAATGGAGAGCACTGAGCAGGCAGAGGGGAAGAGACAGATGCATTAATTGCTGCGGCAATTGTTATTTATCTTCAATTCCAGGGCCGCGGGGAGACCTTCTGTCACCCATGCCGAAATAGCGTCGGCGCAGTGAGATGAGAACGGCACGCTTCCGAGAAGTGCTAAAGAGCCACAAGGACCGGGAGGCAAAATTTTGATAGGCGTCAAACCCAGGCGGTATGGTTTGAATGGTGGATGCGTGATCGCCAACACGAAGAAGCGCCTTTAACCTTGACCTTGCACGCATGGTACATCAATCGTTGGTTGGCTGTTGTGGACCTTCTCCGAGGTCGTGACACGCTCGACTTCATATGAGCCGGCATGGATCGAAGTAGAATCCCGGGCATGCTGGTAACAGCGTTGCATTGCCGGTCAGCGCTAATGATAACATGTAAGCGACAGTGACTGCTAACTCATAATAGTATCGGGTGAATGACTCTTCTTCCCTTCCGCTTTCCTATACCCATCTTGCAATCGTCTTCTCGAAATTGTGCTGTACGAATCGTGAACGAAGGTTGCGGCCTTGCATCTGTGATGCATATGCCCCGGTAGTCCGGGTTTTCGAGCGGGGCCCCGGCAACGGGACCGGCTCGGACAAGGTTCTCCTTCGGGTGAGTACGACGAGCCAATGACCTTAGCATCCAATCAAGTGCCGGTTCACCATCATCCAACTCAGGCTAGAAGCATCCCTAGATCCGCTGCTTGAAAACCGAATTAACCGATGCTATTGAGGAGGTGGTCGTAGCCAGAGAAGAGGCAAAAGTTACTCAGATACTTTCCTTCAGCAAATAATGCCCATGTTAATTTTAGATGACTGCAGTACGAACCATGCACTTGTAATTGGATATAGAAATTGGACTCAGGGTCGATAGGGTACTCTGGTTCAAAGTTTGGCCCAAGTCCGCCCTTTTGGTAGTTTCTGATCTCTACCGAAACGATTTTCTCAATTTGCCAAGTATTGGTGGCATGAGCAAACACTAAAAACGCCTCAAAATGCCCTAGTCGTTTTGATCATGATTAAACTTGTTCAATATTTCCCATGTTACATCCAGCAACTTAGTGAAAATTTCCATCCCGCTGCCTCTGTTGAGGTCCAGCCGCAGTCCCTGTTATTCTCAGTCTCTTTGGGCTAGGATCGGTGTCATTTCCGCTGACGTTGATTCAAAAACAGGTCCCCGACTTTTAGCTTGCATGCACTTAGGTAAGTAGCACGGGCACGGGAAGTGGGCATCCAGCCCGTAACAAAATGTGTTATGTGTACCTACAATATTTCCATGTCTCCCAGTGATAAGCTGTCATGGTGCTCAATGACGTTGGGCTTATTCAGCAGGTCTAAGTCGATAAACTGGATACAACAAAATTTTAATATAACTTTTTTAGCATTGGACATAAGCCACAGGCTTGGCCTGAGCTTAGCAAGCATACGCAGGTAGGGCATCTTACTGCTGCGTTCGATATTGAGTTGAAATTTGATTATGGCGTAAAGGCAGCGGTTGCTAGTGCTTCTTCGATGTTCACCGTGTCTTTGAGGCCCTTGATCACAACGTCAAGTTTGATATAAGGATCATCGTCGGGCAGGAAGCCTGTCGGGTATGGCACGCACTGAGGAGCAAGTCAGCGAGGGAGACTCAATCTCAACCGGATAAAGGGCTGACTCACAATCACTGGGACCTGGCGATGTTTAAGTAAAATGGTTCGGCTTTAGCCGGCATGTCGTATCTACATATAATCCTGACATTGATGATGTTGACGGCCGTATTGATTGAAAAGGGCACCACCCACTGTCGACATCGAGACACTTAGAAAGTGCGAACACACATGCAATGGGTACTAAGCCCAGTATCATCCAAGAAGTGCGCCTCTTTTGAAAGTTGACTTCGTTACCAGGGGAGGAATGAGCAGGATAAGAGCAATCGAGTGAAGTTCAAGGATGGAAATAAAGATGCAATCAGGCAAATGGTACAAAATTGGAGTTATAAACTAGCAAAGTAGTTTACAAATTCAGATCCTCCAAGTGGAAGATCTCTAATATAATAGCAGCGTTGAGACCGTGAGGACTTTCCGTTGATTCTTATAATAACAGATAGCTAATACAATTTAAGAGTCGGCTGCAGCAGGTCTCTTGCGGAGTCCTTATACAAATATCGACCTTTAACGTTAGTTTGTTTTGTGGCTTAAACCCCTAATTCTTATAATCTTTATTATAAGCCACTTTCCCGGATCCTTCACGAGCAGCAGTTCGCGGCTGACTTGGCGGCTCTTCACGTTCCGGAGGTCAAAGCTTTTTAAAGATTGAAGTCTGTAGGCTCACCGTTGGCTTGGGAGGTTTTTGAAATTATTCAGCGGGCTCTTTGTCCATATTGTCCAACTGATGTTTCCGCGGTCTAGATTCACGTTGCTTATGAGTCAAAATTGTCGCAAAGTCCTCAAGTCATGACGAAACTGTCGCTAAGATCGGAAGATGGCAGGCTTGGCGCATTTATCCCGAAGTCAATCGGACATGATGCTAGGTACCTTGAGAAACTCAACCTTATCTCCACAAGCCTCAAAGCGTATCGAGAAGGAAATCAGAACTCAATCATCTCACACTAGCATGCATGTCGCAGCAAACTAAATTTGCCCCCCTTGGAGAAAAATTCCAGGCTTTGTACTTGAGAGTAACAAAGATGCACCTCTGGTGTGCTGTAAACGGGATGACGCGTCTGAATCAACGCGGTATCAAGTAGAAGAAAGTGGGAGAACCAGCTTCAACGACCAGGTACTCGGAAATTTGAAACTTACCGAATGATACAGATAAAAATATCTCTTCACGTGACCTTCAGATAATGTGGCACACTTCATCAGATGGCAGATGCTCTGAACTTGAACCCACAAAACTTTAGAGACACGAACCTGCTTTGGCTATTGCGGAGTAAACCGTCGCTGTCTGTATCTTGGCAACGTGACAAACCAGCTTTAACCATGCTACCATTTACACCAAGTGCAGGCTTTGAAATGTTCGGCCAATTAAAATAAGTGTCAAAAGGTTTGGCGAATTAACTTGAAGGTAAGGTAGTGAGGTGAATGGGTACTTTTGTATCCGTACTGGCTCAAAAGTCCCATCCCCAGGTTGAGCCACGAGTTCATATATATCAAGTCAGGTCTCCCATTACGAGCAGAAACGAGCTTTTGCGGCCTTTTAAAGACTCGCTCGACGAGGAATGAATCATGAAAAATTGTGGCTGGAACATTGTCACATTGTCATTGGCGTACCGGAGGCTCAACCCCGTTGGGTTGCAATGCCAAGAAGGTCCACGGTGTAACCGAGCTGCGCAATCGCATTGGCGCGTACGGCCGTTCCTGGATCAGGCAGGTCGCGATAGAGTCGCAATGGAGCAGAAGAAAATATTGGCTCTGGGCTTCCTCATTAAGTCTTTCGTCCCCGCGTTTCTGGGTAGCCTAGTACGCGTCGAGGTTAATTGACAGTGGCTCGGGTCGGTGAGGAGCCAGCAACATCGCCAGCTTCCTTATCTATCGCCTTGGCGATGATGACGCGAGGGGAAACATGCATGTGTCGCTCCAGTTCCGTGGTTATGGGAAGTCTAAAAAAGCCAACAAGCTGCTGCTATCCGTCTCTCTCGTGGAAAGCACCTCCTTCCGTTGCTCGCTTGCCCGCTCACCGATCCGGCTCTGGTTCCCAGTCAACTCACGACAGGTCTTCTGCTCACTCTTGTTCAGGATATCATCCATCGTGCTCTGATAGCCCACGATGAGGACGGCTGCTCTCGTATTGGCCTTGCCGGCGCTGGTCAGCGCCGTCAAGTGCAAGCCCTACGTCGAATCCGAGAAGCTCCAGGAGCTCATCAAGATCGAAGACCTGCTCGCCGGCTCCCAGAAACTTCAAGACATTGCGGACGCGCACGAGGGCAACCGCGCCTTTGGTGGCGGCGGTCACAATGCCACGGTGGACTGGCTGGTCGAAGAGCTCGAGAAGCTCGACTACTACGACGTCTACAAGCAGCCCTTCACCGAGGCCTTTGCCGGCGCCAAGGCAACCTTCTCTGTCGGAGGCAACACCATCGATGCCCGGCCCCTGACCTACACCCCTGGCGGCGTCCTGACCGGCGCGACCTTGGTCAAAGTTGTCAACCTGGGCTGTGAGGCGTCGGATTTCCCTGCCGAGGTCTCTGGCGCTGTTGCGCTCGTGTCGAGAGGCACTTGCAACTTTTCGGTGAAGGCCACCCTCGCCAAGGCTGCTGGCGCGATTGCAGCCATCATTTACAACAATGACGTCGGCGCGCTTTCTGGAACTTTGGGCGCGGCCTCGGATGGATATGTCCCAACTGTGGGCATTACGCGAGAGGAAGGACAAGCCCTTGTTGCTTCTCTTGCCGCTGGTGAAGAGCTTACTCTCGATCTCAACGTTGTTTCAATCATTGAAAATCGCGTAAACTACAACGTCATCGCAGAGACGAGGGGCGGAGACCACGACAATGTCCTCATGATTGGAGGCCACTCTGACTCTGTTTTTGCCGGCCCTGGTATCAAGTGAGTTACTTTCTGTTTCTTCGGAGATGATCGAGGGAAGACGTTAACCAACTTTCTCTTCCAGCGACGACGGCTCCGGTACCGTTGGTGTTCTCACTGTCGCCAAAGCCCTCACCCAGTTCACTACCAAGAACGCCGTTCGACTTGGATTCTGGGGTGCGGAGGAGTACGGCAAGCTTGGCTCCTACTTTTACGTCAAGTCTCTCAACAGCTCCGAGGAAGAAATCTCCAAGATCCGCGCGTACCTCAACTTTGACATGATTGCCAGCCCCAACCCCAAGCTCGCCATCTACGACGGTGATGGCAGCGCCTTTAACTTCGCTGGCCCTGCCGGATCCGACGTCATCGAGAAGGACTTTGAGGAGTTCTTCGAGTCCAAGGGTCTGGGACACGTCCCCACCGAGTTCAACGGCCGCTCCGACTACGCCGGGTTCATCGAGAACGGCATCCCGTCTGGTGGATTGTTCACCGGTGCCGAGGGCCTCAAGACGGAAGCCGAGGCTGCCTTATTCGGTGGTGAGGTCGGTGTTGCCTACGACGTCAATTACCACCTGGTTGGCGACGACATCACCAACCTGGACAACGACGCGTACCTCGTCAACACCAAGGCGATTGCTCACAGTGTCGCAAAGTACGCCATAAGCTGGGAGTCTCTCCCTGCTGTCGAGCTGAAGAAGCGCAGATGGGCTGCAGACACGGCCCAGTACCTCAAGCGCGCTGCTGAGTTGACTGGTCACTCCCACGACGGACCCTGTGGTGGCGGCTCGCACTTCTGAGGCAGATGCACCCGACTTACTGATCTCAAGGAATGGGCCCTACTTGAGCCATGGGCATCTACCACATGAAAGGATTAAAAATAGAAGACAAATGAATGGATGGAAGAGACTTCATGTCTTTCCCCTGGCATTGCGTGACTGGTTGTGACATTGTGCCCAGGGCTTACTCGTAGACCGAATCCTTCGCTGGTCAGCATCGAACGACACTCTAGTTGCCATACTAGTCGACGAGGCATTCCGCTTTCGGCCAATGAAACTGCCTAGAGTACCCAGTCTTTACGGAGAGTAAGTGACAGATGGTACTTTTGCGGTACTTTTGCACAACCAACTCCTCATCACCAATTGAGAGAAAATAAGTCAAGGTATGTCGGACACAGACAATTCTGGCAAGGCTAGATGAAACTGGTTGTCATTTTGGAGGGTGCCTCCGGCCTCCGCGACAGGACATGGGCAGACTTACCTGACAGCATGCATATCTCGGCTATCGCAAAAAAAGTCATGTGGGCACCATCTTCAAGCCGTTGGAACTTGTCAAACCGTTGTCGAGCAGCCCACATAAGGCTCTCAACCCATGGCGTCTTCTCCGTGTGCCCCATCATGTTAGGCAACGATTTTCTGCCTGCTCAACGAAGATAGCCTTGTTCAATCAGCTGAGGACGTGACTGCATCGTTGTGATCTTACTAACGGAGGCGAAGCAGTGCGGCACAGACTTGGCCGAGGTCTAGGCGAGAAGCAATTGAGAAGTACGACCGAACCGGATAAGCAAAGTCATCACATCCGAACACCAATCACGCCCTCGAAATAACAACATCCTTCAGAATCGATGCCTACGGCCGCAAGTAAGCCGCTCTTCGTTGCCCGTTGGGGGCCGTTTTCCCCCCCAAGAAACCCTAGAAACACCGTTGGTCGACCCCTGGAACGGGCGCGAACCCTGGTTCGCCGGAAAAGCCCAAAGAAGTCTAAAGCCTTCTCCGCTGACAAGGAACTGGAAACACAGCGGGCAGGCTCGCACTCCGTCTTCTTCGCCGGGCATCTCCGGTCGATGATGGCGAGGCCAAAATCCTTCCAACATTGGCAGCACTGCAGCAGGCTGTAGGGCGACCTATGAGGCTCGGGCTTGGCGCCTGGAGGAGCACCGGTCGACCACAGGCTTGGACAGGGTGCGGCGAAGACGACCGCTTCCGCGATCTCACCGGGCGAGTTGTCGTGGGGGCCCAGTCTGAATCTTGTTTCCACTTTTGTCTAGGCAACCCTTCAGTCCCTTCACGATGAACCGGATCAAGACCTGTCTGGTCACACTGCATGTCTTCATGGATCTTGGCAACCTGCATAGGGCTGCAGCGGCTATGTCATTTTGCTCTTCGGGTTAGAAGAGTTGGTGGTCATGTATCTTCGTACATCGTGCCTGTGCCTCCTACGCCTCGACTCTCCATGCTCTTATCTTGGCCCAGAGGAGGATGTTCAGTCGTCTATTTAAACGTGAGTTTCTCTCACTTTGTTTCATTGTATTCTAGTTCTATTATCTTCAGACAATACTTCAATCTCCTGATCCTCAGCTTTGTTCGAGTCTCCATTACCACAATTGGATCCAGTTTGAGGATCTACAACACGCCTTTGCCACAGCCTTATTCTCACGCAGCGAGATCTCCTACTTCACAAAGATATCTTGGTTAAATCCTTTTGTTCAATATGAAACAAGATTCCATCTTACCGACTCATGGACCCAGTCCTACTAGTCCTCCGGCCCGCCGTCCCGCTGGACGCGCTCTCTTGGTAGTCCTATTTACCAGCATCCTAGTACTGTCCTTTTTCAAGGGCGAAACAATCTTGTCAGCAGTAAGCCATCCTATAGAATTCTTCAAGCTGGCTTCCTTTGTCAGCGTTTCCAACTTGATCATTCTAACTTTATATCAGATCACTGAGAACGTAAAAGGCTGCGGGCGTGAAACTCACGGGGCACAAAATGTCGCTACGCTCCGTGCCCGGGACGTTAGCCTCCTGCAAGAAGACACTGCCGTCTCTACAGATGGACGGTCCGGATACAACCGCAGGGATGAGGACACTGCCATCACAACGGACGGGCGCTCTGGCTACAACCGTCGGGACGACACTGCTATTACCACGGACGGTCGTTCTGGATACAACCGTCGTGGTGAAGACGCAGTTGTCGGTACCGACGGACGTTCCGGATATAATCGACGCGGCAATCGCAAGGAGACCTCTGATATTACCACCAATGGTCGTTCTGGATACAACCGCCGCGAACAAGACACAGCTATTACTACCGACGGACGATCTGGCTACAACAAGCGTGAAGAAGCGTCTGGCATTACCACTGATGGCCGTTCTGGGTATAACCGTCGTGATCAAGATGCTGTTGTCACCACTGACGGACGGTCCGGATATAACCGACGTGAGGAGGAGCTGGACTCCTCTACTGATGGGCGCTCCGGATATAACAAGCGTGAGGAAACCTCTACTGTCACGACCGATGGACGCTCGGGGTACAACCGTCGTCAAGAAAACTCTGCCGTCACAACTGATGGTCGATCTGGCTACAACCGTCGAGGAGATGATGCTGAGAGCACAACCGATGGACGATCTGGGTACAATAAGCGCAAGGAAGCCTCTGCCATCGGTACTGATGGACGGTCCGGATACAATCGCCGGGAGAATGACGCATCGAGCACGACGGACGGACGTTCTGGCTACAACCGCCGTCAAGAAGACCCTGTCGCGACCACAGATGGTCGATCCGGTTACAACCGTCGCGAGGAAACAGACGGTCGCTCGGGGTACAATAGCGTGGAAGATGGGCGCTCCGGGTACAATCGTCGTGAGGAGACCTCAGATGTCTCCACTGATGGGCGATCCGGCTACAACAAGCGGGAGGAGGAGGACGGCCGCTCCGGGTACAACAGGCGCGAGGAAGCCTCTGCCATCACCACCGATGGACGTTCTGGCTACAACCGCGCAGTTTGACCCTAAAGGACACCGTTATCCGGTACATTCACTGCGCGATGTACCCCTGTTTACATGTAGATATACACACATCGAGCTCAAGCTCCGGTATCAACTATAAATAGTTGCTCAGACCTAGATTGACCACAAATCGTTTCATTTCATCAACTCATTCGTATTCAAGTGGCTCGAGAGTACAGACTTTTGATCCTTAAGGAACAAAAGTTTTTGCTTATGCTCATCCAAATGTATTGCCGACACCCTAGATATCAGTGCCCTAAACAATATTTGGTAGACACTGAAATGGATCAACCGTAGTTGTGGCAAATCTGGAGTAACACGACCGGACTCCCCCATCAATTGTACATCTTCATGAAGCTGCCTAGAGCGCCGATGCTACGAAGAGGCACCTAGACTTGTAACATCGTGTCGTAGAGATGCCTTGTCTCGAATGCTATCCGCCATGTTCTCGGAGGAGTCGACTGCTAAAGCGGAGGACGCCGCCATCAGCCAAGCTTTATTCCCGCAAATTCACGGAAGGAGAATGCATCGTACTAGGCTACAAGCCAAAGGATTCCCGCCAGCGGTGGATCTGCTCTGGGACCAGCAAAAATTCCTGTAGGTGTCATTGTTTTCATTCCAAACAAGCCGGTGTATAAGCAATCTGCCATCGGCAAAAGCGTCCTACACCACCCTCACGATAAACGCCCCTTTTGCCACCAACTCCCCTGAACCTCTTCACCTGCCTTGACCTCCGTGACCGTAGTCTTGTCCTTTCTCAGCGGATCGACCTGGCTCACGATAAACTCGTCCAGATACTGCCCGCCCGCCCCTCCTCCTGCTCCTCCTCCTCCTCCCTGATTCATATTCTCTTGCCGAAGACTTGCTTCGCTGCCGACCCGCGACCTCCGATCCGGTTCCATCTCCATGTCGTCGTCGAGTTCCACGCTCTCCAACCTGCGAACTTCCCTCGTAACCTTGACCTCCTTGGTGACGAAGATGCCGGGGAACCGCTGGCGCAGGACAGGCCAGAATATGGGGACGCTGCTGGCTACCATGGCCAGGTCGACTTCGACGGCGGACAAGACGATGCTGAGTGCGCCGTACCACATCGGGTCCAGGGTCGGACTCGTGGCGGATTTGTGCTGGATGATGGAGTATACACGGACAACGGAGACACCGTTTACTCTGTACATTTAGAATTCTTTGTTAGTATTGTCTAGATTCTTTTGAAAAGGAGGGGGGGTTTCTTGTTTGGTGCATGATTAAGAATAATACGTACGCAACGCCAATGATCAGCAGTGCAAGTAATCTCAACTTTGACTTGAACGACTGCTGGGGTCTGAAGTAGAGAGGAATCGGGATGGCGAGCACCAAAACGTCCAACACAAAGTTTGTTGAAGAATGGCTCTCGTATGTCCTCGAGAATATGTCGGCCTGGAGCGAGCCGTACGCCCAGCGCTTCGCCGGTATGGTCCAGTCCCAGTACGCCGCAACTGGCACACACGGGATCCATCCCAAAATCGAGTAGGCAGTGGCCCAAAGGCTGATGAAGATGATCAGGTAGATGCATACTGATCGAAGAAAGCAGGGTCGGTCGAAGATGCGGAGGTACTGAAATAGGAGAGAGATTTTGATAAAGGCGGTGGACATTTGATAGGAGGCGTTTGCGACGTAAAATGTCTAAAAGGAGGGGTTGACTATTAGCATGTCAACATCATTGGCGACTATGGGTTGATTTGTTTCGTACTCGAAGGTAGTTTTGAACCTCTATCGCAGAGAGGGTAAAGATATGTCTTCCCATCCCATACTTGGTGGCTATGCAACTAACATTAGTTTCACAAAGAGGTGAGACAAGAGGGAGTTGAAGGAGTCTTACCAACACAAATCCCCACGGAGCCAGTGGTTGTGCTCAACTATGTCTCGTTCCTCGCGTGAGACAATGTCCATCGATCGCAACTTGTTGACAAGGTTTACATACCAGCGATAATATCACGAAGAAATCATCCCAACCTAATGACTGGACCAACCTGGCCCTCACATACATCCGGAAGGCGACACATATCCACGATACAATCTAATAAAGAATGTCAGTCAAACCATTATTGACATACTTGCAAAAAGCTCTAGAGGCACTGCTTACCGCAAAGGTGATGACCACGCCCAGAACAGTCGCGGGCTTGTTCACCAAGGGTTGCGGCTCGCGCGAGTTATCGGCCGTTCCGAACAGCGCATAAATAGTTGCTCCGTCCATGGCGAAAACCACGGACCCAGAACAGACATGAGCTCGAGGGAGGTTGATGAAAAAGGGCACTAGACCACCTGGCCAAGGCAACACGTCAAGATGGAAGCGAATGAAATGTCAGAATCGAAGCAAGCTCCATTCCCATAGCTCGAGGTTGTGGGAAGTTAGAACAATTAACCCGTTCCACGGCCGTGGTAATATATTCTGCTCACAAGAATGGGAAAACGGGCTAGGCCATCGTTTCTTCGCTGCGCCCACTCTGGCATATGCCGAATGCACAGATATGACCGGGGAAGGCAAGGCGTGGGTTGGAAAGGGTCCTGTCTCTCATGTTCCCTTTTACTCCACATTTCAAACCATGGCCCCCTTCCCAGCTACGCCAAGAAGCTTGCAACAAAGACTACTCTGTATCCGTACACAACTACTTTTGGGGATGAAGGGAGAGGACAAGAATCTCGTTCGCTCTGTGGCCTTCAAGCCCCGGCGGCCCACGATGCCGTGCTGATCTCTCTGTCTGGTCGACTGGTCATGCTTGAAGGCGTCCGTGCGAATACAACTCCACCCTCCCCCCCTGGTTCCTTAGTTCCCACCAAGAACCACGCCTGCAAACCGCCTCCTTCTCTCGTGTGCCGGGTTATCGTCCAAATAAGTACGGATACCTATTCAAGGGCCAAAGAAACGGTTCGCCCCGGCAGGCATATGGAGGCTGCGAACCCTGGGTCATTCTACGCATAGCGGTAAGCATTTATCGTTCTGCAGGAGCTCGGACAGCCACGTTGCCACCATTCGATACCTGTTCTTTTGGGCCAAAGTTGCAGACTAGTTCTCCTTCTGGAGGTGATGTGCCCTGTGTGCCTGTACAGGCCTCGCCGGAAACCTGGTCTCACATGCAACTAAGACCTGCCGCGCGTGCCCGCGAGCCGGGCTAACCTCGAAGCAGCAAACCATGGCAAAATATGCCACGAGGCCGGCCTCTCTCCCCGATACGCCACGGGGTTTGCCGCCGGGAAGAAGTACTGGGAGCAAGCCTGTGACCGGTCATCGGTGACACACGCTCATCTACGACGCTGACGCTTGAAAGGAGAGTGGGAGGAAGGGAGGGAGAGGGGGGAAGAGGAGATTGCAACCCCCACGATCTCGAGATTCCGCGTTGCTCGTACCTCTGGCGAGAAGCAGCAACATCCCGGTTCCTTGCTCTGCGACGAGAGCTCGAGTCAGTATAGCGCACATCATTGGGGGCGACCTGTGTGTTTCAGCGAGTTTTTACGCCATAACCTTTCAGCTGCTTAAAACCACTGAAGGGGCAATTAATAGGGTGAATTAAGAGGTGCTTCGTGTGACCGATTGTGATAACCCCTACCACTTATGTGACGAATTCAAGATCTCAGGTTTTCCAAACTTGCCATTGAGGCAACAATGGTGTCCGGTGTCAATTCAACAACTTGAATGTGCAACCTATAATGCATCATAGCTATTTCTCACTCACCTCTAGGTTGCGCTCGCATCGGCTACCTTCTTGTCTGCTCAATCGCAGCGACTCAAGGTCACGAGACGGTTATTAATCTCGGCTTAAAAGCCTTCAATGGTTTCAGAGATACGGATATTCTGCCTACTATCATCATAAATCACCATCGTTGGCTTCAAATGGCCAATCATTGCGCCATCTACAGACCGAAAGGAAGAACTGATTCGGTAATCGCGGTTGGTTGACACGGTTTATGGTTTGACGGGGGCCAAAATCGTGCGCCAAGTCGTAGTGTGTGTGTGTTGCTCGATTCAGATCATGACAAGTGACGTCCCCTGGTGATTGGCGATCACTATTTTCGAGGGTACGGATATAGGAGCAGGACACAGCCCCGACCCAACACCCACGTGGGCTCTGTTATTGTAGGTGTTGCGTTGCAACGAGGGCGACGCGAACGAGGGGGGAAGATTTGGCGGTCGATGCAGGAGATGAAGGTTCGAGTTTCTGCGGCATTGACTCGTTTCGCTATTCGACGTGAAATATCACACGCTGGTGATGGTCGAGGGTTCAGCCCACGGCTATGACGGGCGCCTCGCTCCAGCTAGCCTCTTAACTGCCAATTATTGGCTTTCTCGTCGGCAACACGATGCTCCCCAAGCTCGAAAAGAGAGCTGTAGCTCGTTTGTGGCATTGTTTGACCAAAGCACGGAGAGCACGAGCCCTCCACTATATTGGTTGCCGCCGCAATTTCAAGACTTGGCATGTTGGCCCCCGCCGTAAACCTGACCAATATCGAGATCCCCGGTGTGCTCGGACATCACTCTTATCAAACCGAAGTTCCTCAAAAACAAGCATTTTCAGACTCACCGCTGGTGGTACCTGATGTGGCATAATGAGCCCATCTGACAATGCAGCTATGTAGGGTACTTGATTCGTCATAGTATGCCCAGGTGATGTGTAAACCCGTAAATCCGAGTCGAGTGGGAGCAGTAATTCTCCGAAGAGCACTCACTTGACTCAGGCAACAGTGGATAAAACTCTCCCTGACAGCTGTCATCGCAACTTTGCCGCAAATTGCAATCAAAATTCTGGGTGGCTTAGGCCACGGAGAGTACAGGGCGGGTGGTAATGATTCATGGTCTTGACCAAGATGACTACTTTAGATGGTGCCAATGTTAAAAAGAAAAACGAGACGTCTACGGAATAGTTTAAGAGAACAAAACGACGAAAACTCAATTGCCGAAGACGCCGTGGTGGGCACAAAAACGGCCCTCTGGCTATTTTTTAAAGTTTAAAAGCACGTTGTTGCACGCAAACCATCCGTTTGCATCACTAAAAAAAGAGGCACGATGGCGCTAGGAGGAAACGAAGCTACATTGTATGAGAGAAAAGAGTCTAGCTTCGTCAAAGAAGCTTTTCGCACGAGGAGGCGCAACGGTAGGCAAGCTCTATCAAGGTTCCTGACTTGACTCTTGTGCAACCCGAGCCAGAACGGCGCGGGATTGTGGGCGAGATGGGGGGGGCGATCATGGAACATGACGAGAACCCCCGAGTGCCTTTTTGATGTTCGAGAGACGGCCAGACGTCCCCCTGGGTAAATATTGAAAGCTGCCGTGGAACGCAAGATGGATACATCTAATCATTCTAGAGTACTGTACGGAGTACGGATACTGGATCAGTGGAGTTGGCAAAAGTCGAACATGTGCCCCTGCGTTGGCTAACTCCACTGCGCGGTGGGGATTGTCCTGTTGAAGATCGATGACGCGAGACATGAGAGGTGGAAAGCTCAGTTCGAGAGATCCTGACATTTGACGATACGACATAATCTTGGAAACCCAATTCTGTAGATATTAGATATTCTACGGAGTACATACAACGAGGTTCCGAAATTTTATCTCGAAACATGAATCGGGGGCGCTGTTCCCACCACGCAACTCCCATTTAACGAGGAGCGCAACAGCAGCAGCAGCAGCAGTAGCAAGAATTCGGAACCTTGTGCCGGTTGATCGGGAGTTGGAACCCCCGCGGATAGAGTCCGAGGTGCCATGCACAGGTGTAGTTGATGCTTGGGTCGTGCGGACAAGCCAGCCAGACCAGACTACATCACTTATTCGAATACACTTCAAAGCTCCCATTCCGGAGCCGTCCTCCGGACTGGACAGGGCTTCCCTTCTTCTCTCAGTCCAACTCGCCTTGTGGACCAGCAATCCTCCCATCCCCCTTTCCCCCCTCATTCGACGTGGTAACCGAACACACGAACGTCGAGTTGATCCGCTAGTCGTGATCGAGAACTCTAGGTCCAAGCTCCGTTTCGATATCTGAAGCGATTGCAGATAAGGAGACCACAGTCTACAGGCAACCCATGAAAGCTAGTCAGCATACGGCTGGATTCCCCTCGTTGTTTGATGATATCTCTCGAACTCGGACATCACTACCCATTTTAATAACCATCTTGTTCCCGTGCGTCATAGGAATGCATTCCGCGGTGATTGAATTGGCCAGTCAGAATCCGGATAATCCGAAAGTCCTTGCATTCGGTCGGAATACGGGACAGCAGCCCACGAGTAATTCATTCCATCAAGGCACTTTCTTTGCGCGCCCCTCCAGAAAAATAGGCCCGAGCGAAGAACCGGGCAGGGCAGCAGGGCAGGGTATCATTCTCCATGGAGTCCATGCAGCCTCTTGGATAAAATGTCCTATAACAATGCCGTCCCCATCTCGCATCCTGCTGTAGCATCCGCAGCAGCGCAGCGGCGCAGGTTCCGTCCAGATATCGCGAGATGATCGTCATGTCAGGGCCCCCCTCTGCTGCACAACTTATAACCATGGATGCAGGCCAAAATCAAACCCCTTGTTCAGTATCTACACTACGTAGTATGGGGGCACAACGAGGGTGCTCTACCGATTATCCAAGCATTACGGATAAGGATAGTTCCTTCGACCTTTGAGGTTCAGTTTCAAGCCATTCGAGTTGGCAGAATTTCATAACTAGTGGGCCAGGGGCCTTCAACTTGCCCATCGCAACTTACGGATACAAGAAAGCAAGTGCCACAATGCGGCACGCAAGCATGCGCAGGGTCGCCAAACCCTTGGTCGACGTATCAGTGGTTCAACGGTCCTGATCGATTCCACTCTCTGCTGTCGCGAGAATGCAATCCACAACCCGTTGAAGAAATGTCTCAGTCCCTCCCCCCCACTGGAAGGATCATCAAAGTCGCAGGCTGTACGACACGCACACTACGACCATGAAGCTTTTTTTTAACATTCTCCAGTGATCTTCACGAGTAAGACACCACACGCAAGTTGAAAAACTCACGCACCCCATTGCTGAGTGGCTGAAGTTGGTTTCCCTCCCTCCCACACTCACCCTTCCCCCAAAAATGCGTATCACCGTGTCACGTCCGCCACCCTCCGTCTCACGGGCGACCCTGACATGAAATCCAACGATCGGCGTTGAAGAAAAAAAAGAAGCCAAGACCGGGGGAGTTGTGAGGGAAACCCCATATCGGATGCCACCCAACTCCATCACTGAACCACCGTACTTCGTCTCGCAGCCTCTGTCACCGCCTCTGATCCCGAAATCCCTCCCTCCCCGGTCGTCGAGCCCCCCCCCGTGTGCCCATCCCCCTGTCCGCGCCGCCCCCTTCCTGCTGACGTCTATCGGGTGTTCACTCCGTTCGTAGCAAAGGGGCCGAAAGAGGCCTCGACGAACACCACAATTCTCGCAAGCTTTGCAGCTTTTGGGAGCGGGCTGCCAGTTTCGAAGCGTAGTCGGTTTTCCCCCGGGGCTTTCTATCCAAGAGGCTGGCTGCATCATCAAGAGCCTCAAACGTTAACAGCTCCGCTCAGATACACATCAGAGAAAATGGATCTTTTGGTGGGGAAGAAGATGGTATTTTCACATGAACTCGCTTTCATGCGTTCAAATTCTCAGAATGAATCCCATGTTTAAACCAAGAGAAGAGCCCCCCCCCCCCCCCCCCGTCTGCTCCCCCCCTTGCTGCCCCCCCCCCGCTATATGAGCAAAGTGCCGAGCTATCCAAAGCCCGCCCCCCGTCCCCCCCACCCCCCGCCCCCCCCCCCCCCCCTGGTTTGATCCCCTCCCTTTGCGCCCGTCCCAGGAAAGAAATGGGACAACCTAGAAACGCCGATTCCTGTCCCCCATGCCCCTATTCCCTCTCTAACTGTTTTTGTGTCGCAAAAGGCCAGTCCCTCCCAAAAATATCACGGTAGTTTGTTAGGCGCAGTTGTAAGTCGCAGTTGCGAGTGAGCCGCCCGGTGACATGACTGTCCCACGCGCCCACTGCTTGTGTCGAGGAAGGCAAAGCCCGTAGTCCTCTGAACTCCCTCTACGTCTCATGCTCCCTATTGTCTCCTCCCCCTCTCTCGACTAATCTCGAATCTCCCCCGTAATGTACCCAATCTGCCTCCTCCCATTAACCCCCGCGTTCGTAAGCTGGCTCGCGAGGTGCGTCTGCCCGTCCACAAGCCTCCTCTGCTCCGCCAACCTCGCCCGGAACCTCTCCTCCTGCTCCCGGTCCAGACGGTCCACGTCCTCCCTCTCCGCGACGCGAATCGCGCTCAGCGTCTTGGCCTGGTCCACCTTCTCGGTCGCAATCTGCTTCTCCCACTCGAGCATCATGGTCTGCCGCGCCATCGTCAGATCCGACTCGGCCAGCTCCACGGCCCGCGCCCGCGTGATGCTCGCCTCCGTCAGCGCGGCCTGGTGCTCCAGGTCCGCGCTGCGCTCGTTGCGCTTGCGCCGCATCGCGGCCGCAAAGTGGTCCTCCTCGATGCGCGCGCGCTCGTTGAGCGCCACGAGCTCGTCCTGCGCCACGCGTTGCCGCCGCGAGTCCTCAAGCTCCGCCTGCGCGGACCAGATTTGCGCCTGGACCGTCGCCAGCTCGCGGTTGCGCGCAATGGAGAGCGCGTGGTCTTCCTGCTCGAGGTTGATGCGGTCGAGGCGGGCGCGCCGCGTGCGTTCCTGCGCCTCCACGTCCTCGGGCATGCCGACGGCGCCTTCGGGTTGGGGGCCCATGTTGGCGTAGTAGACGTCCTCGGCGCGGTTGGCGCGAAGGAGCTTGAGGAGGGCATCTTGCTGGTCCGATTTGGGGAGGACGTGCATGATGTACATTGTCGGCGAGTAGGTCATCTTGCCGTCCGAGTAGTGGTTGAACTTTTTGTTTATGTACTTCCACATACCCGCCTTGAGGAGGGTTCGGCAGGTGACGAGGGGGTCGCGGGACTCCAATGCGAGGAGCAGGATCGACTTTCCCTCGGATCTCAGCGTGGTATCCGAACCGGCCTCGATGAGGAAGTTGATGACCCTCTCCATGAGCTTTTGTCTGGCCGCGGTGAGCTCGCCATTGTCCGCGCAATGTCGAGCGAGTTCTCCCAGCGCACTCCGGCCTCCGTGGAGCGTGCTGGGGAAGTCAGGCTCGTGTCCGTATTGCACGAGGACCTGGCAGGCCGGGAGGTTCAGTTCGCGGGCCGAATTGTGAAGCGACCCGTCGTTGCGCGAGGCACCAGCTGCGAGTAGGTTGGACATCATCTTGATGGCCGTTTCCCCTCCAATTTCGGTTGATAATGTCAGCGGCGTGTTCCCTTTCACGTCGCACACGTCCACTTCCGCGCCCTCCAGCAGCAACATCTTGACAACGTCAGGTCGACGGTTCCGGATGGACAGCATGAGCGGCGTCGATTGAGAGACTCGTGATTCAAAGTTGACCTTGGCGCCGGTCTCGATGAGCATCTGAATGATGCCGCTGCTGACCTTCTTCTGCGGCTGGAGCAGCGCCCACATCATGAGCGTCATAGGTTCCTCCTCAAGGTCTTCCGCGACCTTGCAAGGCATCATCTGATCGTAGTAGTACCCGGCGTCCAAGAGGGCCTTTGTGATTCGGATCGAGCGTGGGTGCTGCTGCAGGGCGAGAAACATCAGGGGTATCGAGTCCGGCGGCGTATACATGACGTCCAGCCTCGTCTCCCCGTCAGCGTATTCAGTAAACATTGTAATTAATTCCAGAGCCTCGTCTTCCGAGGCTGGGTTGTCAAAGATGCGGTAAAATGATCGGGATATCGATTCGGTGTTGGGCTTCTTCTCTAGTAGCCTTTTGACCAAGAAGGAGTTGCAAGCGGCGGCGGCGGTCTGCAGCAGCTTTCCATCAGCGTAGTTGACGTCGACTTTGTGATCGAGGAGGATGTCGACGAAGCCGTTGGCGAGTGCGAGGCTGTCGGGCTCGCTTTCGGATAATGGCAGATCGACAACTTGAGTGAGGACGGAGCTCAGGCCGTCGCCGTGGGCTCCCTTTTTCAGGAAGCTGTGCAGGATTGTAAAGCCGGCTTCCGAGAACCAAACCTCCGTGTTCTCCCTCGTGTACCCTTCTCTGATGGCTAGATTGAGATCCGCCGACAAGATCTTGGACTCGAGCATAAAGGCAAGCGGCTTCACCAGGGCTCTCCTCGTAGCGTCGACCAGGGTCTGGCATTCGTTGGCGATGGGCGAGGCACCGTACCTTAGTAGAGACCGAATGATCTTGAGATCGAGCTCCTCCTCATTGATTGCGTTGTTCAGGACGACGTGCAAGTCGTCGGAAACGGGCAAACCGGCCCGGAACAGCATTTCGATCGCGGCGGTACGGGGTTCGCGGCTAAGCTTCCAAGCCGCCCTCAGCGCCCTATTGAGCGTGGCGTGCGAGGGCTTGTGTTGCTTCTTCTTGTTAGACCCCTTTAGTGAAGTATGGGATTTGGCGGAGGCAATGGATCTCAGCGAAGCGCTCGATGGTGTACTCACTAGCCGCGTCCCGAGGTCGACCAGCCCCAGCATCATTTTCAGACTGCTCAGGTAGGCGCTCCTCGTGGCCGCCCAGATGGCCTCGCCCTTGTTGTGATTCGGGTCTGCGCCGGCTTCCAGCAGGATCTTGACCAAGTCGTCGCCTTCTTCGCCGAATCGAACCGCGGATGCCAGCTGCGTGTCAAGCGCCTCTCCCTCTACTCCGTGGACCAAAAGAGGCTCCAGGATGGCGGCGCGCGTCTTGAGATTGCCGACCTCGGTGGCGGCCTGGAATCCCCTCTCTATGGTCGATCGCTTGGGTGTCGTGGTGCCACTGAGGAGCATAGTGAGCACATCAGCAGCACCCGAGCGGCATGCTTCCACGATGGCATCCTCGTCAATCTGCGCCCCGTGGCTGACGAGAAGATTACCCAACACCAGATCACCGTCAGCGGCCGCCGCAAGCAATGCGTCTGAAAGCACGGAGCCTGAGGCGCCATGCTGCAGCAACACCTCGCATATCGCCGCCCTTGCTTCTCGGTTCGATAGGAGAGCCGCCTCGGCAAAGGCATCGTTGAGCACAGGAAGCGGATGCTTTTGAGCCAAGACGAGTTGGACGATATCATGACGCTCCTTCTTCACAGCCGAAACCAGGGCCTCTCCATCGCTCGTGTTGGCCTTGGCCGAGAGGGTGCGGAGCAGTGGTATGTCGTTCGTGTAGGTGTTGATGGCGAACCCGAGCGCTCTGTTCGCCTCGGCGCTCGGCGCGCCAGCGTCTAACAACTTTTGGGAGAAATCAAGACGGTCCATCGGGTCGGCGATCCGTAGCGCGTGCGGCAGAGCTGATGCGAGCGACGCCGGGTTCGGATGGGCGGCGAAGAGGAGATCGGTGATCTGCGTATCGCTGGCAGCTACGGCGTGGCAAAGAGCCGCGGCGTTGTGAGAATTCACATCGGCACCGGCGCTGAGCAAGACTTTCACGATGGATAGTTGTCGATGCTCAGGTAGGGTCTGAAGGAGAGCGTGAACCTCCTTGACGAGGACGTCGTTGAAGGGGGCCCTGTCTTTTGTGTTTTGCAAGAGAATCTCTAGCTTTGCTGCCTTGGTATCTGAGAAGATTAGTTGCCCAAATTCGTTGACAGCCCTGCTGACCGTAGCGGAAGAAGGTTTGCCGTGCATTAGAAGTGTCTCTAGAACTGACGGATCATGGCTGTGGATTGCTATCAAAAAGAGTCAGTAGTTGCTTCGCCCAACCCTTTGCCCATGTTCACTTACCGGAAGCCATGGCGTTGCCGTTGTCGACATTGACATCGGCATGGCCCTGCACCAACAACACTTGCAGAAGCTTCAGATCGGCTGGCCGATAATTTAGCGCGTTGAGCATCGCCTGAGAGACCTTGGCCGGGTCCAAGTCAGGCACCGACGTCAACAGCAACGTGGCCATGTCTAACCTCGCCTTGGAATCCTGAGTCGCAATGATCCTGGGCAGCACACCGGCAGCAGTGTGTGGAGTCACGTTCTTCTTGAGCAGCGCAATGAGTAATCTCACGTCCTTTTGTGACACAGCAGCGACCAGGGCCGAGCCTTCGTTTGTGTTGATGTCGGTATTGTACTTTAAAAAAAGTCCAATCAAGTCCTCGTCGCGGTGTGGTGGCTCCTCGTCAATGGCTTCTTGTAACGCGTCATGGACAATGGGCCCAGCGAGACCGCTCGTGAGAAAACATTCCACCATACGATATCGATTCTTCCGTGATAGTGTCTTTGTCAGAGGAAAGATCTGGGCCAACGTTTCGCTGGATGGTTTGCCCATGAGGAGCTCCTTAGTCATCGCCGCATCGCTTCTCATGACTGCGATCTGCAGAGCCAAACCGCCCTTGTGCTCGACGGAGGCCGTTTGATGGCGGTCGTACACCATTGATCTCGGTCCTTTCTTCACGTCATGTTCGGCAATGGGGCGGCCACCCGGGAAGACGGCTGTGAGAAGCAGCTTGGCCGAGTCGACGTCGCCCGCCTCCGCTGCCTCAATAAGCATGTCGTGCAGCGCGGTTCCGCTCGCCCCTCTTCGTAGTAGCAGATCTAATAGTAACCGACGGTTTTCCACCCCCATGTTCTTCGGTATCAACTCAACGCACTCCGAGGCATGTGTTGCGCTGAGTTCCGTGTTGCCGCTGAGAATGATGTGCGCAACATCTACCCGTCCATTCTGAACGGCCTTCCGGATGGCCATTGCGTCCTGATACTCTATGGAGACCCCGTACCTGACCAAAAGACTGACCATGTCTTGGAATTCCGCCGCTGCGGCATGGATTAACGCCATGGCGGGCGCATCACCGTCCGTGCCGGCGCATAGTAGCAGCTCTGCCACGGCGAGCTTGTCTCTGGGGTTCATGGAAGGGTGATCTAACAGATTCGAGAAAGCCTCGTCCAGTCCCGGGCGTTTCGGTGGGTGGTTGCCCATGAGGATCGCGAGAGCAATGTCGTGACGTCCCTGCCCGATTGCTATCTTGAGCGCCTCCGCCTGGTTGTAGTCGCCATCGGCGTTGGATCGACTCAGTTGAAGCACCGTTTCCAGACACCCTGCCTTCGTCGCGTCCACCATGCACTGCGAGAGCCACGAAGTCGGCGGCCGGCCCTCGGATCGGAGAACGATGCCCACCAAGTCCGCTTGGCCGCCGGACGCGCACGCCTGGCGGAACGATTCCTGCGCTTCGGGGCTATGCGCCACCCCGGCCCCGTAACGAAGCAGGAGCTCAACGACCTTTACATTTTCAGACTGCATGGCTACGGGTAATGAGGCGTCCAGGGCAAATGCGTCGGCATGGGGTAACAGGACCTGAATCATGTCGACCTGGCCATTGTGAACGGCGTGCTGCAGCACTTTGCTGCGCTCGCCAAAGCTGTCGAGGCTTTTCCGGCGAGGTAGGATACTCGTCTTTGCCTTTTGCGCCATGTTGACGTCGCCGCCGGATGAGACGAGCTGTATAATGAGAGCCTCAGCGACGCCGGGCGATCCACCATCGGCGACATGCTTGTCGAGAGTGTCGAAGACGAGCTTGTAGTCCCACGTCTTCTTCTTCCCCGTGAAGGCGCGCCGTAGATTCGTGGTGGACTCTGTGCGGCCATGGGACATTTGCTTGCGCTTCAGGAGCTCCTCTGCCTTGAAGTCGTCCTCCGAGGTCCGGAAGCTGGGGGGGCTTGAAGGCCGCGTCAACGGCGTCGGCGACGGCGGGGGCTCGAGACCCCATTCCTCCGCAAACTGGATGATGCGCCGCTGGCGGTCATCCTCGGTCGGCGACGTCGGCATCGGGGAGCCGGGGGGAGATGAAGATAGGAATGGAGACAGCTTGGCGACGATGTATACGGCGGTGAGCTGGCCGTATGTTACAGGGAAGGGGACAAGAAAGGGAAAAGGAAGGGGGCGGGGGGTGAGACGTAGAGAAAGAACGTGAGCGAATAGCTCGTGAGATGAGGTTGAGTGAGGCGAAGGCTATGTGAGATGAGGTAAGAAGAGAGGAGAGGAGACGTGCGGCGCAAAGTTTCGTTTTCGTCCCAAGATGATGTTGCACGCTCAACGGCAAAGGGACGGCGGAAAAGACGGCCTCTGGCCCGGTTGCAGCGGTAGGCGGAATGGCATGAACGTAGGGGGTGAGAACAAGCATCCAGGATCAAGGGTAGGCTGACATCAAAAAGATACAAGTATGGTGGTGGTTCAGGCCCTCGGCTGGGAAGAAGGAGAAGGGAAGAAGAGAAGAAGAGACGTTGGATGAATGGACGGTTCAATCGTTTGGGAAGGGGCTGGTATCTTAGGTTCGCGGATGTTTTGCCGAGATGACTTGAGTCGTATCAGCTACGCTCAACAGCTTGGGGGAAAAGGCCAGACGGGAGATGGCAGACAAGACGGGTTGACTGCGGAACTGAACTCAAAGGGGAGAGAGACAGAGAGGGTGGAAGGCAGAATGATGCAAGCTAGCACGCACAGGTCTCCAACGGCCAGCCGCAGCAGAAGCAGCAAGCAGCAAGCAGTAACACCAGCCCGTGTCCCCTGTGGATAGTAGAGGTTGTTGAAGATGCGGGTGTGGCGGCGTTGGTACGAAGCAGAGAACTCGGGGCGAAGCTCTGAAGGATGTCGGCGAAGAAGATCGAACGGGAACGTCCAATGGCAGGGGTCGCGGGTTGCGTTGAGCTGAGCTGAGTCGAGGTATCCCGAGGTCCTAACCTAAGCCTTGTGGCGACAATGCGTCGCGTTTCAGCAGGGTGGAGCCCAAGGTCCCCTATCTAGTCTTTCCAGATGCGAGTGTCACAATCGAAAGCGGTTAGGGCGGCCAGGACTTTTTCTTTTCGGGAAAGATGGCGTATCCGTAGGCTACCTTAGGCGGCTGGCGGACAGGTCGAAGACGGGTGTGGCTGGGTTTATGAGGTCGGACGATGGCAGGTCAGGTACACTTAGTAGAGACAGTGACGTCGATCAGGTAATTAGGTAGATGAATGAAAGCGCCGGCCTTTTTTCTTTGGTTGAGGTTCGTGATGAAACTCCGGACTGATAATGATTATTCGTAGAAGGGATATCGCAGTCGACTGAAGCCTGGATAGCTAGTCGTAGATGGCTGGGGTTAATCCCCCCTTGAGAGTGGATATGATTGACAATTATCCGTAGAGGCAATAATGTCAATGACGAAGGGAAAATTCGGCAGATGCAGAGTATCGAGGATGAACGGCACAAAAAGTTCAAGTATCAGTAGTCATCCGCCCAAAGCCAATTATGCAAATAAGCCTCGAGAGGCCGGCCATTCATCGTTTAAGCTTGTTGGGGGAGACGGTGACAGCTGCCGCCTGCGCGTGTGAGTGGTGAGGATAAATGGGCTCATTGAGCATTCGACGCGAGCGTGGCAGGGCATACGCGGACACGTCGACGATCCCTGTGTACGACGTCCCGTACGAAGTGGGGGGCTGAAGAAGCAGGAAAAGGCGGAGGAGACGGCACAGAAGTGGAGAAGAAGGAGAAGAGCTGAGCTACGGAGGGGGGCCGAAGAGGCCGTTGGAGGTTGGAGGAGGACCCGAATGGCTTCAACACCTTGAACTCCATGGAAGTCCTAAGCCATGCAGACCACAACTCAATGGGTTCCATAGTGAAGAGCGGCAAGTGCTTCGGCCATATTCAAATGTCTCTCGGGACCGAGTGCAACAAAGTCTCTCGAGATTCTGGAGCCAAGGAATGCATGGCCACCAAGTGCCCCCCCCCTCGTGTGATCCGAGGAAGGTACATACATGTAAGTCTCGAGGAAACACCCTTGAGTCCTAGACAACGAGATTCTGGGGCAAGACGAGGAACAGCTCTCCAGTTTCCCCGATTGTTCCAAGAACACGAAGAGCAAACACACGCGGTTGAAAGAATCCCTGAACCCTGACGGAACAGCCACCGGTCCATTAAGATACCTACCTTGGACAAGAGGTATTTCGTACGGGCATGCCACGCAGCAGAGGTGCCTAGCCATTCCGACCAGCGCTAGCTGCCCGTTGCCGTTTTGGCTTCATTCCGGTGCGCAGCCCCTCGATGCATCAGCCCACGCAAAAGAGGGCTAACTAAAAAAGTTCTTCTGCCGGCCTTTTTTACGTGGCGTCCGTGGCTGAGGGGGGCGACGAACCCGCAGTTCACTCGTCTCACCGACACATGCCACCGTGAAAACAAATGCGCGCTACGACAATGCCGTGCCTTAGACCAAGGTACACGCAGAAGCCAAGGCGGCCGAGCCTCATTGGAGACGCCGTCGATTGCGACCAAAATGTTGTCTTTTTTGACGTGTCGATGAAGAATTATGACGGCCTCGATTTGGGGTGTGTAACCCACACAACCATCCAGACGTGCTGACAGCCTCGTTATAGCAATGCTCACATGCAGACATCAAAACACGTCATCGAGAAATAGGATAGATGAAGTCATGGATAGAGACCGGCCCCAGGATAGGTAGAAAAGTCGCATCTAGAATGTCACCGCGGGAAGAACGAAGAAAACCCCCGAACCGATGGGCGATCATCCGGCTGCCCCGATGCATTGCTGTCCGCACTCAATCCGAGTCTTGGCAACTGACTAGCTTCAAAGATTCCCCAAACCCGAGGAGGGAACATGCCGGTTCGGTTCCCATTACATGGCACCTACTCGACGAGTGAACGATCCAACAGCGTCGTTCCGTCCACGTTGTGTCTGCACTTGCAACCACCCCCAACTGCCCAACGACCATGATCGAATGACGATAGGAGTGCCGTGATTACCGGACACCATTGTGGCGTATCAAACAGATGCCAGGCGCCTGTCATCTCTGCTCTTGCAGGCTCGCTGCCCCGCCCGCCTGCTCGCCACGACCAGCGGTTCATGCCAAGCGTGCGTGAGGAGGGACGCTCAAGTCCATCATCAGACTTTCAAGGTTTGCAATGCATGCCCGTGGATAAAGGTGCCCGAGCACCGCGAAGCTCGAAGGTATCGGACTCTGGTTCCGGAGAGCCGATGCCCTTAATCGTTGGTACTGCATGCTAGCCAAGGAGGTCTCACGATGAGGCAAGTTCAAGTTTTCTCTCATTCCTAGGCCATGCATGCCTCGCATGATGAGATGGTCTCACTTTTAAACACAACAGGAGTGTATCTCTTGAGACAACAATGATAATATCTAATCGCATCGCCTGGAGCACCAATGGCGTATCTAGAGTTTGACCAAAGTAATCTGCAATCAAATGACTGAATGTGAGATATGAAGCCTTACCCCATTCCTGTCTCTCTCTCACTCATGCTCTCACCCATACTGTCACTCAAACTCTCACTCTTATTCCCACTCACCCACATCCGCCCCCCCCCCCCAAAAAAAAAGCCCACCCCACAATGGCGACTTCCGAATCCCGCTCTTCGGAAAGCCGACCGACCCCTCTATCACCCGTCACCCGAAAACGCAAGGCCCCCCTCCCTTCCCCCCCCCTCCCGGGCTCCGTGTCCCCACCCGTGCCGACTAAGGTATGAAAGAACCCCGCCGAAGTATGCCGCTCGGCCAAAACACCAGTATACGCCGATAGGAATCGAACCCAACTTAGGTAACCTACTAAGCGTACCCCCGTTTCACACGATACCACCATACAAGCGTGCCTTCATGTACTAAGCGTACCATCCAGTGTACTCTACCGTCCGGGTTCGAGCCCGTAGGCTTTAAGTGCAACGTATTGTAGGGTTCATCGGCGTCACTAAAGTAAGCCGTTCGGCCAAAACACCAGTTGACGCCGATAGGAATCGAACCCAACTTAACCTATTAAGCGTGCCCCCGCTTCACACGCCGCCATCGATCTCTCGAAAGCTCATAGCTCCCCTCCCGCGCGCGGTGCATTTCCAATCACGTCGTCTGAGAAAGAAGCCCACACCCCTCACTTTACGAGAAAGCTGACTAAAGCTGTCCCAAATCCCCCCTCGAGCGTAATCGGAAGCTATTCCACCAAAAAGTCCCACCCCACCCTCTCCTACCTAGGTTCAAAGACAAAAGATTGAAGAACGTAATCGCCAATGTCTCAATTCCTCATTGTGCGACCTTCTATATCCATCCGCGCCATCACAAGAAGCTCCAAACTCACGCCCGCCGCCCTCACTCATTCCAAACAGACCATCCACCCATTAGTCCCCTTCCACCACCACCACCACCAACACCGCACCTTGATCCCCTCACCAGCCCCCCAAACATCCCTCTCCCCAGGCCCGCACTTCACAATGGCCTCCTCCCTCCCGCACACCATGAACGGCATCCAAATCCCCCGCACCGGCGGCCCAGAAGTCCTAGACCACCGCACCGACCTCGCCCTCCCCACCCTCGCGGAGGGCCAGGTCCTCGTCCGCAACGAGTACGCCGGCATAAACTACATTGACACCTACTTCCGCACCGGCCTCTACAAGGCGCCCCTCCCCATCACCCCAGGCCGCGAAGGCGCCGGCACCGTAGTGAAAGCCCACCCCTCCGTCGCCGGCTTCCGCGAGGGCGACCGGGTCGTCTACATGGGGCCCTTTGGCGCCTACGCCGCCTACTCCGCCGTTAACGCCGCCCAGCTCCTCCGCATCCCCGACGCCCTGTCCACAGACGTTGCCGCCGCCGCCCTCCTGCAGGGTCTCACAGCCTGGACCTTTATCCGCGAGGCCGGCGAGGTGCAAAAGGGCGACTGGGTCCTCGTCCACGCCGCCGCGGGCGGCGTCGGCCTCCAGCTCGTGCAGATGCTCCGCGCCGTCGGCGCAAAAGTCATTGGCACCACGAGCAGCGACGAAAAGTGCGAACTGGCCAAGAAGAACGGCGCCGAGTGGATCGTCAACTCGCGCTCGCAGGACCTCGTGGCGGAGGTTAGCAAGATCACCGGCGGGCACGGCGTCGATGTCATCTTTGATGGTGTCGGTAAGGCCACGTTTGATAGCGACTTGGAGATGGCGGCGCGCAAGGGGAGATTGGTCGTATTTGGCAACGCGGTAAGTCCTTTTTTGGAGAACGCGAGGGATTCAAGTCTTGCCGGAATTTCTTGGACAGAGGAGAGAAAAACTGACAAATCAAATCCTTTTCAGTCTGGAGCTGTTCCTCCTTTCGACATCCTCAAGCTGGGTCCCAAGAACCTCAAGGTCATGCGACCCATTGTCAACAACTACACCGCGACCAGGGAGGAGCTGGAAAAATACAGCACGGAGCTCTTCGACATGATTACCTCGGGCAAGGTGGAGGTCGCCATCCACAAGGCATACCCGCTCCAGGACGTCAAGACGGCGCATGAAGATCTCGAGAGCCGCAAGACGACGGGCAAGCTCATCCTCAAGATTGATTAACTCAAAGCACCTCTGTGTAATCATGACAAGACAAGCGGTTCGACTCGGTTCGCCACATCGTGGTGGTATCTTGAACTTCTTTTTTTTATATTAAATCCTCTCTATGGCGGACGTCGTATCATGGCTCTCGCTGCGAATAACACTAATTCTATCATCTATGATATGCAACCATACCTTTCTTTGCCAAGATGTATTTGATGCTCCGACACAATTAATCTACCGGTTCTTAACCGCTCGTGGGCTTGGCGTTGGCGAGGAGCTCCGGAGGGGGGTCCTGGCGGTAGCCCTTGGGGTTGTTGCTGACCCAGCGCCAGAGATCCTCGCAAGCCTTCTCCAGTGTTTCCTCGGTCTTCCAGTTGAGCTCCTTGTTGGCCAGAGACGGGTTGGCCGTCAGGTCGAGAACGTCGCCTTGGCGTCTGGGGACAACCTCGTAGGGGAGATCGCGGCCGACGACGTGGCTGAAGGCCTTGATCATCTCGAAGACGGTGCTGCCACGGCCGGAACCGAGGTTCCAGGCCTTGACGCCGGGCTTGTTTTCGCGGAGGTAGTTGAGGGCGACCAAGTGACCCTTGGCCAGGTCGACGACGTGGATGTAGTCACGAATGGCGGTACCGTCTCTTGAAGCGTAGTCTGCTCATGATCAGCGAGTGTGCGGCATTGTTTCATCATGTGTACGTACCGTCACCAAAGACGAGGAGCTTGTCGCGGTCACCGGTAGCGACCTTGCCGAGCAGAGGCAGCAGGTTGTAGGGAACACCCTGAGGATCTTCACCCATGAGGCCAGAGGGGTGGGCACCGCAAGGGTTGAAGTATCTCAGAAGTGCACCGTTGAAATGCTCGTAGGGCTTGCCGGCCTTCTTCAGCTTGTTGCGCTCAGCGTTGATGTGATCAGTGATGACCTGCTCGACAAACGCCTTGGTGTGGCCGTAGGTGTTGGTGGGGCCAATTGGGCAGTGCTCGGGAATAGGAATCATGTTCTCGAAACGGGTGGCGTCACCGTACACGGTCGCCGAGGAGGAGAAGACAATGTTGGGAACATTGTTATCCGTCATGGCTTGGAGGAGGGAGACGGTGCCGGCAACGTTGACGCGGTAGTACTCGAGGGGAATCTCGCCAGACTCGCCGACAGCCTGCAATCAATCGTGTTAGATTCTATCGTGGGGGATCAAGTATAGGAGCAAGAGAGCTCACCTTGAGCGCGGCGAAGTGAATGACGCTGTCAATCTCGGGGTGCTTCTTGAAGACCTCATCGAGGCCGGCCTTGTCGGTGACATCGACCTGGTAGAAGTGGGGTCGCTTGCCGCTCAGCAGCTCGATACGGTCGACCGCAACCTTGGAGGAGTTGTACAAGCTGTCGACAATGACCACATCGTAGCCATTCTGGAGAAGGGTGAGAGAAGTGAAGGAGCCAATGTAGCCGGTACCACTACAAGCGACCAAATCGCGCGGTTAGCCTTTGCGCGGTCCTTGGGCTTGCGCCAGCGCCACGGCAGCGGGTGTAGACGGTGCCAAGATCAATCGGATTGCCGTAACATCGGGAATAGGGTTGTTGGAAACGGAGAGGGTAGCTTACCCGGTAACCAAGACAGTGCCAACGGCCATCGTGAAGAAATTTGCAGGCGTCGATCGCAACTAGGTGCGGTGAGGGGTAATTTGGAGGTGGAGGGACAGAGTAGAGTGAAGGAGAGTAGAGAAGCGCGGTCCGTCGGGGTATCAAGTCGTTAGTGTGTGAGGGAGAGCGCACGTCTTTGGTGTGAGTTGGGGAGTCGGCAGAAGGGAAGGCTGCAGTGGATTACGGGACGAGGCGAGATATAAATCTGCTGGTGACTGAGGTGTGTGAGACAGCGAGAGGCCGGGTGGGAATAATGAGGCGACGGTCGCAATAACAAAAAAGTAAACGGGGTCGTCTGTCTGTAACGTTTTGGCTGGGTGATGATGCGGGAGAGAAATTGGCTCGGCTTGAGTGCCACCAGTACGTGCTGCCAGTCCCAGAATGAGCTTGGTGAATTTGGGGCGATCTTGCAACGGCCAATCTGGCGCGCCAAATTGGAGGCGATGGCGGGGTCTCGCAGCGGGGGTGGCACCAATCTCAGGCGCTGTGGCTGGCTGCGGAGCCCAGTAATTTCTTCCTCGAGCTTCAAACGGCGCAATTGTTGGCATTTTGAAACTTGCAACGACCGGGGATGGCGGTGCCGTGGAGCCTGATCTTCACGCTGGTGGACGGGCCGACAAGGGCTCTGAGCCTGTCGACGGTGGTGTTCCTTCGCGGTCACCCAATGTTCCATGGCGGACTCGATAGTGAATCGGTCCTGGTAAGGTAGACTGACTAAGTGACACGAGAGACGGAGCAAAACAGAGACAGAGATCGGATGACGGATCAAGTGGTGGATGATGGGATGCCATCTGGTGGGGTGTCTCTCCGGTGCATGTCCCCGTATCCGTATTGTTTAACCCTTCCCGGATGTCTCTTTGCTGTTTGTTGGAGCGGCTGGGTGGTTGACCGGCCTAGCCTCGCCGAGTAGGTACTTTATTGCCCGAGTTCCCCATCTACTAGACCACTGCGCACCTGTGGATTAATACAGTCTGGCACTGCAGGTTTGCCATTCCGTCCGGTTGTTCGCCCGAAAGGACGAGGGTCCGGCGGGCTCCCTCGTTTTGTCGACGGCAGCGGAACCGAAATTCAATCCAGGCCCAGGCCCAGGCCCAGGCACAGGCACAGGCACGTTGCTCTAGCGCAGACGATACTATGACTCCAAATCAGTCAGCGTGCATCTCCCTCGCTGGCTGTCGCACGTCTTGCATCAAGTCCAGGCGTACTGCATGCACTCGACCTATTGCGCGAATTCAATGGCAAACTGAGATGGAAAAGCACGTGTCGGGAATCGCATGTTGATGGATCTCTCCATGATGGACCAGCAATTCGAGGTGGGGTCCTGAGTGGGAAGGGTGGTTAAGGGCGTGGAGTACCTTACCTTACTCGGTGACGTACTGCGCGGTCTGGATTGATGAAATGCGGTAGCCTGAGGTTACAATGGGGAGGGGGAGACTGGGTCACGTGGTCGCAAACAAAGTAAGGTACTTACTTACCTAAAGGCATCAAGGTGTACATACGCTTATGTAACAGCTTAGACGCTGCGGCGCGTAACACCTGGCAGACCACCGTTATGGAGACAAGAGGAGCGCAGCGCGTGCGCGGGCGACGGACACGCTGCAAGGGTCCGAGCTTCTCTCTCTCTCTGCGCCCGAACCCGAACCCCGGTTGGTGGTTGGCGGTTTGGCGGTGGGCGGCTGTCCGTCGCGAAAACATTCCCAAGTTGTGTGTGAAGCTCCCAAAGTGAACACTTCTAGACGGCACAAAGACTCAACGAACCCCCGACACGTCCCTTGCATAGCCTCGCTGCCGTCGCAAAGCTCAATCTACCTGCCCGACAATCCATTGACTCGCTCAAACTGCAACGGCAGCCACAACGCATTCTTTCGTCAACCCTAACTACCTGGTCCTCCACCGACGATCCGACGCGCGTGTGGTTTGGCGCGACTTGTGCCTGGGAAAGATGGTCGTTGCGGCCAGGGACCGCTCCTCCTCTCTTTGTTGACAAACCGCTCCCTCGCTTCCCGATCCGGCGGGTCTGTCCCTCTGGAATAGCTTCACTTTGGGATTCTTCTCCCACTCGGAGCTCCCGCAACCGGCTCCCCGCAGCATTCACAAAGGCTCCTTTACACACGTCCTGTACCTCTCGGTAATTCCTTTCGAGGCCTTCCCTTGGTTATCGCCTCCCTTGTAGCTCAACATAGATCTCATGGTTCATTGCGCCTACCATTGTTGATGAGACACAAGACCTCGAATTACAACAAACTGCTTCACGTGGACCTATTGACAATTGTAGCGCATGTCTACCCAAACAATAATAATGTGAGTTGCGTCTTTGCAACCCAGCCCTTCATTCAGTCTATTCCTTCCATTGCTTCTTTCCTTCAATGCTCTTTCTTGTCGCGCCTGCCGTTTGAGAGTTTGGCCTTACCCTCGCCACCTAAACCTGTTCAAACTTCTCTCAAGCCAACCTTACCTTGCCTCTTTTCTTATTCCTCCTCGTTCACTGTATCTGCCCTCATCTTCACTGATCCAAGCCCCTCCATCTCGTCAACACCACTACGTGGTGTTGAGCGACCTCATTTTATACACAGCCTGCCACCTCAACCCACAACTCATCATTCTCGCAGACCTTCATCCGTCACACTGCGCCAAGATGCCTCCCAAACGAAGGGTCCGTGGCGATGACGATGAGGTGCCATCCCTCTTGACGCAAAGGGGTGCTGCCGTCAGAGCAGACCTGCCTCCGTTGGCATCGCGACTCGACACATCTTACGGGTCTGCACCTTCCACGGTTTTGCGGAATACTCGCCGGGGTCAACAACGCAATTTGCAAGACATCATCAAGGAAACACTACACGACAGCGACGATCCCGATGACGCGGGCGACCCAGATGATGATGACGACGACGACGACAACGACAACGACAGCGACGGCGATGCCAGCGCGAGTAGTAGTGAAAGCAGCAAGAGTAGCACCAACCAACAGCCGCCGCCTCGACGCACCAGGCGCACAAAGTCGCCAACTCCTAAACCAGCGCCAAAGTCGAAGTCATCACGCAGGGTGCAGCCGAGTCCCGATCCAGACCCGGACCCGGACCCGGGATTCGAGCCAGGCTTTGGTCCAGGTCGAGAATCATCAGATCCACCCGAACCATCGAGGGATGCGACACCAGATCCGCCCGTCATCCGGCGCTCACCGCGGCGTCAATCTCCAGCCCGAATTGGTAAGTGCAGCCACGTGCACGAGGCCCGGTCTTGCCTTGCTGCGGTCTCACTTCCCTTACTAAAACTCGGCTCAGCTCCTTCGGTCGAACCTCCCTCATTTCAGCAAGACGCTCCCCTTCCGCCTCAGCAACTCCTACCAGGCGCTGCGCCTCCGAGAGGGCCATTCTCATCAAATCGACAGTCCATGACCAGAAGAGCCAGTTCAGAAGGTCCCACTCAAGGTCTCACGCCTGCAAGACGGGCCCTTCCTGCTGCGAGCTGGAACTCCGTCTTCGCTCGAGCCATCTCCGAAGAGCCCTATTCTCAGTCTCGCTCTCGGTTTGCCCAACAACAGGACCCACCGGAGCCGACCCCGACACCGGACTCAGTCCGTACCTTCGGCCAGGAAAGCTCACTCTTCGGAGGTGCCGACATTGGCTCGACCCCGTCGCAATCCTCCTCATCGGAGCGTGATGATCGCATGCGCTCCATTGAGGAGATTGAGGAACCCTCTCCATTTAAGGAAGAGACGGGAGGCATAAATCCCTTCAGTCCATTAAGGCGCTTAGCACGCGATCCCCGACACAACTCGGCAATGCCGCCACGAAATTTAAGCCACGTAGACCGTCACCAAGGTGTCGTCCAGGCCCCGATCACTACGGTTTCTGATAGACCTCCTCCGGAGGTGCTGCCTTTGCCCTCCCAAGGTACCTTCCGTCCGCCTCAAAGGGAGCCACCGAGCACGCCGCCCTCGGACCGTCTTCGACCTCGCAGCAGCAAATCACCTCACTATGTTTCGCCTGCTCGCCGTATTGCGCAATCTCCTGCTAAGAGAGACGCACCAGCCTCGGCAGCAAGTTCGCGTCAGCTTCCAGCCATCCAAGCTTCGCTGTCACCTTCCCCTGCTGCAAGGTCCAACTCGACTCTTATATCAAGTCGTGTCAGCGAGGAGCCATCTCTCAACCATAGATCCCCACAAGCCTCTTCGTCTCGTAACTCTTCGCCTCGCAAGCCAGCCCAGCCCGCCAAGCTTGATGCTGCTCGGCGAGTTCCAGCATCGCTGGCTGCCGATGAGAATCCGGTATCATCTCGCTCCCTGTTCGGTGACCCCCCGCCCGTCAATGGCAACTCAGCACCGCCTCGCTCCGTCAACATCGATACGCCAGCTATCAGAGTAGTACCTCCACGCCCCAATGAGGGTGGAAATGGCTCGTCGCGACACTCTGGTACAAGCAAGCTTTTTCAATATGGGCAAGGTCAAACGGCATCTTCTCAGGGCGGGTCTGGCATGTTCAGCACTGAAATGCTCCCTAATGAGGGTGGAAATGGCTCGACACGATACCCTGGTACAAGCAAGGTTTTTGAATATGGGCAAGGTCAAGCGGCACCTTCTCAGGGCGGGTCTGGCATGTTCAATACTGAAATGCGAGCAAAGATACAGGAAGAGCATCGACAGGAAAGGGCGCGGCAGGAAGCACTTCGAAAGGAGCGCAATGCCCGTTTGAAGGCTTGGCCACGGGTTTACAACACAGTATATGAATGGACCAATGTCCCTCGCCCTGATAGCCCCGACAGAGAGGGCGGATACAGTTCCGATTCGGACGGATACACCAATTCAATTGCAACCTCGCGACAGGTCCCCTCGAGCGAGTTTTCGTGGGCGGATTGGATTTTGTTCAAGATTGCCGACACGTTCGTGGACTTGCTAAACTTTCTCTTTGCCCCAGAGTCTTGGCTTTTCAGGGCTTCGCTCGGTATCCTGCTTCTCTCACTCCTGATCTGGGGCGCCCTGACAGGACTGAACTCCACGCCGGCTCTTGGACTAGGCGGTGTCCAATGGTACGGTCTGTCAGACTTCTCACACAACCTGGGGCAATTTGTACCACTCTGGATGTCGCGGCCGGCGACGCTCTTCAGCGACAATGATGCCAGAGAATACGTTCGGCAACAACGCAACCACGAATACGAAATCACCAAGTTGACAACGGCCACCAAGCTTCATGAGGGATCCCTGTCGCGCTTGATGCAAATTCTGCCCAAGGTTGTGCACATGAAGCTGGATAAAAACGGACGGCCCGTTGTGGGAGAGGGATTTTATCACGCGCTGCGTGACCTCATGAAGAGTGACGCCGAAGTCTTGACGCTGAGCCGGGGCCATGGTGGCTATTATTTTATCTCCGATGAGACCTGGTGGGCTATCAAGTCCAGGCTCCAAAAGGATCCCGTGTATCAGAGTGCTTCCTCGCCGCCTCCGCCAGGACTATCGACTACGGACGTTGAAAACATTTCCCAGTCCAAGTTTGACAAGAACTGGGAGAGATGGCTCACCAACAACAAGAAGAAAGTCGCCAAGATACTTGAACCCGAGTTTAGCTCGTCCCTTCCAGACAAGATTGGCGGGGATCTCGAATCCAAGATTGAGAAGTTCGTCAAGGACCGATTCAAAAACAAGGACACCAAGGACGTCGTGGTTACCCGGGAGGAATTCATTCGCCATCTCAAGGGCGAGTTTGCTACCCACCGGAACGAAGTCAAGGCTGAAGCGCAAGAAATGCAGAAGAAGCTGGAGCACTACATCAATGAATCGGTCGAGGCCGTTCTGAAGAAAACGCCGCCCACGGGCGTTACTCGGACCGAGATGATTTCAGTAGTTGACGGCATGATCCGACAGGCGATTGCGAATGCCGGACTGGAAGCACTAGCGCAAGGCAAGATTGGGGCGACCTGGGGCAGAGAACTTCGTCATCAGGTCAACTTCTTGGCCCATGGTAGCGGTGTGATTGTGGAGGCTACGCACTCGACCCCGGATTATGTGCCTCCCATCAACGGAAAAGTAGGCACCGCAAGCTGGCTCAGGCAAACGGCGCGGGGTCCCCGCATCAACTCTAAGTCTGCAACGTTGTTCGGATGGGAGGACGAAGGCGACTGTTGGTGTGGCAAAGTTGTTGTGGGCAGGGATGGGAAGGAAGATGGTGTCAGAGTCGGCTACATCCTCAGCCGGGAGATCGTCCCCCAGCACATCGTCGTCGAGCACATTTTGCCCGGGGCTACGCTGGACCCTAACGCCAGGCCAAAAGACATTGACATTCTGGCTTACATCACCGATCTTCACACGCGCAACCGCGTTGCAGACTTTGCCGCAACCCACTTTCCGGGCAGCAAGCTTTCTGACGGCTGGGTCAAGATTGGTCAATTTATATACGAGAGCAGCGACACGCTCAACGGAGTACACGTACATAGGCTCAGTCCTGAGCTCCATGCTCTGGGAGCCTTTACGGATCAAATCGCTCTCCACATTACCAGCAACTACGGCTCGGATCATACCTGCCTTTACAGAGCTCGTCTCTACGGAGTGGAGAGGGAGGATTGAATGGGATACGGGTGAGGAGGATAGAGTCTATTGGTCGTCCCTCATTCGGCGTTAGTACGGCTGGGCCTCACGGCAATACTTGAGCAAAAGGCACTGATTTAGGGATGGGCTTTTTTGCAAAATACATTTTTCAAGCATTCAGGGAAGAAGGGGTTTAAAAGGCACTTGGCGTTGGGGGGGGTTGACGATACCCCTTGGGCTTCTTTTTGATGCAGTCCTTAGGCAGAAAGTATTTAATGCATAACGTTTAAACATCTCCAATCGCTGCTGAATGATGCCCAGCCAGTCTACTACAGTGCTTTTGAAACGACAAGTAACCCTTTTCCCCTTTTTTGATTCCAATCCTCCACTCTCACAACGGGGTATCTAATTTTTAGTTCAACAAGCCCGAAGCCAGAGCCTCGAGGTCTTCCAACGTCTCGGGCTCACGGTCAATCTCGAGCACCTTGCCGCCCTTCTTGGCCTTCTTCTTCTTCTCCCTCTCCTCGTCAGAGTCGTCCTGGAACCACTTCTTGGTCTTCTTCTTTGGCCTCTCGTCCTCGCTACCGCTGTACTCGCCGTCGCCGCCGCCGCCGCCGCCGCTTTCGCCCGCAATCGGCAACGACCGCAACAGCGCCAACGGATCTTCGTCGCCGTCCTCGCCGCCACCCGCCACCTGCGGTCCCTCGGCACCACCCCGCGCCGCGCCGCCCTCTCCGCGCTCCTCGGCCTCCCTCTGCTTCCTCTTGAGCCTCTTCTCCTTGAGCCGCCCCTTGGCGGCCAGCTTGTCGTCCACATCGGCCTCCTTGACGCGCGCCGCCTCGTCCGCGACGAATTTCTGCCGCAGTGCCTCTGCGGGGCCTTCCTTTTCAAAGTCGTCTTCGTTTTGCAGCTCGTATATCTGGTGCGCGTTGCCGTCCTCGTCAAAGACGAGCTTTTCGCCGCGGCCCTTGAATTTGAGCATCTTCTTTTTGGATTGGAGGGCCTTTTCGCGGCGTTTCGAGTCGACGATGAAGTCTTGGCCGCCGTAGGATATCACCTTGGGCTTGGCGCCTGCGGCGAGGTTGGATTCGGCGTCGAGTTCGTCGTCGCCTAGGACGCGTTTCACGGAGAGGAAGTCTTCTTCTTCTTCTACGTCAGCGCCTCCGTCTGCGTTGGCTACGCCGCCGGTGACTTCGTCGCCGTTGGCCACGAGCTTGGTGTAGTGCCCGGAGAGGACGTCCTGGTTCGTGCGTTCAAACATGCGGTCGTACTTTGTCCGGACCTCGGGCTTCTTGGGCTTCTTGGGTCCGGCCGCCGCCGCCGCCGCCGCGTCGTCCGAGTCCTCCTCGTCCTCGTCGGAGGACATGCCCTTGCGGGGCGCGTTCTTGACCTTTTTAATGTCCTCGCCCTTGCGCATCTTGATCTGCGGCGCACCGGGGAGACCGAGGCTGGCGGCGAAGGCGTCGAGGTCGAGCTTGTTGAACTTGAAGACGTCTTTATCCTTTTGCAGGTAGATGGAGCGGACGTAGCTGATAAAGGCCTTTTGGCCGAGGTATTTGAGGTCCGGATTGGAGAAGCACATGCTCTGGAGCTGGTTCTTGATGCTCTTCTTCTTGCTCTCCTTGACGGTGATTTTGTTGATGGGCACCTTTTTCAGCTCGAGGCGCTTGAGCATGCCAGCCTCCTCGCTGGGCTCGAGGAAGAGGACAGCTTTGCCGTCGCGCTCGTAACGGGCGGTACGGCCGACGCGATGGATGTAGGTGTCGACGTCCTCGGGGCAGTCGACCTGGACGACCCAGTCGACGGCGGGGAAGTCGACGCCGCGGGCGACGACGTCGGTGGCGAAGAGGACCGAGGCGTTTGCGTCGGCGAAGCGCTTTGTGATCTCCATGCGCTGGAGCTGCTTCTGCTTGCCGAGGAGGTGGAGCAGCGGCACGCCGGGCTGCAGGTGCCTCATGCCTTCGTACGCGAAGCGGACCTGTTTGCCCGAGGAGAAGAAGACTATGATTTTGCTCTTGAGGTTGGCCTTGATGAAGCCGAACAGGGTGTCGAGCTTCTCGTGGAGGGGCGTGACGATGTAGTGCTGCTGCAGGTTCTTGGGCGTCGACTCCTCGTGGACGGAGACGTATTCCGGGTCCTTGAGGCTGAGGCGCGCTAGATCGGAGATCTTTTTGCTCTGCGTCGCGCTGAAGAGGAGCGTCTGCCTCGTCGAGGGGAGGTGGTCGACCAGCGCGTCGACGGCGTGCTGGAATCCCATGTCCATGATGCGGTCCGCCTCATCGAGCACGAGGATCTGCAGGTTGTCGACATCGAAGCCGGCCGTCTGGTCGAGGTGCTGCAGCATGCGGCCGGGCGTGCAGACGAGGATATTCATTTTGGACAGGCGCTCGGCCTCCTCTTTCAGGCTCTTGCCGCCGATGACGAGGCCGGCGGAGAAGTTGTGATAGCGGCCGACCTTGCGGAGGACCTCAAAGATTTGGGCGGCGAGCTCGCGGGTCGGGGAGATGATGAGGGCGCCGAGGCCGTCGAACTCGGTCCATTGCGCGCGGTAGAGCTTCTCGAGGACGGGGATGATGAAGGCGAGGGTCTTGCCGCTGCCCGTCTTGGCGGCGCCGAGGATGTCGTGGCCCTTGAGGGCGAGGGGCACGGCGTGGGACTGGATGTCGGTGAGGGTCTCGAAGTGGGATTTCTCGAGGCCTTTCCGGGTCGTTTCGCAGAGGGGGAGGTCGGAGAAGTTGCTGTATTCGCTCTTGGGGTCCTATTGATCCGCGGAAACCGTGAGGCCTTGGGGTCAGTCTTTGTTCCACAAAGTTTTGCAATTGTCCTGGGCTCAACATGGCGGGCGCGCAAAAAGACTTACAAAGTCGGCGACGGCTTTCTCGAGCTGCTCAATGGTCTGCAGCTGTTGCTGTCGCTTTTCGAGGCGCGTGTCTCTCTTCAGGACCTTGGGCTGCTGCTGCTTCTTCCCGGATCCCTTTGCGGGGGCCTTTGTGGGAGTCGCCATTTTCTCGTCGTCTGGATGTGTTGAGCCTTTGCAAGGCGGGAGGATCCAAAAAAAAAAAAAAAAAAGTCCTGATGTTCCTTGGAGGAATCGCTGGAAATTTTTTGGCGTCGGGTTGCTGCGGTGGAGTGGAAAGTTCGGCATTCGGCGACAGGGGACGCCTCGCGTGGGGTCCCCAGTAGCGGTCGGATTACAGCTGGCACCATCTGGTTACATAATCCATCTTTCCACTTGCGCTACCATCTCAAATCCAATCCAGATGCTTCTATGGCAAGTCCTGAATTTACTCTCAAACTCCCCTCTGTCTCTATAATAGCTGTCTGACTGTGTTTTTAACAACTGTATTTAATTTGTTCAAGTTTTTTCATTCTCCAAATTACAGCTCTTTTCCCTAGGCTGGTCATTACGAAGTTGTTCTTTGTTTAGGTTGAAAATTGAAATAGTCGATAAATGTGCGATAATTAAACAATAGGTGCTACAACAGGACTAGCGATGGGGATTTGGCTGAGCGTAACTTCGAGAGGTACTCTTACCACTGTTTACCCCCAACCGTCTCCAAGTTGTATCGACGTATGTTATTTACTCCGTAGAGATAGCTGTTTAAGAACAATACTTTTAAGGTTATGTCCTTCTTAATGAAATTTGTCTATCATAAGGCCGAGAGGCACTGAGACCTCAGACTCGGTTTTTTTCAACTCAACAAAGAGGAATGGCTGAAGCCTAGCGGTGTAGCCGCTTTCTTTTCTACCCGCGCTGGCTGTAGTTAGGTTTTCGTCAGAGACCTTGGGAGAAGTCGTGTCTCCGGTGTCTTAGTCACGCTCACTGTGACTCACATTGTGAGCTTTTAACCACCTTGATGGTTGGTTTAATGGAGGTCTGTAAAATGTATCCGTCGATTCGTCTGCCTGTTTGCCCGCGTCGTGGCTGAAAAAATGGCCCACAGGGCTACCTTGTTGGTTTATATTATCTTCCTGAACTGTGTATTTCGCCTACTCTGCGTTGGACATAGAGGTCGAGATTAATTTATACAATACCTTTCGATCACTGGGTTTTCGAGTATTAGGCTAACAAAAAAGTGCTCTTATTGAACGTTATCTGTTGGGTTTTTTATATAGGGTGAAGTGATGGATCGCTCCTGGGGGTGCGTGATGTTTAACCTCTGCACGGGATGGGTCTGCTGTAACTTGCATCCACATAGTCCTGATACCTTTGGTGGATGACTTGAATAAATTTATCTCGCGCCCCGTTTCGGCCTTGTGGGGGTTGTCTATGAGTAATAACGTCCCCGCGAATTATGAACCGGCCGAGATTATATGTCTGCTCTTGGAGTTTGTGTTCTAGGAGAAGATAGAGAATAAGCCTACGCTGTAACCTGGAGTGTAGTAAAACGATTATCATCCCCAACACCGTCATATTCCCCATCCCACACGCAAACTGCGGAAGTCGACTTGTATAGTCCTGCAGCCATACCCGGGACGCATCTACTACTCTTCACTCCTTCTCAATCCTTATATCTGACCGTGATTCTGGTAAAGCTTAATAATTCTGTATCACTGGAGTGCCTTACGCTGAATTCGCCTCTCCCGAGTCGAGTACCATATACTCTCGCTCATGGCCCAGTTTCATCACAGACCGGCTGGTTCTCGAGATATTATTAATCTGCTGTTATTTCATTCTGGTGTCGGCATACTATTATAATTCCTGGAGCAGCGCTGCTCAAAACACTGGCACTTTCTCCGTAATCAACATAGAAGAAAGCTTAATAGAATAAGCAAATACATTACGACCTAAAACATGCAAGTGTCGTACTGGCAATGGCTTTTGTGGCGCCAATTTCCTAGCCCCTATCGCTTCCCAAGCTGCACCATGAGGTCGTCCTGGCCTCCGGTCAACGTCTCTCGGTACCCATCTCCATCGGCCGGAAAAGGCAGATGTCGCGTCGGCTGCCTCTGATACCGCCCTCCTCGTCCGTCACCATCGGCCTTGGGCACGCGGGTAGTGCCCCAATCCATTGCCCGCAGGTCCTTCACTTCCAGGACCCAGGTTCCGCGCCAGTTCTCTTCCTTCTCAACTACCTGCTCGAGTCTCCAGGGGAACTCGGTATTTGGGCGATATTCCCATCCCTTTTTGGCCGCTACTGTCGATTTATGCTTAGGAGCTGTATGGGCTTCGAGGCCATGGCAGCACGTGCAGCAGTCGACTTTGGTGTCGACTTTTGCGTCGATCTTGGTGTCGACCTTGGTATTGTGTTCCGGGTTTTCCTTCTTGACGCCGGTGATACGAACAAGTACGGCAAGGTATCGTTTTGCAAGGTCATTGAATCGTCCCATTGCCGAAGCTGTGTACAATATCGCCCCCGAAAGATTGTCTAGTCGTGACTTTGCCCTTGCTAGTGTTCATAGGTTAGCCAAGGAAGTCCTGTCGCTTAATGAGATAGATCGTGGGCTGGTGGAGATGTGCTGCTGTGACAAATATTTAGGGGTCGTATTGTATAGCTAAGTCTGTATCGTCCGCTGATCTTTGCTTGAGGTGGGCGAAGGAGATAGATAGTGGGGTAGCAACAGTTCTGCCTTGTGTGCCTGGTCAACGTAAGGGTTGGAGACGTGTTGAAAGCGCGGATGTGTTCCGTGCTTATTATTGAGCTGGAGGTATTGATCCAACGAAGTTCGATGTTAAGCCCGCTGTCGTCTAGTGCCTGAAAGAGAGAGATGAGGGAGTAGTATTTATCTGAAATACGGATTTTAGTTGCTTAGCGGGACAGGTGCTTCTCTTCGGGCGTTGGGGATACTTACGGTTTCGAGGCAAAGTCTTTGAGTCTTCGAGGCAGACTCTTGGCGAGGAAGCAGTGGGCTTTTATGCCCCTCTGGCAGCTTCCTCGCAAGGTTCCTAGGGACCTTGATGGAAGGTTGAGGGCCTACCTTTTGTATTGACCTTCAGCATCTGAGACCTTCCGTATATCACATGCCCTTTCCCGCGGCGCTTAAGAGTCCGGTAAGTCTCTCCAGTCTTCTGAATGAATATGTAGGGCCGTATCTCTCATAATAACTGCGCTGTTGTCGATAACCCTGTGCCTTTAAGAAGAGATAATTCATCTCGTCTTGGGCAAAAAGAAGAGCTCTTAACTCTCAATTATTTTGTCTTCATTTGACTCGCATTGATTCAGAATATTCTGTTAAGCATTTGCAGCATGATATGGTGAAATTTCTGATAATAACATTTGAGTTTGGAAAACTCTGGCACTCACATGTCTAAATTAACTGCATCATTTTCTTTACATCTAAGAATTATTGAAAATGACAAAGTTTGGTGGAGGCTCTGATGTAGATATAGCGCAGCAAGAAAGAAGTTCATAACGACCTCGACAGCCTTTCTGATAAGGAAGAAGCGGGGGAAAGGCCAGCCTTCCTTCTAGAGACGTTGTGAAACATTCAACTCTATTTTGAGTTCCTTCCGACATGAATTCCCTCAAAAGCAACATTGTAGTAGGATTCAGAGACTATCGTCCGTAGAAGTCTCAAAAGGCTTGGGCACACCCGATGGACGCTGTTGAATGTCAAAAATATCAAGTCATGCTTTGAAACGTCGAATATGCCCGTTGAATTCACCCGACGACCCAGCATCAGGCTTCAGTGGTCTGAAATACGCGGTAGCTGACACACCACATTGAACTGGCCCTATGAGAAGCTGCAGAAAAGGCGTGGCCTGCATAAAATGAGACGCAATGTGCTTACCGCAGAGGAAGATGGAATACGTGATTGATAGAACCTTATACGCACCTACACCGATGTCGATGGTAGGCCGGACCGATCTCGCATGTATCTCCTACAGAAGCACAGCTGCTTGATTGTCCAGCACTCGCTCATGCAGCAAATCATTGGTCTGGCTTAGGCGAATCAAAAGATACGCTAACCGGTTGGCTTTCGATAGCGCCATGCACCAGTCGGCATGTTATATGCAGGCTCCAAACGTCGAGGCAGGCTGTCGTTGAAGGGCGGGGAGCGATTTGACAAGAAGACCGCCTTGTAGACTACATGTAAGCATGTATACTTCTCGCTGAAGTTATGGGATAAAAAATAATTGCGTTGACCTCAGTTTGCCTTAGCCAGTTGGCTTTTCATATCAGTGTAGTTTCCTACATGTAGTATTTAATGCCTTCTCATGTGTTCTCCCCTGTGCATTTTTCTTTCTCGCATCAAAGCCGTTCTGCCCAGCTCATCTTCTTGGAACAGTTCCCAAGAAAGCCCAAAGTGCAAGATACATATAAAGCCTTGTCACTCTAAATTACTGAACCACAACCATGTCCACCGCTATTCAGTCGAGCGCATCAATCCAGGCCCCTTCGCCCCAAAAGTGGGCTTTGCTCATTGGCGTGGACCACTACACTCCGGGAAATAAAAGAGGAGTGATATTCAAGGATCTCCATGGTTGCGTCAAAGACGTTAAACGGGTCGAAGAACACCTCAGGAAGGCTGGGGTCTGCAATATCTCGAAGCTGACAGCGACTCCGAGCACAATCAGCAGCGATCCACTCGAGCCTGAGAACCTGCGGCCGACATACGACAACATCAAGAGAGAGTTCGACCGCATCCGAGACAATTCAGAGAAAGGAGATCTCTTGTATATCCACTACTCGGGTCATGGAATCAGTCGGAAAGAGCTGCAAGACAAAAAGCCCACTGGGGGTGACTCTTTCAATGGGACTGCGCTGGCTCTCATGGACGTCATGGCTGGCGGAGCCTATCTGACCGGATATCAGGTCGGAGCATGGATCAGGCAGCTTGTTGAGGGTAAACGCCTTCGGGTGTGTCTTATCCTCGACTGCTGCTTCTCCGGCAGGGGATTCCGAGCAAATCTGCCCAGTGATTACAACTTCCGCACTCCAGGTGGATGCGACACAAAGTATTTGAGCAGCGACGAGAATGCCGATGAAGTAGCCGATACCATTGAAAGTGAACTCGGTGTCAAGGACGACAAATCGGGAAATCAGGTCAAGGACGGAGGACACAGGAACGCCAAAGTGAGGCGTTCGTGGCTGTCTGATCCATCCGGATGCACAATCATCACTGCCTGTGAGTACAATCAGAAAGCGGGAGAATGGCCATTCAAAATCAGAGAAGGAATGAGCGGGGTACTCACACACTGGATGCTGGATTTGCTTTCCCATTCAAATCTGCTGGAACCCCCTTCTTACGAACGAATTGCGCAATATGTTGCTTTCAAAATTCAGAATGAAATGGACAAGATCCAACAAACGCCAGTTGTCCTCGGCGACGGGTTTTGCGAGTTCTTTGGGCACAAGAAGATTGATCGAAAACCCTCCCACAGTATCAAAGTCGTGTCACAGTCGAAACCCGATGAGAAAGAATATCAAATGGGCATTGGGGCCGCGCAAGGAGTGGAGGTGGGAGATATCTACGCTGTCTATCCCAGCTGGCTCCGACAAACCCAGGCCTCGGACGTTTCCCAAATCCGTATCACTCGTACGAGCACATTTACCTCTTTTGGAACCATTCACAAAGGCTTGGATATATCGATAAAGAATGGGGATCTAGCCGTTAGGGAGTCTTGGACCAGGAATCGACTGCAGCGCATCAGAGTGAAGATTGATATCGATTCTCAAGAGCCAAAGAGCAGAAGAAAAAGCCTCGTAGTCTTGGAGGGCAACCTGAAAAAGGTTCTCGGCCAATGCCTCGAATTGGGCGACTCTACGGGTGCGAGTCAAGCATCATCGGAAATCGCCAGCTTCACGGTCTTGGTAGGCACCGAGGTCATCGAAATACGCGATGGCAAGAACATTCATTTGGACCGCGTGCCAAAGATTTCCGTGAAAGACCCAGAGGCAAGCTGGAAAGTCGCCTCCATTCTTGTTCATCTATCCCGCCTCAGCAATCTGAGGGACCATCACGGATCCGTGGTTCCAGAAAGCTTGGAATCAGTCAGGTTCACTTTCGAACCTTTCGACAGGAAGAAGGATGAGATTCTGGATAAAAACACCACTGGCTTATACAAAGCACGGGACGGTCAAGAAATTCGACTCCGATTCAGGAATGTTTCAGCGTCCCAAAATATCCATCTCGCCATATTCTCCTTCAATGCCACATGGGGAGTCGAGAAATTTTGGCCCGCAGACGGTCAGCCAATGCAACTTGTCCCGCCGTACGAAAGGGACAGTAGAGCAGCAAAGAAACAAGAGGTGTGCCGCTCACTAAAAGTGAGCATCCCGCCGAAAGCCAAGCCAGAGGACTCAAACAAGGTAGTGGATCTCTACAGAGCCTACATCTACCAAGGGGAGCTCCCAACATCATGGGATGAGATATGCTTGCTGGACTTACCGAGCAATGCATCTGAGATCACTAAGCTGGGATCGGAGCCGCTGAAACCTTCACTCAAAAAGTTCAAAAAACATGAACGTGGCCACGAGACTCGAAATGGCAAGGCCCTTGACGATTCTGAATCAGAGAGCGATGAAGAAGTTGATCGCCATTGGTGGGTCTTAGATTTCCGAATTCAAGTAGGCGCTTAGCTGGGAAACTGCTGTTGATGGACTGCATGTTTGATGGAAGTAGACGCACATGAGGTGTTCTTTCGATATCGTTGTTCGCTTCCAAATTCGTAATAAACTTTTTGAACGATCAAATCGTAACTTCCATCTTGTTAGATCCAATCCCTCGTGTTCAGAAACTGTTTGTGAATTCCATGTCACGACTCACGTAGTACTAAAGAAAAGTGTCGACCTCGTGGCGGAGAGGAGAGTTCATTACTTGTGCAAGGACAAGATATCCCACCGACTATCTAAATGCTTACAGATTACTCATGATGAGGTAGGACTACCTCTGACATCAAGCTGCGTTATCCATTTTGCCGAACATGTAGCATGCTGGCTCCTCAAAAAACCAAAGAAAAGGTGATTATGGAGCCTTCCATCTTATTTCAATTTATGCTGCTTCACACATCATCAATGCCCTCATTCTATCTAGTCATCCTTTTGCTACCTCAGAATGGAGAATTCCGATTCTCGCATGCGACAACGGATTCCCCGCGTTGGATTCGACATCAAAAACCTCGCACCCATGTTCATTGTCATCCTCTGAAATGTCGACCTCAAAGTACGATCTATCGTCTGTGTCGCTGCCACGGCCGCCATGGATCGGTTTCCACTCGGTTTTCGGGTTCAACGTGACAGCCAAATCTTTTTTCTTCAGCCCGATTTTTACTTTGCGGTATGATATGGCAAAAATCCTCTCTCCTGGACTGTCCATTATGCTGTGATTCTCTGTGATGGATTTATGGCCTGCGCTGAATGACAAGTCTGTGGAGCCGGTAGCATCACCTGCTAGGGAACCGACTGGAAGAGTGGAATTCGCTCCAATACCGGAGGACTTGTGCTCGCCGTGGATAGATTTGGCATTGGTGAATGTTCGGATGCCGGTGATAAAGCGAGGCGAAGCCTTTGTCATGTGGCACAATTCAAGCCATTCTTTCATTTTAGGGCCCATCTGAGCATCTGTCATGATGGTCAAGAAAAGACTCGCGGGCTTCTTCAGAGAATAAATTTTCCCAGCCTTTGCGGTGATGTAGACTTTCTCTCCGACCTGGCGTCGAGTGAACGCGCCTACGAAGCGCGTGACCAGGATTTTGAAGAAAGTCTCGGACGAGGTGTTCATGTCACCTTCGAAATTATCGTCCGGCTGAACGAAGAAATCGCTTTCTTCAATAGTATAAGGGCATTCCGCATCCTCGTGGGGTTGACTAATGTCGGGCACGAAGCTTGCCAGGTTGATTTGACCGAGGATGAACGGAGACCTTGTCAGGACGAAGGTAGAGGACATGATGATCTCTGGTGTAGGGCACCTCTGCTGCACTCTGAACGACACGAGAAAAGAGCAATCAGAAGAAAACTTGGGTAGCAACGGTTCAAGAAATGCCGATAGGGACTGGAGGTGACGTATATCTATGTACTCGTTTCTCGATGGTGGCCCCATGCTCAACTGTTACCCAGCATATGAGGTGTCGGAAACTCTGCGCTGTTCATCAATGATAGGCCAGCGGCACCGTGATTCATTCTCCTTCCCGCGTTGCATCAAGCTGCATAAGCCAATAACCAATAGATCTTTTTCTCACTGCGGCGCCGTGGCTCGGGCCACGCAAGCTAGTCTTACAAATGTACCTTGGTGATTTCAATTTATTGATTGGAAAATGGTGTAGCACTCACCTAATATGATACATGGAAGAAGAGCCGCACTCGGCTCGGGCCACTTGACCTAATGTCTAGTAGATCACGTCTCTCCTTTGGATGAAAATAGACCTGAATCTTGAACTATTCGGCTCCACTGGGTTCAAACATGACCTGCAAGAGCATGCTCGAGACAATTTGTTCGTGATGAGACGACCAGTACTTTCTTGCTTCACCTGGTTTATACATCATTCTATCCACACGAAAGACTATGACTGTAGAAGAATGTCCTAGATACCGACATGGATGAAAGGCCCCCAGTTCAAGACGCTATCCTGTTCCTGACAATTCAGTCTATATTCCTTGACAGCCTCATGGAGCGCATTCGCGACATCCATCCGGCTGTCTCCTCCATCGGGGCCTGCGAGCTTTCCAAGCTTTTCGTAAAACCTCTTTGCGACCTCCCCAGCTGCAGCGTCATCGGCTCCCCACATCGTTCCAACAACGTGCTGGAAGCCCAACGCCTGAAAAGAGTTGGCAAGGTGAATGGCCTCCCCAGCGAGACTGCCATCGGTCTGTTCCGCCGTCGAACAGGCAGACAGGTACACCACGGAGCCTTCCTTGAGCTCGACGGCGTCAAGGTCGGCTATCGTCAAGTCGGCGCGTTTTCCGTCCTTTACGAGCAGGAGCCCGCTTTTGTTCGGATCGTTACCGATCGACGCGCCATGGCATGCAAAGTGTACGAAGGAGCAATCCGTTATCTTTTCGAGCACAGTGTTCGGGTCTGGGTGAGCCAGGTGATGCATCTTGCCATCGGGAAAAACCGATTTGATTGCTTCTTCCTCGTATGCGGTATTGAGGTTGTGATGCGGAGGCGGGTTGGTTGACATGGTGACAAGTAACATGCCCTGCCTTTTGAACGAAGCAGAGCGCCTTTCGCGGGCGAACTTGAGAGCCTTGAAAGAAGAGATATACGATGACCTCATCCGGCTTTTCGCACTTTCATCTGGGCCACTGGCATGGGGTCCCGCCGCATGGAACGGCGCCCTTCCAGCTAACCCACTCGTAATCCACCACAGACGTCCCGAGGACGTGAGCTCTGTGACATCCAGTATTGGACGCACTGCAACGTCCCACAACCATTCGAGAGCAGCGTCAGTTGAGGTTTTCTCCAAGTCTGAAGGCTCGGGTATCGGCACCGCATTCCTTCGAGCTGCGTTCCCCAGCCTGCTGAATATCGACACGCGTTCTTGCAAAGCCTGATGCGTTAACTTTTCGAGCGGTAGGGATTTGATGCAGTCTTTTGTAACAATGAATGCGTCGCTGCGGAGCTTTGACACGTTGATTGTGACGACCGGACCCTCTGCTGCAAGATTCATCACTTGTTCGGCATCTAGGGGTAGCTGGAACTGCTCAAACCCTCTTAGACGCCTGATTTCGTCTTCCTTGCGTCCCATTTCTCCAAGCAGAGATTTCTGGAGCGTGCTGGCAGTATTGTAATTGCCTCCAGTCTTCAGCTGGCGTGTCGCTTGAACGAGTTTGGTCCTTATGTTGACGTAGGCACTTGCTACGTCTGGGTGCTGCCTCTCCAGTTCCGATGTGTCCGCTCTAGAACTCATCGTCAGGCCAGCTATGACGCAGTTCGCAGACTCCAGAGACTTCAACGCTTCGAAGGGACGCCCAAGAGCTAGAGAGGTAGATGCTGCATAGCTTCCGAGACCGGGTATGTCACGTAATGTCTGTTGGAGGTCTTCTGCGGACGCTGCCTGGAGATTGCTGTTGGTCAAAAGCCCAATGGCATCCTGGAAAAGCTTGTTGGCCTCGTCGAGCTCTTTTTCATCGTAGTGATTGAGACCCGCCTGAAGCGCTGACGGAATTCGGATGGATAGCGTCGCGGTGACCGTCTTCGCCGCCTTGTTCAACATTTCATTAGCACGCCGAAGTACTTCGGGGTCTTTGAGAACAAGATATTTGGAGATGAGCATCAAGGCGAGATTCTTGCGCCTTTCTCCTATGTTTCTATCGTCGTCTTTGGTTTCATTGACGGCTCTCTCTCCAAGGTCGATGGCCGTATCTAGGAGCTGGAGACTTCTAAGCTCTGGCATGGTTTCTCGAAGTATGCTGTACTTGATCTCCCACAAGTGTGATAGATTAGAAAGTAAGGTCGGGTCGTCGATTGAATGGCCCGTGTTCAACTCGAGGGCACGGTTCAAAATTTCGATGCCCTCATCCGCCTGTTCGGCATCCTGCGACATCTTGGCCTTTGTCCCCATCCACGAAGAGATCATAGAGAGGAACAGAGAACTGTGTTCCACGTGGGGACGGTTTTCTTCGAAAGGACGCATGATAGAAAGTGCTTCGCGACCGGCCTTCAGCGCCTCGTCAAGAGCTTCCATCGATAAGGGTGTATTCGTTTCGTAATACCTCTGGCTCTTCATTTCGAGTAACGAGCCATGGTTACATAGGTGGCCGGCACGCTGGCCATCGCTGTATGGACCACTATTTAGCGCGATCTTGAGCAGATTCGAGATTCTCAGCGCTTCTTCTAGGCTGTTGAGGTGACGGGTGACCCGAAAGTGTGCAATTAGCGCCAAAAAAGTACAGTGATATTCTTCCTTGCCCTCGGCTTCCTTTTCGAGTCTCTGGGTCGATTCGTAGCCGACTTTGATGGCCCGTTCAAGATGCCCCATGGATCCTGTGCACTCGAATCGGTGTGACAAGAGGGTTGAGAGGCACGTGAGTCTTTTAGATTCACGAGAAGAAGGCATCGTATCGCCAGGATCACCCTCTTGCTCCATAAAGTCGATTGCTTCGTCGAGGCTTTGCGCGGTGCGACCACGAGCTCCCTTTTGATACACCATTTCGAGAAGGTTGGAATATACCGAGTTCCAAGCAGGCTCTCCACTGTTGAGGCATTTCAACGCAAGCTTTCCGTTTTCAATAGCATCGTCAATGTCTTCGACGTTGTGCGAGTGCCGGAACATTTCCGAGAGTGAAGCCGCAAGATTGCCCAACACTCGCCCGCTGATGGTGTTATGCGGTGTCAAAGCTCGCGCAGCAGCCCGGCCCGCTCGCACAGCTTCGGCGACATCATTTGGGTTTTTGAAATCCAGCCATCTCTTGAGATAAAATTCACATTGCTCGTTCAATTTGGTCGCTTTTTCCTGGTGGCTTGGGTTGGCATCGTTCAGTTCGGCATTATTTCCAAATACACCATCTCGAGGCCCGTCGATGGAGGAGTAGCTGTCGATAGGTTGATAGTTAGACTGAGCAGAGTTGGACATTTCTGGTGTCTCAGAAATAGTAGCTAGTATGAATAATTGGCGGAAGCTTTGAAGTGAAATGAAGCGGTCTGAAATAGCGACCTTGGTAGATGTTGGGTAGGGAGTGTGCCATCGCCAAAACACTACACATCTCTGAGCTATTTATACTTTGCTTCCCAGATAAGCTGATATGTCCTGAATATTGAATGCAGTTTCCCGATCAGCCTCGCTGACTTCTATCTGCTGGTGTCAAGGTACCAATACCTTGGCTAAATCTAGTTGCCTCAGTGTTTTGCCCTCTTAATGGAGATTGACTTAAGCCCCGGGCTGCACGGTATGTTTGGAAAGAGTCGGTGGCTTGCTAGCTGACCGACCTTGTCGATCAAGTGCATCAACAGACATGATTTTGACCAGTGGTAATCATTGTTCGAATCTTAGGCACTTGCCCGACGGACATCCCCACTTCTTCAATCCATTGAAGGTCTTGAATAAGCCCGTGGCTTGCCAGCTGAACTGCGTTCTGTTAAAACGTGTCTTGGAAGCCATCGATGTGGCCAGTAGGAAGTTATTATAAAATCCCGCAAAGTTGGCTTCAAGGTATTACTCCTTTGCTGAGGGAGTCACTGCCAGTCTCAAACGGTTTGGTGGCTTGCCAGCCGACCTACGCGCTGCAATGATTCCCTGAGGTAGGAATATTCAGATAAATCATCCTTATCTACGGAGTAAGCAGTCACCGGATGCATCTTTGTTATCTGCTGAGAGGTCACTGCCGGTCGTGGATAAACCAGTGGCTTACTGGCCGAAATGCGGGTTGTACTCCATTTGCGAGCTGAAGCTCTGTGTCTTTAGGGAGGTTGGTTTTGGCAGCTTCAGTGAGGGGCAACTTAAGATCCTGTGTAGCACCCAAATTGGTCGGCCTTGTGTCCATATCTTAGTGAGACCTTGTTGTCGGCGTAACAATACGCAATTTTTGAGGCTTAAAGTGTGTCCTTGCTGTTAGGTTGCAGCGTCAATCACAGAGCCTCGAGGGCCGCTACACTACTTGATGTCACAGAATGATCTGGAACATTTATCACTCGACTGCCTTCGCCAGAGATCTTCAACACTTCAATACTGGCGAAAATTTCCTTTATAACATCGAGATCGGCGCCTTGAATGCTATGGTCTCTATCTCAAATCTGACCAGTTTGATGCAAGTTTTCTCTTTTCAAAGTCTAACTGATTTTTTTGCGGAGTCCGAATGCTTAATGACAGGCCACAAATCACAGTTTTCTATGGAATTGTCGACAACACATTTCACGTCAACAGAGAGTGGAGAGTTTATGTTTAAGCATATTAGTCAAGATCCTGTCAATTTTGTTGGCCGTGCCTCTTTCATGCTCTGCACTTCTTAATATTCAAATGCGCTCTTTGTGTCTTGGGTCATTCGTAATTTTATATGCCACTGAACCCAGTTGATACCTCATCACGGCACAGACCAAGGACTACCGTGGATAGCGACCTGGAAGACTGGAAAAAAGATTTTGCAAGTCTTCCAAATCAGTCAGGCCTCCTACCAGCATGAAGACAGCTAAACGAAGGCTTTCAAGGCTCAAGGCTTGTCATCACTTGTTTATCTGCTTGAACTGCAGACTGATGTGTAGGCACGTGTAGTCCTCATGCTCGATTTGAGAACTCTTAAAAAGGACGCCGAAATAGAAATGCGTATGACGGTATGCCGTGCATAAATAACTCCTATAGAAATCATTTATTGAAAGCAGGGTGATATCAAGGGTGTTAATGTGCCACAAACTCCAGTACCCATGGCCGAAATTATCTACATATGCTGCTTGTCCGATGTAGCCACCTTCACCCACCGTGGGGCGGTAATCCCAACTGAATTCTTTTCCTTTAGACTGTGAGAACCATTCCACTGAAGACTGACGCCATGATTTTATGGGGAGTTGTGTCTCTCATTCGTGGTGAGTTATATGAGGAGTCCAGCCATTGATGGATGACATGGGCAGTCATGGCTAAGCAGATCGTCACCTCAATTCGCGCAGCCGTTCTCAATACAAATGGTGGACAACTTCACCATTTGGGTTCAGATGTTCGAGAGAAAGGACTTGCGTACTTGATCAGACACAATGTAGATGAACAGTTTGAATAGTACATTGGTATGCGCTTTTCCGACGCTTGCTATGCTGACCGAAGGCGAATATGCGCTCTATGAGAAGCATATGGAATACAAAGAAGACCATAGAAGAAGAAAAAGGAAACGTCCTCTACATGACGTGGCAAATTTGCATCCCATATTAGATGACAAATGCAGCCAACGCCGCCGCAGCAATCACAAACAATCCGCCAGACGTCAGCTTGCCGGCACCGGCCAGGACGGGACCAGTGGTGGTGGCCGGGCATGCAGCGCCTACACAAGGGGAGGTAGACCCGGTTCCGACAGGGATCTCAGCGGTAGTCAGGGTGCCATTGTAAGGGGACGACGGTGCGAGAATCAAGGTCGTGGGCATTGGGGGCAGGCCGGTGGCGGTGCCGGAGGCGGCGGGGGTCTCGAAGACGGGCTTCTCGGCAGAGGCGGTGTTGGAGGCGGCGGGGACACCGACGGTCGGGACACCGGCGCCTAGTGGCGTTGAAGCACCGGAGGTAGCAGGGACGGGCTCATCAGAGACGGCGGGGGTGGGGTTCTCGGCGCCGGGGGCGACGGGGGTCACGAGCTTGGGGACTGTGGTGGAGATGAGCTGGCTCGTGACGATGGTGGACGTTCTAGCAGGGCAGTTTGTCACCTCTGCGGCGCAGGAGGTGATGGTTACGACGTTGGTCTTGTACGTGGTCAAGACGGTGGGTACGTCGGTGGTAACGGGGACAGGCTTCTGGCCCTCGGTGGTGACGGGGGCGGCGGGCGGCTGTCCTCCCTCGGTGGTGGGCTTGGGGATGACGGCGCTGGTGATGACGGTGGAGGTTCTCGCGGGGCAGTTTGTCACCTCGGGAGCGCAAGAGGTGATGGTGACGATGTTGGTGAGGTAGGTGGTGATCTGCTCGACGGGGACCTGGCCTGTGACGACGGGCTTCGCGGACTCGGCGGCGGTGGGGATGGCGGGAACGCCGGGGATTGTGGTGGGGATGACCTTGCTAGTGACAATGGTCGTCTCTCTGGCGGGGCAGTTGGTCACCTCGGGGGCGCAGGAGGTAATTGTGACGACGTGGGTCTCGTAGGTTGTGATGGCGGTGGTGATGTCGGCGACGGGCTCCTGGGAGCTGACGGTGATGGGAGCATTGCCGCCGGCGGGCTTCGAGGGGGTGTAGCTCTCTACGGGAACGGCCAAGGTCGTCGGTATGACGGCCTGGCTGGTGACGGTGGTCTCTCTGGCGGGACAGTTGGTGATCTCGGGGGCACAGGACGTGATGGTGTGGACCTCGGTCTTGATTACGGTCAATTGGGTAGGGACGTCGACGACGGGGCAGATGGTGGTGGTGACGGGGACGATCTCGGTGACGACCTGGGGGGTCTCGCGGGCCGGGCAGTTGGTGACTTCGGGAGCGCAAGAGGTGATGGTCTTGATGTTGGTAGCGTAGACGGTGGAGGTCGCCAGGCGGGTGGGCAAGCTCGTGGGCAGGCTCGTGGGCAGGCTCTCGACGGCGGGAATCGTCGCAACGGGCTTCTCGGAGGCCACGGCGCTGGACACAGCGGAACTGACCGCAGAGGGACTGACGACAGCAGTCTGAACGACAGAGGAGCTGACGACAGCGGAACTGACCACAGAGGAACTGACCACAGCGGTCTGAACGATAGAGGTAGGGGCGACAGTCGAAGCCGCAACCTGGCTGGAGATGACGGAAGCAGTCGCGTTACCGTCCTTGAGGTTGTAGATCTTGATCGAGCTGATCTTGAAGAAGACGTCGGCAAAGGCGGCCGGGTTGGCGGCAACCCACTCCTTGCAGGTGAGACCAGTCTTTGCCGCACAAGTCTGGGTCCAGATGCCGTCGTTGCCCGCCACGCCGCAAAAGTCAATGTTGGCCACGAGCTTCTGCTCTTCAAACAGCTTGTCGGCCGCGCAGGTGCTGGTGGTGAAGCTGGGCGTGCCCCAGGTGTCCGGGTTCGGGCTGGCGCTCGCAATGTCGGCGGGGACGTTGGCGTGGGTGAAGCCCCAGACGCGGACGGCGGTGTCGGTCCACTGCATGGCGTACACCCCTCCCTCGGCCGAGCCGAAGGGGGCGGCGGCGTCGAGGCCGGCGCAGCCCTCGTTGTCGGACTGGCCCGCGGCGTAGTTTGCGCAGTTGGGCTTGCTGATGGTGCCGGTCATGTTTGTGCCGTCGATACGGCACTCAGCGAGGGTGCCGTCGGTGTGAAGGACGACCTTGTTCACGTTGTCCTCGTTCCAGGTCTCGACGATGTCGATTTCGCCGGCGGCGGGCCAGGGGTTGCCGACGGTCCAGCTGTGGATATCTTATAAGCATGTCGCATATGGTATGTATGTGGGTGATTTGATGCAAAGCAACTTACACCGCAGGCCATGCACCGCAGACGGGTTTGGGAAGGTGAGAAAAGTTGATGACGAAAAGACCCTGGCCATACTTGGCCGTACTCTCGATTCTTACACTGCTTCTGCCGATACCAGCGGCATCGAGCTTAGTTGTAGAGTCGACACCGAGGTAAAGGTCACCATCGACGGTCTTCACGAGACCCAAGCTCTGAGCCTCCTCTGCCGACTTGTAGCTAACATATCCACCAGTGGGGTCAACATCGTTGTAGTTTCCGGTCGAGTGGTCACTCTAGTGAAAGAAACATGGTCAGCCGGCTTCTCACCAGATACTTGTGTTGTGCCCTTCGACTTGAAATATACCGTAAAGAAGCCAAACTTCTCAAGAAAGTTGGTCGAGTCGTAGCTGTCTGCCAACTGGTAGGTCTGTTGGGCAGTGACGGAAGACGTGAGGAGGAGGGCGGAAGAGAGCGTGGAGAAAAGCGAAGGCGCCATTATGGGCTAAAGTTCGATAAAACAAACAGAAAACGAAGTCGAAAAGTTACTAAAACACAACCACTGAAACTAAGGTAGAAAAATAAAATACGTTCAAGAAACGACAGAAATGGCGCTTCAAAGCAGAGTGAGTGAACGGAATGAAGGATCTCAAAGGCTTGTTTTAACAAAAGAGTGACTTAAAGAGACCAGAAAAGGAATCTTGAAAAAAGGTGTGAGAGAGGGCCTAGATGCGCAGGGCGCCTGCTCCCATGGGGTTATCTAACAGTCTTATACCGAGCTGAAAAGACGGTCGACCCAGATTCTCTCCTGGCCATTCGTTTCACCCGCGGAGCTATGGGAGGAAGTGCTTCAGGGGGTCTACAGCCTACCTGCTTCTCCAGCAATCTCATTCTCATTGGATCTCCGCGTCCCGACGAAGTCCTAGTGAGCAGGCTCGGGAACGGTGCCTCGTTCAGGGGCTCTGGACGGAGAACGAACCAGAACATCCATAGCCCGCTCCTGTACTCGACCCCCTTGACAGAGTCTACCGGTTCTGGGAATATCTCAAGGGTTCTTGTGCCTTGTCTAGTCGCAGACGTAGGCAGTGGTGGTTCCACCTCCTCGCATTCCCATGCCTCTATGCCACTTGTGCATTGACATATGCGCCTGTGAGTGGGAACAAGAACATGTTTCCTGCAGGCCCAGAAACCTCAAACACCAGAATGCATGCACTAAGTCCACCTTCGACCATGGGACGCCAGGAACGGCACGGCGGTTGGCTGGCGGCTCAGGCAAAGTCCGCGCAAAAGGTGGTCGTCCCGAGGCCAATGAAGTGGAGGGCGCATGTAAGCCCACCCCTGCTCGCCATCCAGGAACGGGCCCTTGATCAGAACTGAGTGGACTCGAGTGGGCTGCAACGGGGGCCTGCTGGTGGTCTGGGTGGATGTCGTGAACGTGGTGTGTTGTTTTTCTTTGGACTGACGGGCAGGCAGGATCCGCTGTTCCCCTTTTTTTTTCACCATTGAACATTCGAGCCACTGTCCCGCGCTAGGCAGGGGTTGTCTCACTCAAGCCGCCGAGATCTTGATGGCGCTGGTCTCTCTTGGGGGCGGGATTGGCAAAGATCTTCTGCACCGTTGCATCGGATCCTCTAGAGCAGCGGCGGCTTTCTTCAAGTTCTTCCTTTTTGATACAAATATCTTGCTATCCATCACTTGTCCTCAATGCCACATGTATTCTTTCAGTTACGTTACACCAGAGCGACGGATCATGAATAAATTTTCCTTTGGTCCCCTCAACACTTGGCCATGGGGCGCCTTAAACCCGTCGAATTGCCGTACTTACCACATTCCCATATCCGTTCACACACACCTCTCGGGATTGGAGGGCCCCAAAAAAACAACGTGTCGCTTTGACTACCACCTATTCCCGCTCAGGGGCTGAGCCTCCCGCTTCGGAAGTCAACGACCAATCGAGACATTCACAGGGCTGGTTTCCGCGGCGTAGTGGCGGCCGTCGTATTCGAATCTGTATTAGCGAAGGAGTTGCCCCGGTGGAGTTATCAACAGAAGGGGAGGGAAAAAAAAAAAAAAAAAAGCGGCACAGTTGTTGCATGTGGGTTCCCAATCTTTTGCTGCCCACCTAGGTCCTCATGTTCGGAGCATTCCACAGGGCGAAGCTGCACAAAGACATCAAATGCAATGGAAACACCCGACAGAACTGTTGGGACAGGTCCGATTGGAGAACCTTTTGTAGGTATTCCGATTTTGTAGTTGTCATTTCTTTCCAACATTGGATGACAGCCCTCGCTTGAGCCTTGTTTTCTCCGCTTTTGTCTCGGCTGCGTGCCCCTTACAGTCTGGTCCCCTCCTCTTTCAGGCTTCAGCTTTGGCTCGCAATATAAAGACGACATGATATCAAGGAATATTTTCCGATCCCCTGGGCCCGCGTACTAAATATGGCTTCCTTTCATCTCCTTCAACTTGGGTGACCGTCTTTCTTATTGGAATCGGTAGCGTCTGGCACCTGGAGGTCGATAATAGACTGACGCCTCAATGGCCCGGGACCAGACCTTGTATTGAAGGTCATCAAGATAGAAATAGGAACTCAAACATCAATATCTTTATTCGTGTAATTATTTGGTCCTTAAAGTAGGGCTCTTTTTCTCTCCCAAGGGCGCAATGTACCATCTAGTATCACCATACTGAAAAGAGGCAATTCAAGGTGGTTGCACACAATTATGCAGGTCAAACCATGGCCCCGGGACCCAGTTTACCATCCGTCTTGTTGGTAATGAGTGTTGTCAGCCGTGCTGAGTTGGCGATAGTTATCCACTCAGATGGTCCCATCCACTGATGAACACTCGCTACCGATCACGCTAAACTCCCACATGTCTGGGCGAGGTCTGTTCATCCATCGAGATGGCTCTTTAGCCTAGAGGTCCATCAGCATCCCGCGTCGATAATCTAGTGTGCCAGTAGACGTAACCTGCCTGCTGTGTCTGCATTGATCCATCTACTGAACGGCACATATAAGCCGCAGGGCCCGGTGGAGTCTGTCTCTCGCCTAGATCCCCTTGTAACGGCACTGCTTCGGAGGTGCCACCGTTCGGGAGATGATCGGCTCTTGCCTTGATTTCAGCTGCTTTTGACGTTGTATTTTCAAGTCTACACGTTGCGACATGGGTTTACTCTCATCCAAGGCAATGGCATGAATGGACAGACTTGCATGGCCATTCGGCCGTTCGAGTTCAAGGCTTTTTGCAGCATCAGTTCAGGAGCACAAATCGTTGTGCAATCGTGTTTTGACTACCTCTCCTCGCGATGCGTATATTAAGTATTCAAATGTCTCTTGTTTAGCAAATATGGCGTTGATGAAAGGTTCGCAACATGTAATCCCAAAGGTAACATAGTTGGTCTTTCAATTGCTCCGGCCAGATTAAAGATTCCGTCATTCTTAAGCGGGACTGATCTCAAGCATGTAATGAGTTGCCTAATCCGGTCACTGTGTAAGTGAAAGAAGGATTCTGTCGATTCCTTCCCTGCGTCGATATGCACATGAGCAAATATCGATACCACCAACTGAAAGTTCTTCGTTCCCGACGCGGTCAAAGTGGCCTCCAAGGGTGAACAAAACGATGGAATGAACAGGCCCAAATCGATCAAAGTATGCGAATATCTTCTTAGTTGTCTCTGCCTTGGTCTGCAAAAGTCGCCATGATATCAAACTAGGGGTGACTCGTCCCATGGAATATTTGAACCCCACCGCGCTATGCGCTGCACGATCGCCGACGTGGAACGCCGTGTATTAGTGGTTCGTCATCGCGGACGTCGGCGGTGTCACTATCGGGTTGCATGCGATGCGAGGCGGAATACGCAGGCCTTTCATTGATAGCGACTGCTTCTCCTTTCGTTTTGATAGAATAGACACTCAAAGCTTGTCACAAAAGCGACGCCGTGAATTGCCGACCAGAAATTAACGCCTAATACACCCTTTTCCTGTCACAATGCTCAAATGTAATCGTCAGACTTGTCGTTCTTCATTTCGTCTCATCATACCAGATGAAGCGCGGTGCTAGTTCTGACAGATGCCATCCAAACTTTTCGTCCAGTGTCTAGGACTTTGTCCCAGCTCTAATTCAAAAGCCCTGCCCTTAATCCACCAAGAAACCCCCAAACCAGTCTTTTCCCCATAGTAGATGAGAGAAGAGGGAGTCATTCAAGCCTTTTGTGAACACAGCAAATTCCGTCCGCTTCCCACGCCCCGACAACTCACATTCAATCTGATGTAACTGTAATATTTCTTGCATGATCGACCCATCTTTCAACTTTGCCGGATAAGCATTCGTAGCCAATGCAAAACCCATCCATCCCGGAGCATCTTGGCGACATTACCAAAATGTCCTGAACCACGAAAAAAGAAAAGAGACCCACACTTTTTCGGTGGACGTTGCCGTAGAGTATGCGCGCGGCTCTGCAGACGCCATTTAGAGTTCACGCTCGCAGCGGAAAGCATCGACAGTTAATATAGACAATTAATTAACCACTAAATTTGGCACCAGAGGCTTCTTTGATGGATCGCCGGCCGGGATCTTTCTACACCAAGCTTAGTTTGAGGAGCGAGACAAAGAGGGCAAAAGGAAGAAAAACAAAAAAGTGACAGGACTGAGATCTGCGCTGCGAGTCATTCCCATTTTATCATTTCCCATCTTTTACCGACAAAGTCTAAGTATCTGTTCATCTGCCTCCTCCTAATGAACCAAGACACTGACCATCTCTGAAAAAACCGAATCTCTCCATCTACGGATTATGCATGCCCGAGCCCCCGCCAAGCTTCAGAAGCCCTACGCAAAAATATGTTCATCGCCGCGCCGGGGATCAACCAAACGGCTCCGACCTGCCTTTCCCGTTGATTCATCTTGTCCATACCATCGGCCGAGTGAAGTTGAGTCAGTCCAGTCCGCACCGCAACCTGAGGGACGGGGGAATGTAGAAAAGCGTCTTAGTCTTGGACGCACACGGGTATCATTCTGCTTCCCGGGAAAACCCAACATCGAAGTGCAGTCTACTACCTTACAACGCCAAAATCCAACATTCACCAAAGCCAAGCCCTCCTCACCTCAACAAGTGCTCTGATGATACTTAACTACTCTCATCCCTTGTCCACGCTCCCGACTCACCAATCTTAGGCCACCTACTTCAGGTCTTCGCAGGCAGGGTAATGCACGTTCCCGAAATCTTGGCTCTTAACGGATCTAGCCGGCTTGTAGAGGACCAGGTCGCGGGTGGTTGCCTCTCCCAGTCGTTCCGAAGAGGCTCTCGCTTAATCCGTGACTCTGTAATCTAGTCTTGGCTACCACTCTATGCGACAGCAACAAGAAGAAAAAGGCCAGACTGACAAATTCCCGATACCGTCGTCGACTGTCTCGTTGGGTCACGGGCGATGTGTTCATTATCCCAAAATCACGTACAAGTGTGAGTGCATCAGATATCTCTTCTTGGGTATATTCACGTGAGCTACAACAACCTGTATCCTCGCCACCCCCCTTGGCTTTCCCTCCACACCGGCGGCACTAACCCCACGTCCCGCCGCCACCACCGCCACGACCACCCTTCCTCTGCGCACTAAGCCTCCAATCATCCTCGCCAGCATACTTGTTATGCAAAGGCTGGATCCTCTCCGCCTGCTTCCTCTTGGACAACCGATCCGTCGGCGCAACCTTGAAAAACGTCGGCGCCGCGTCCACGAGCCACTTGGGCTCGATGCTCGTCGTGCAGTGCATGTACTCCTTGGTCGTCAGCACGAGCGTGTGATAAATAACCCACTCGGCCTGCTTCCCAAACAGCGCCGAGCTCGGGTGCAGGTACACCGGCGTCCCCTCAATGAGCGTCTTGTACCCTTCCTGCGGATCTTTCCGCGCCGCGTTGCGGAAGAAGCCCGAACACAAGGCCTGCCGCACAATCTGCGTGTGCCGCCCGCAGCTGACGACGGGGTGCCGGTACCGGTCCATGATCTTGACTAGCTGGTCGTGCACGTCCTTGGCCCGCTTCATCGACCGCGCCTGGATGAAGTTTTCAAAACACCACGGGCTCGAGTAGCTGCTCTGCTTCCACGAGTTGTAGACGTTGAGGAGCGTGAGGTGGTCGCCGTGCGGGTCGTGGAATTTGGCCTTTTTCTGGTCCGCCTGCGACTGCTTCTCCTTGGGGCGGTAAAATACGTTGGGGAGGTTGAGCATGGCGACGATGATGAGCATCTCGGCCGAGCACTTCATGTCGACCGAGATGATGAGCACTTTGGCCAGAGACGGTTCCATGGGGAAGTCTGCCATCTTTCGTCCCAGACGCGTCAGCAGGCCCTCGTCGTCTAGTGCGCTGAGTGCGTATAGCTCCTCCAGCGCCGTGAGCATCGTGTTGATCGGCGGAGGGTCCATAAAGTCAAAGTGCAAAAGGTCGTTGATGCCCATGGCCTTGAGCATGAGAATAACGTGTGACAAGTTCTGTCTCTGAATCTCCGGAATGGTAGTAGGCAACATCTCGGACTGGTATGCCGCTTCGGTGTACAGGCGGAAACACTTTCCGGGCCCCGTACGACCGGCACGTCCAGCACGCTGATTTGCTTGGGCCTGCGAGATCGGGGTGACGACTAAAGAGTCCATGCCCAATTTGGGATCGTAGGCATTCTGTTTGACGAAACCGGGGTCTACGACAAAGTAGATGTTATCGATTGTGATGGAGGTTTCGGCAATGTTGGTTGCAATAACTACCTTTCGGCAGCCCGGGGGTGCGGGATCGAAAATGCGACTCTGCATCTCGTTGGGAAGTGCAGAGTACACGGGGAGGATGATGAGCTCTGGGACGTTGGGCCCTAATGCTTTCATCCGCTCATACAGAATCTCGGCCGACGTGTCGATTTCTTCCTGGCCCGTCAAGAAAAGCAAAATGTCTCCGGGCGGCTCGGTAAGGTGAATCTGCATGACGGTGACCAGCGCGGCATCGAGGTAATCGGACTCGGGCTCGCGCGAGTACAGGACCTCAACGGGGAACGTGCGACCAGGGATTGTGAAAATGGGACAGCCGTCAAAATATGACGAGAATTTGTCGGCGTCGAGTGTTGCTGATGTGGCAATGACCTTGAGGTCCTTCCGACGTTTCATCGTCTTCTTCAGAAGCGCGAACAGGACATCCGTGGAAATGGTACGCTCGTGGGCCTCGTCGAGCATAATGACCGAGTAACGCCTCAGGTCCGGGTCGACAAGAATCTCACGCTGAAGCATGCCATCTGTCATGTACTTAATCTTGGTCGCCGGACTCGTCTTGTCTTCGAATCGAATCGTGTACCCGACAGCCTCACCCAACGGGGTCCCAACTTCCTCGGCTACACGCTTCGCAACAGACATGGCGGCAACACGTCTGGGCTGTGTGCATCCGATGACGCCGTCGTTGGCGAAGCCATCCTCGGCGAGGTATTGAGTCAGTTGCGTCGTCTTGCCTGAGCCGGTCTCTCCGATAACCACCATGACTTGATGCTCTCTGACAGCGTCCAAAAACTTCCGTCGAAAGGCGAACACGGGCAACGACTCTCGTTGGTCCTTGATGCTCATGTTTGTCCGTTTGCCGAAAGCCTGGTCCTTTGGCGCCACCGCTCGCTTCCACTCCGGAACAGCGTCGGGCTTGTTCTGGGCCATCTGTGACTTGGCGTTCCGCAGGTCGCTGGCGAACTTGCGCTTGTCCGGGTCTGCCATCGGGTCGTTCCACTGCGCAGAGAGATCGACCTTGGAGTCTTCTGCCGCAGCAGCCTCCGCTTCTTGTTGCTTCAGCTCCTTCCTCTCCTTTGCCAACGCGGTACCTGACATGGCAGCTCGATTCATAGAGCCATCCGGTGCTTTGACGACTCGAATAGGCGACAGCTCCAGCGACTGCTTTGTTTGACCAGCCAGGAACGGTGGTTCCTCCTCTCGAACCTCAATGTCAACGTCCTGTTCCAGTTCCAGCTCTCCGTCGCCCGTCAGCGTCGCGTTGTAGTCTTCTTCCAGGTCGGGGTAATCGGAGGCCTTTGCGACACCGGATGCGATCAGCTGGCGAATCTCCCATCTCTCCGGCGACGTCATGCGTTTCTTCTGCCGGCGAGGTTGATGCTGCGGGGGCGGCATCGGTCCATCGTCGAACATATTTCCGTTCCGGCCGCCGCCGCCACCCAGCGCTTGCATGTTTGCGCCCGAGGATATCCTGTCTTCCGGGTATAGGTCCATGCCTGTCTCTTGGTCCACCTCTTTCATCGACAGACCTATCCTGTTTCCCTCGATGTTGACAACCTTGACCTTGACGTCCTGGCCCTTCTCCAGCAGGTCCGACGGGTGGTTGACCCGTTGACCTTCCACCAGCCTGGAAATGTGTACCAAACCATCCACCTTGCCGCGGACGCCGTGGAGGTTCACGAAGGCGCCGAAATCCTTGATACCGGTGACGTGACCGCTGTACACCTTGTGAAGCTGAGGCGCGTCGTCGACTTCGGGCTCGGGAGCCCTCTTGAAACGGCCATCGTCCTCGTCGTCGTAGTTGCGTCTCCTGCTCCTCTGCTTCAGCGAAGGCCCACTGTCGAAATCGTCGTGAGATCGTGATCTGGATCGGTATTTGTCGCGCTTCCTCCGTTCCCTCGATCTCGACCGACCCCTCCGCTTCCGCCGTGTGTCGCGACCGTCGTCTGGACTACGGCTCCGCTTGCGCGAATCTGACTTGTCTTTCCGCGCCTTGCCCTCCAGCCCTTCCAACAGCGCCAGCGTATCGTCAATAGCATCAACTCCGTCACCTATGCTATCGTATGCCACGGGCTTGTCGGGCACCGAGAGGCCTCTGAAGATCTCGTCCTTCTCGGCAGCACTGCGGTGGTGGTGCTCGTCGCTGGTGCCGGCACCGTTGCTGCTCTTCTTCGCCTTCCCCTTCATCTTTGGGTGCATGTTTAGCACCAAGCGATCGACGCTTTCCACCAAACTCGGGGGGAAGTCGGCGCCCATGCCGGCCAGCTTCTTCTTGAAGCCATCGTAGTCTTCGGCGTCGACTCGCTGGGCGATGATGAACTCGGCGAGTGTCTTGTCGGATACGCCCAAGTGGTTCTGCAGTTCGGAGGTGACCTTGGACACGAGTGACAAAAGCTCGAGATTCAAGAGGTCGTCCATGGTGAGCGAGAGTAGTTGACCTGCAAATGAATTCGGGATCGCCGAATTGCGATAGTCGCTGGTTGAGGCCTCAAAAAAGTCTAGGCGGCTGCACGCTTCGCGACGACACATGACAGCACTGACAGGGAAGTATCGGAGAAAGCACTTTCCGTTCCGATACGGCTCCACTAAAGCGCCGCACCAGGAGCCGGCACTCGGTACGTACTGTTCGCAGACATTGAGGCACCTAAAGTAAGGTACGCCAGAAAACTTCCAGAAGCTCTACCAATCGCAAGAGCGCTGATTAAACTTGAGATATCTGTCAATTACATGTATCGTAGCATCAGTTTTTTTTTTTTTTTTTTTTTTGGTTGGTTTTTTTTTATATGTAAAATGATCAAATGGTAAATGTCGGGGGAAAATTACGTGTTGCACTCCCATCACTTTCTCATTCATCTTGGCTCTGTCTCTATCATCGTCTCTATCTCCCTAATCGCCGACCTTGTAGTAGTGAGAATCACATTGATTTACCTTACGACAAAGACAAAAACGCAAAGAACAGGCTAGGCGTATACACCAGGAAAAGCAGGAATATTGACGGCGAGAGATCAACAAGAGACCAGTGTCCTGCATAGGGCCACCCGCACTGTCTTCTTCCCAAGACTGGAGAAGGAATCGCCGGCTGCTCGGTGGTGGAGATCTATAGAACCTAATATGTCACCCCGCCGTCCCCAATATAGAAGCTCCCACACTTTGCATGTGAATCAGGCCGGTCATTGACAACAACTCCGATGAGTAGATCTGGAATAGCATCAATATGTTATGTTTAATCTTGCATGTCATCACCAGTCTCCTTAATGCCTCTTTCAAGAAGCCAACGCTATCAGTTGCGGAAATGGCTCGAGGACACCGCTGTGTCCGAGCATTCGTCACTCCCAATTTCGTTCATTGACATTAATCCACTCTCCCGCATTGGCCGAGCAACCTCACCGTCCTCCAACTGGATGTGGGGTTCCCGTGAAGTTAGGAGATGATGTCGTCCGTGTTTTACCAATGCAGCCGGCCTGCATTGGTTCCATGCAGGTCCCATAGTTGATGCGAGGTTACCTTTCGATTCCCTGCAGTTAGCACGCGGCAGTGATACATTTCAGACTACATTGCGAAGCAAAAGACGCGAGTTATAAGAATAAGGTAATGGTATTGGATGAATTTGCAAGGAACCCCCGACGCCTGGTGTGATGATGATGATGCGTCTCAAGGTCGTTATCATGGATGCAAGCCTGCTGCCCTCCTCAGGAGCGACTTCTAATTCGCACCATAGCCCGCTCGACTGTATTTGGGTATTGTAAAAGTTGGGCAAACCGTGCTCGTCTGTTGCCTGCTGGTAGATGGTCTTTCTTTACCGCACAAATCATGACCTGGAAAAACTTTTTGTGGTCGTGCTGCGGAACCCGAGGTCCGGTAGCCTCTGCGCCCCGGGCGCATTCTATCGAGCTGGCAAATGAGAAAGCCTGAGTCTCACTCTCATTGCTCCATTTCTTCAAAAATCTTGATCAGACTCCGTACGCCCTTAAGCGCATTCTCGTCGGGGCCCTGACCGACGGTCCACTGCGCGTGGGCGAAATCAATGAGCTTCAACGAGTAGATCTTGGGCAGAGCGGGAGCAGGGTCTTTGTCGTCGTCGTCCGAATCGTCCGAATCGTTACCGAGAACGGCGGCATCGATAGTCGTCGCAAGATCTTCGTCGATCAGCTCGATGCCACTATCCACTCGGAGGGTAGTTCTACCAGGCTTCTCGCTCGTCTCAACCTCGGCTTCGAACCTGTCGACGACCGCATTGTTCTGCGCAATGGCTTCCCTAAGTTTTTCACCGTCGCCCTCAAAGACAAACAGCAAGCTGGCCGAGTACATCCTGCTCTCTTCCGAGGCGAGGGCTTGTTCTACATCTCGCAGATCACGGAGGAAAGCCTGGACAACAGCGCGCGCCAGGTCGTCGTCGATGCCGGCGGCCTTGTTGAAGAGGAACTTGCGAAAGTTTTCCACAATGTTTTCGGTGTTGACATGGGTGCGGCCGTAGTCCTTGTCGTAGATCTTGTAGTCTTCATGGTCCAGCTCGGACTTCATGGTGGAACCGCGCCAGACCTTCATGCCGGCGATCCTGAAGCCCAGGGGGCCGTGGGTGGTCTTGCCCGTGATCTCGTCGAATCTTCGCTTTTTCTCCGCAGGGGCATCGTCGGCCCACAGCCTCACGCCCAGCTTTACGTCGAGGAAGTTGGGGGAGGTGAAGCCGAAACCCGAGTTTTCGAGCACCACAGCCTGATCTGTCTTGATCTTTTTTGACTTGTTCTGCACCCACTTTCCGTTCTCTTGGTGCGAATCGGCAGAGGGTTGTCCGGTGACGGACTTTGTGAGTTCCTCCTTGGCCTCGGCTGAGGCAACGGGGCCCGGAACGCCATCTTCGATAGAGCTGAGTTCGGCGGGATCGGTGAGCATCAAAGTGCCGTAGTAAACAGGCATTAATGCGGCGAATTCGGGGTGTTTGTCCTCTTCGTTGGCCGAGTTATAAAAGTCGATCTCTGCCTGTGTGCAGGGCTTGATGAACAGCTCGCCATCGGGATCGCACATGGTTCCTGCACTGACGGTGGCGAACCGACGTTAGAGTCTTTGGTCTTTTTGCGTGGCTTCGCAGCGCAATTCGGTGGGAAAAGGGGGTATAAAGAGCGAGCGACACGAGACAGAACAGCTACTTACTGGCCAGCAACAGTGTGGGTGTAGTCGACTAGTTCAGCGCGAGAAGGAATCCCCCTTTTGACCATCTTGTTGCGCTGAAAAGTGAGGGAAAAACCGAGAGTAGCGGCGGATGTTGAAGTGTGTTTATGGGCGATTCACATGCCCAGGGGATATCCTGGATGTCCCTGGCGCGTCGAAGTCGGGGTAACTGGAAAGTTTTGTAACGGATATGATGGTCGTAGCGCGGTGTGGCGAACAAGTAGGTTTCTGTGCGTGCCTCTTGTTTGTCTCCTTGGCTATCTCTCTTTTGCTCTCAGTAGTCGGGAAACGGCAGTCGGGACGGCTTGGCAAGGGAGGCGAATGAAGGCGCGAGAGTAGTAGATCAACAGTGATGGAGGAAACGAGCCTCCAGCCTCGAGATGATGGGGACGGGGAGAGCTTAAAATGAAGCTGATCTGGTCCGGGGGTGTGGGAGGACGGCGGCAAGAGAACAAGGTTAGATGACAGGAGGGGGAGAGCAAGAAGGAGGCGTAGTCACGAATCCACGATGAATGAGAGCAGCCAGCAGCAGCCAAATTGGTTTGGGCGCGAGAGCGAGATTGAAAATGCCATTCGCGAAGAGGTACGTACCCCGGGCGCTGCGTTGTTGTACATCAAATTCGGAGGAGGTACTTTGAGGTCCACAAGGTAAGGCAAGGTACTTTCAGCAGCACAAGGTACTTTTTCCAGTGGATCGCTACGCCCCATCCCCCTAAAGCCTAAGGGATGCAAGGTTGAATAAGGTACGTATCTACCGAGTAAGGCACCTGGGCGCCTTTTAGAGCGGCGTGTGGGCGGGACAAACATCATTGTTTCCTACCGGCTGTTCTCGAACAGAGACACAACATCGCAACAGGTGCTGGCAGCAGGACAGGCAAGGAGGAGGGAAGAAAAAAGGATTTTGTTTCCGCACAGCGCACAGCGCACAGCGCAGCAGCTACAGGCAGGAATTGGCAGGGGATGGAGAACGACCTGGTGGGACAAGGGACCTGAACAGGAGGCCCCGCTGCGCGCTGTTCCCAGGGACTTCTCCCATCGAAACGACGCTACTTTCTCTTCCGCCCCCTCACCCCCGTGCGGCGTGCCCCTCCATCTCTCAAAAAAGACCCTTGCCGGCCGCTGCGGGAATCCAACGCTGGGAAAAGGTGGCGGGAGCTGCGAATCTACTTAGCCACATCGCCAGTGAATTATTCTTCCTCTTCGTCCTAACCACAATATGTATACATCCACATCCCTCTTCTCAACCGAGTCCGCCTTGTCCAGCCGCTGGCCCTTGTCGCTCCCAATCCCAGGCGCACACGAACCACTGGCATCCCACACTCGAGCCACTCCTTGGGCCAAGGGGCCAACCGCGGTTCCCGCAGTCGGCCGAGTGCCTTACTCAACTTCCCTGTCTCCTCGTCTCTGTTCAACCTTGGCTTCAACAGGGTCTGAATAGGCGCAGCTCGTCTTCCCTTTATTTGCACGACACGGCAAGTCGAGGCTTTGAGCAAAGTCGTCGTCGTCGTCGTTGTCGTCAACAACGTCAATGAGCTAACCCCCACTGCTTGGTAGTAGGGTAACCTGCATACCAAAGGGCAATGCGTCAGCTGGACTGCGGCCTCGCTTACTACGTATCTCTCCGAGTCTGACTCTGGCTGCCAAGAGAAGCTCGCTCTTGGGACCTTTCGTCTCTGAATGACGGTATGACTGTATTTCACGAACAGGCGGCGACATTATACGATACGTCCATCGCGAGTTTCGCCATATCCGAGAATCTGGGCCAGACTGTTGGACAGGTGCATCGCGAAGCCATCCAACACCACCCCAAAACGTTGCATCGCCACACTTGTGAGATCAAAGGAGTATAATCACATAGTATCTGTTTCTGTTCGTGATGCCGCCGGCTGCTCGGGTCATGTCGTGTTGGTTGCTTTGGGTGGTCTCACCGCTACCTCGCCAGCGCACGAGAATTTCCCTCTTGTTCCCCTCTGACACGACCGAATCGTGTCAGCTGGGCTTTCCATGCAGCAAATGGAATATGCAGACCGCCGCCTTGGTCAGTCATCCTCCACTCCTGCGGCGCGCGCCATACGAATGCGACAGGACTGGCCATGCATGGTGAATGATACTGAGTACTCCGCCTCAGTTTCCGCCTCAAAGAAGCGAAAAGCCGCGCTGCAATGCAAGCCATCCTACAATTCCAATGATGTTGTGCCGCGTCCCACGCAGGCTTTCCACCAACCGCCGTTCTTTTTGCGTCGCAAACCCCTGAGGAACCCAAGCTTTGGGAAACAATTGGCTCGCCGTCAGCGTTTGTCTGAAGATCGGCTGCGGTAGGCCTCCGATAACTGGGAATGCTTGAGGTGATTGGGTCGCGTAGATCCTCACAACTGGCAAAGTTTGGATCAGATCCGCCCTCTGTGCACGTCATTAAGGCCATACATGATTTCATGCTTTTCGAATTACCTGTACTATGTCAGTGCAGAACTGAAATCAATAGGAGAGTACGTTTTTTACTATTCTTGCCACTCTCATCCAGTATGCTCTCGATGGTAGTGGTAAGGTGAGGAAGGTTTCGCTGCGATATCGTCTCCTTTCTTTGCTTTGTAAGTCGGAAAGATGGAATCAAAAGCGAATGACAACGGGAAGCACCCTTACCCGCCGTACCTTACTTTTCGGCGGATTATTCAAGACGTCGACAACGTGAATTGATTGCTGATCTCTCCTTCCGTCTGCAACACCCAACCCACTTCTTCTCTCTTCGTCCAAAAAGCAACTAGAGACTCCCTTCCTCTGCTCGTCAACTACCCTTCTTCAACCACATTTCCAATACAGCAACAACCAACATGGCAGGCAAAAAGGCCAGTACAGCGGCCCGCGGCCCGACAGCCATGCACAAGTATCGTGGCACTGGTTTCGAGGGTATTTCTGACTAGGCCACAATCGATTGCGGCTGTGCCATGCTAACATGGACTCTCCCAGAATTCTATGCCGACCCTCCCATGACACCTGCTGAAGCCCAGGACGAGCGCGAGAACATCTACAGCCCGTAAGTGACTTGTCCTCTTTGTCATCCTTTACCATCCTTAGGCGATTACTGACGTGGGCTTACAGAGACCTCACCTTCGCCGAGTAAGACTCTTCTTCCATCCCCATGTGGCCCTCCCCAACTGACGGAAAATAAGTCGCATTCAATCATGTATCCAGCGTTACCGCTCTCGCCGCCGCTTAGGTGCCTCTGACCAGATCTTCAATAAGTACCTTTTCCTCGGCGGCATCGACACCACCCCGCGCATGTTTGGCGGCAACACGGACGCCGATCTGAAGGATATGACGCCGGCAGAGAAGCGAGACGCCACGGCAATCGACATGGTCTACAGCTCCGGTGGCGGCGCTCGCTTTTATAATGATGATGACCCTGACGGATGGGACGTGGACTTTGCCGGTGTAGTCGCCGGCTTCTGCTCCGAGAGCCTCCCTAACACGACGGCCTGGGATTATGCGCAGATGGGTCAAGCCGTTGGCCTACTAGAGAACTTTCTCACCTACGTTCTCCAGCACGACGTGTGCCCAGAGTACGAGACAAATGTCAAGGAGGCTCTGGATATCTGCCAAAAGGCCAAGGTCGACTTACCACTGGCCCATCAAGCTTTCCTCCATTTTCCTGGACAATTCAACCTGGCACTATCGGAAATGTTTTGCAAAGACTTTTACTTTTTCGGAGAGGGTGACGAGTTCCAACGCCCAAAGGAGTTCTCCCCTGAGGTGGTATTCAAGATTGCGATGGCGATGACTGCAACTCGGGAACAGTATGATGCCGTTATTGGTGGCTTGAAAGACAGCACCGTTAAGGTCGTTAGCGAGGAGGAGTGCAGCGTTGAGATCGTCGCCATTCACCGGCCGACCGCCGAGTCACGCAAGCTCGCCCGCAGCATCCGCCTAGATATGGGGCACCACTTCGAACCTGTTGGAACTATGGTCACGAAGCCGTGCCTTATCGAAGATGGCTACGACTACGGTGAGGACATGATCTTGTCTGATGAGGAGCGGGATACCTTCTTCCTGGATGATTCAATCTTGCAGAGGCTCAAACCAGGCTTTAAACTGCAACTCTGCGTCTGCGAGCTGAATATTGGCATCAAGTTCATCAAGCAGGCTCGTCAGGTCCTCGTAGAATGGTACACCTTCCTGCCGCAGAACCTTATGCGGCACTACAAGGAGCCCGTGCCCAATGAGCGCCCTGCCCCGTCGGCCATCAAGCCAGAAGAAGAAGCTGGGAAATCAAGGCCGATGTTTGTTTGATGAACAAGGATCCGATGGCTATCACTGACATGGAATCTTGCCACAACTGGCCGTCTCAGAAAAGAGAGAAGATAGGCTATTCATTAGAGGATACAGTAGCAGTGTGGCGGTTTGAGGCTGAAAACTGGACATTGAATTATACTTCCTCCGAGGTAGCTAGATCACGGAGGCACCGGCGTTTCGATCGGATTCGACCAAGATACCCCTTCAGAGAAGAGAATTCAGAGGATCTGGTACCTCTTGATTATGAATGATGCAGTAATAATTATCATCAATGTCTCGCGTAAAGTCGTGCAAAACATTATTATTTCGTCAAACCCCCCCAACTCCGCATAGCGGGGGATCCAAATTCCCCACCCCCATGAACATTGAACCAATTTACAAGAACCAGTAAGAATAATGAGTCAGGCGAGCCCGAGTGAAGCTCAAGGCCGAAAGAAGAAACAGAAGACAGGTTCTGGAGATAGTGGGTTCGCCGCACCGGCAGCACAGTCTAAGACGTTCTCAGTGCCACTCCCTCTACCACTCTAATCCCGAGTCTGAATCTTGTTGTCTCCAGCCACAGCATCAGCGTAGCTAGGTGGCACAGCGCCATCGCTGCTTCCCTCGCCAGCCCCGCCTTGCTGCTGGGGGTGCTGCTGCTGCTGTCTCGAGGAACCTCCGGCGTTGTTGCTGTTGTTCGTGGTACCGTAGCCGACTGCGCCGTTACCTTTGCCGTTGTGCTGCGAGGGGCGCGGTTGTTGACGGGGCTGCTGGGTGTGAGGACCGTTCCCGTTACCGTTGCCATTGCCGTGGACAAAGACGTAGGTGACGCGGCCACCCTCGCGGTCCTGCTGCGGGAGGGTATCGTATTCGTAGTCTGGTTCGGGGAATTTGGCAATGATGTACCAGGCGTGGATGAGGCCGGGGATGTAGCCTAGAAGGCAGAGGAGGATGTTGATGATGGAGTCGGCGCCGCAGATGCCGCGCTTTACCCAGACTGTAGAGTTTCGCAAGGATTAGTTATTATTCGATTTGCGACGGAGTTTGCCATTGTTGCGCGATGAAATGCGCGATTACGTGAGGGGTGGAGGGGAAACGTACCTGGTAGAGGCGGGAACAGGATGGCCAGGAGGCCGAGGAAGATGTCGGCGGAACACATTTCTGCGTGCGAGTGAAGTTTGGGTGTGTGTGTGAATTGGAGGTCAATACTCTCGAGGGGCTCTGGGGGTGTTGTAATGGTTGAGTTCAAGGTGTGGTGGCTTATGGCTTTGTAACCTTGGAGGAAGAACGATGGGTGGACAGACAAAACAAGGTGACATTTATGAGGAGCACCTGGAGGGAGAGACAGGGCCTTTCGCCTCTCTAGGTTTCGGTACGCGGGTCAGGTCAGCAGGCAGCGAGCGATTGAGCCGGTACGTAACGGGTGGTACGGGTGGCGGAGCTGGGGGGTTGAGGCGTGAGCCGTGGGGGGGCTTGCGTAATGGTACGGTGTCGGTGCGAGGTAAGACTGGGAAATGATTGGCTGTTTCGGAAGAACATGCGGCCGAGGCGGAGGCAGCCGGGGATTAGAAGCGTTTCTGACGGCGTCGGGGTGGATCCTGGATCGTGCGCTTACTACGTAGGTTTTGCCGATGTTTCTGGACTTTTGCAGCTGTTTCTGAGAAAGGCCATGCGCCTTGGTGTTTGCTGCATTCGATCTTTTGGTGTTTCTTGGGAAGAATACCTTAGCTGGGTATCTATCCACCCACCTCATCGGTTGACCTTGTCGATACGTAGGAAACGATAGACATCGTGTTCTCAGTCCCCGCTAGGCCTGGAGAATATGCAGGAACATGGAAGCCGCATGCGACAGTGACGACGGCCCTGAGAATCGCTGCCCCGCCAAATAAAACCCCGCCAGGTCTGGGAGCTCCCGCACGGACCATCCCGGAATCCCAGCTGTGATGTCAAGGTCCCTCAATTCCCGGTGGGCGCGTCGGCGGTGATGCATTTCCCACACGACTCCAGTCCGCATTGCACCTTTGGCAACTTTCTCGACCTTCCAGAAGTCGCAACGCTAATCAATAGCACTGCCCAGTCCTCCATGATTATCAGATAATTCAACCATGTCCATCCCCGGTTTGGGCCACCTCGTGGCGCCAGTAAGCAAAAAAAACCCATCACCTCTAGAACCACACAATGGGGAGCTGAGAAACGCCATCTAACGCCAAACCATCGCAGCAACCGACGTCGGCGAACCAGACCCGAACGATCCGTCTCCAGCCCTTCTGGGAATGGCGCTTTCAAGTCGCCTTTGACACACAAATCACCCTCAAGCTCCTCTCGGGCACGGCCGAAAAGGATGGCACCGAGCTCGCCCTCCAGCACCTCTATACCTTTGCCGGCACAAAGTCCAAGATTCTCACACTGCAAGGTTGCGAGCTCGAGGTCGAGGGCGTCCTCACCGACGAGTCCGTGGCCGAGTACCCGAAACCCCAGGACTCGCCGGCGAACTCGGTCCTGAACTTGCACTTCCAGCTCACCGCCATGCGCCAGCGCGCCGCCGCCGAGAGGAGGGAAGGTCCGAGGATCGCCGTCTGCGGGCCGCCCACGACTGGCAAGACGAGCCTGACGAGGACCCTGACGAGCTACGCCGCGAGGGTCGGCGCGCAGCCTTTGGTGGTCAATACGGATCCCAAGGAAGGGATGCTGAGCCTGCCGGGGACGTTGAGCGCCAGTGTCGTCGGGACGCTGTTGGACGTCGAGGCTGTTGACGGGTGGGGCACGACGCCGACGAGCGGGCCGAGCCAGGTCCCGGTGAAGCTGCCGCTAGTGTACTACTACGGCCACGCGAGCTCCGAGGAGGACCCGGCAAAGTACAAGGAGCTCGTGAGTAAGATGGCGGCGACTGTGACGTCGAGGCTGGGGCAGGATCCCGAGGTTCAGAGCGCGGGCATGATTATCGATACCCCGGCCGTGACGGAGACCAATCAGGTCGGCATGGAGAACTTTGTACATGCTGTGGAGGAACTTTCGGGTACGATTCTCCCCCTCCAATGGAAGCTTTGACTTCCCTGACGGTGCTAATGGGTGCAGTCAACATAATTATCGTCTTGGGCTCAGCGAGCCTCAACGCGGAGATTTCTAAGCGCTTCTCCACGGAAAGAACCAGCCTCGGGGAGCAGTACAGCATTCTTCTCTTGGAAAAGTCAGAGGGCGTGGTCGAGCGCGACGTGGGCTACATGCAACAGGCCTGCGAGGCGTCCATCAAGGAGTACTTCTTTGGTAGTATCGGCCAGACGCTGAGCCCCGCCACGCAGCAAGTCGATTTTGACAGCTTGGCGATATACAAACTAGGAGACTGTGAGTTCTTGCCTCCCCCTCAACAAATACAACATCCCCCTCCCCCCCCCCCCCCCCCCCCCCCCTTTCCATAACACAACAACATAGTTCTGCCCCGCCCCTTCTCCTCCACTCCACTCCACCTCGTCTCGCCACGGCTCCCGAGCGCTGGCACGGCGTGTCTGCCCCCCGCCACCCCCCCCCCCCCCGCGGGGGCCGGCCCCCCCCCCCCCCTCTTTTTCTTATAAAAAAAAGGTCCATTGTTTGCTGAATCTCGTGCGTGCCCAACCAGATTCCATGTACGGCGGCGGTGCTGACGAGGGTCTGATGCGCGTGGACCCCGCACAGCTCATGGCCCATTGGACGTTGGCCATCGTCTATGCCTCCGTCAAGGACTCGCCAGAGACGATACGCACGGCCAACGTAATGGGGTACGTCTACATTGCCGATATTGATAAGGAGAAGCGCAAGTTGAGGATTCTAGCGCCGGTGAGCGGCCGGTTGGGGGATAGGCCCCTATTGTTGGGCAAGTGGCCTGAGCCCTTTATCAATCTCTTGGGATAGGACATTTTTAATGATACCACTTTCATCGCCAATGTTGTCAACTGGTCGTCATCGTGCTCCTGCGCATGCTCGCGCATGACTTGGCAGAAAGACGAGCCAGTTACTCGATTCCACCACCCGGTCAGCAAACAATATTGCAAGTCCTCCGCAATGGGTGTTAATTATTGAGCTAGTCTTTTCCCCTCCAGTGCAACGAAGACCAATCATCATCACTAACAGGCGAGAAACATGAATCTCAGGCGTAATCTAGGCCTAGTTCTGGCCTACTTGCCTAGTACAGGCATGAGGCATGTCTCCTACCTTGACACTGACCGCAGCCACACAGACAACCACAAACGAGTTGCGAACTGCACACTAGCATGCCTGTAGAGCCAATGGGCATCTCAGGAAGGCGCCACCAACACAACTTCAACGACCCCTCGATGCCCGACAGATACTCCGAAAGAGCCAGCCGATTACTGAAAGCTAATCAGAGTTATCAGTAGTTGCACCTTTACAACTTAGGGGAATTCAAGCTGGCAGAGCGTAACACTACCTTGTTTTGGGCTTTCTTGGAACGGCTATAGTCTGGCACAAATGCTGATGAATGGACAATTTGAATGATAATGAGAGTTACCTTGGGTCTCTGCAACCCCCTTCAACTAGACTGAAGGAGCCGTCGAGCGCCACCGACGGAACTTTGTATCTCTTTCCCTCTTCAGGTGTGGCAAACTGCAGGCGCCATATCTCATAGTCGGAGCAAACATGATATCCGTTTGGCAGCCATGCTTCGAGTTTCTGTAGCTTTTCATGGTCCAACTTGACTTTGTGGCTGAGTTTTGAACCTTTCCAATCACCCCTGCAATTGGACTCGAGGCAGTAATTGTCAAGCCGCCAACTACGACTCACGAGACTCAGTCCTTCTCCGATACCTACAACTTGCAGGCGCCATTTCTCGAGATGCAAGCAAACATCCTGTCTTTCAACAGCCAGGCTGCGAGGTTCCACAGACTTCTCATCCCCCCCGTTCAACCTTTGGGCTTCAATGCCTCGTCCTCGACGTGTAAGCCAGGAACAGACCATGTGAAACCACTTCAATGAAGAACACCACTATAAAATTGAGGGCTCATCCCCTTCTTCCAGGTTGCTCTGCTGGTGGGAAACGTGAACTTGAGTAAGATTACACTGGCCCACGCTCAAGCTCGTCGTGGCCGAAATTTCAAAATGCCTTTCCTCCATTGTCTTTTACGCTTGCTCCCCACCAGGGAAACCTTTTATTCACTGCTTTGGGGGCGGGTTGAGAAGAAGGGGAGAATGCCGAAACTTGACGTGTACAATCTGCGTCCGACCGGCTGGGAATCGGACCCGGAGGACGAGTACCACCGTCTCTGCACGCTGGACTACTGCTCCGGAACAATCTACTCCGCCTACGCCCTCTTCTTCAAACTCGACCCAGGGGCAGACCGGCATAAGATCGTCGAAGTCCTCAAGCGCGGGCTGGAAATCACGCTGAGCCAGTGCCGCCGCCTCGGCGGGACACTAAAAGAACACCCCGACGGCGGAGGCGGCTTATGCTTCCACAAGAGGCGGGATGACACGGTCGAGTTTCACGTCCAATGGCTCGAGGATGCGAAAGGCGACGGCGACGGCGACGGCGCCACGGATCAAGACGAGGGTGAAACATACCCGTCCTACGCCGACTTTGAACGCCAGCACTTTGGCTCCCGCGCTTTTGGCAACGACATGGGCCTATGGTGCGTGGCCCCCATGACCCCCGCCGAGAAGCCCGAGAACCGCCCGGAGAATCAACCCAAGGGAGCAGCCTTCAAGGCGACCTTTCTCCGCGGGGGCGGGCTGGTGTTTGTGATGATGCACCACCACCTCGCCAACGACGTCATGGGCTGGGCGGGCGAGCTCCACCAGCTCGCCGAGAACTGCGCCGCACTCTGGGCCGTGTCGGCATCGGCTGCCGCTGCGCCGCCGAAGCTGCCTCCGTGGGACCCCGCGTGCCTGGACTTCTCGCGCGTCACGATCCCGGACCCGCCCGAAGCAGAGCTCGTCGACGGGCCTCCTCGACCGTCCCGGCACCCGGACCAGAGACCTGCGGCGCGGCTTCTATTTCATATTCCGCGCAGTAAGCTCCTCGAGCTGAAGCGGTTGGCTACACCGACCCCGGCGACGAATGGAAACAGTAGTATCAGCAGCAGCAGCAGCTACTGGATCTCGAGCTACGACGCGCTCAACGCGTACCTGTGGCGGGTTCTGTTGAAGCACAAGGCCCGACTGCACGGCTCGGACCCCGAAGCAAAGGTGGAATGGGTCGAGGCCGTGGACTTGAGGCGGCGGCTGCGCGATGCCTCGTCGGGAAAGCCGATGCCGGCTCGCACGCAGGGGAATATCATGGCCGTGGCTGTCGCGTCTAGGTGTGAGGAGGTTGTGCCGCAATTGACGGTTAGAGAGGTTGTTGAGGAGGCGCCTTTTACCCAGCTTGCATGGTGAGTTGACAATTTTTTTTTATCTTTTATTTCTGTCTCTCTTTCTCTCTCTCTCTCTCTCTCTCTCTCTCTCTCTCTTTCTCTCTCTCCCTCTCTCTCTTTCTCTCTCTCCCTCTCTTTATCCCCCTTTTTATGTCTTTTTATTCAACGCGGATTCCGGCCATTCGGCCAAATGGCCTTGACTTACACCTGACCCCGGATGAAAAAGACAAAGCAAAAACACCTCGAATTCATAACCTAACTGACAATATTGTCTCTGCAGGTACATCCGCCAACTTACAAACAGCATCACCCCCGCCGCCGTCGACGCAATGCTCGCCGGCATCGCCCGCGTCCGCGACAAGCTGACCCTGTACGCCGGCTCCGACGTCTTCCCGCCCACGACCCTCCTCATCACGGACTGGCGCGACGTGGACCCCTACGCAGCGGATTTCGGGTTCGGCAGCCCGAGTGGGTTCCGGTGTCCCTGGGATTCCGTCACCGGCGGGCTCGTGGTGATTTACCCGCCGCGTCCTTGTGGCGTGAGCGTGGATGACGAGGGCAACGAGATCTCCTTGGCGATTGAGAAGGAGCTTGTGTGGGATTTGCTAGCGGATCCGGATTGGAATCGGGTGTTTGAGTTTCGAGGGGTCGAGATCGAGGACGAGGACGAGTGAAGAGGAGGAAGGGGGGTTTGAGATGGGTTCAAGCATGTTTTGAGGAGGAATTTCCTTGCTTTTTGGTTTCTTTGGTACGATGGGAATATTTCATACCGATACGATACGCTACGTATACTCAGGCCATCTGTTTTGCGAGCGTTTGCTTCTTCCTTATTCTCATACTAGCCAGACTTTGTTCGATATTCACCTTTCACGCTGAGCATATACTCTGCCTAAACAGAAACCAATGCCGAAGAAGAAGTAAAGAATTGATCTGATCACTTTAGGGAACCAAAAAAAGAAGGTCTCAGGAGACACTGACAGACAAGACGAGACAGACAAAAAAGATAACCCGAAGATTGACTTTGCCAATCGCGGTGAGGATTTGAGCCTCACGCGGGGGTCGAACCCGCAACCTTGAGATTAAGAGTCTCACGCTCTACCGATTGAGCTAGCAAGGCGGGTTATTGTTTGTTGTTGAATAACACGGCGTTGTGTCGTTCTATGGATGGGGGGAGTGGGGTGGTTGTGTGTTGTAGGGCTCGGTGAGTCCGAAATCTCGATGGCCTCACGCGAGGAAAATTTTTCTCCTCTGGGTACCCGAGAAATGTGGACCAGGTCGGCAGGGCATGGATGGTTGGATTGGCAGTGTTGGAGATTGCGCTCCGTGCGGAGGAACACACCCGGCCCGTCCTCTACGGACCCGGCCTGAACACAACTTTATCCCTGCCAGAATTTTAACCGGAGCCAGGCTTTCTGCCATACACCACAATCCTATCAGAGTCAGTTTTTGGCTTCGACTTGGAGTGATGATGTCGCTGCCGAACCACATCCAGGCGACAGGCAGGACGAAAACATAACTCACATGGGCCAGTACGCATGAATATTCCGATCCCCGACATCCTTCCTCGCCTGCGCAGCCAGCACGTTCACCTCATCCGCCTTCCATCCCAACCCGCGTGTCAGCGCCGCCATGAGGAACCCCTGCAGACCGGCCGTGATGTTCTCGTAGTTCCAGGCGCCGAGCTCTTTGAATTTTGCGTGCCGCGGCCACGTGTTGCTGGGCCACTTGAAGCGCAGCTCCGACACGTCGACGAAGCCGGCAGCCTCCATCATATGCTTGAGCGCGTCAAGGTCGACAAAAGCGTGGTCCGTCTTGGCCGCCGCCTCGCCGAGGTGCTTCATGGACTGGTAGAGAGCGTGCTCCTCCTTGAGTGTGTCATCGTCGGAGAGGGGTAGGGCGAATTCCTGGAGCTCGAGCCAGCCGCCGGGGGTGAGGTTTCTGTAGTGGTACATTAGAGCCTGGCTTAGAGAAAATGTGGTCATTACTGAGTGTACTCGTAAGATTGACGGATGTACTCCTCCCATTTGGATATGCTAGAGTTCATCATTCGGCTGTGGATGTAATCAAACGGACGCGAGAACGTCCAGCTGTCCTCGATGTCGTCGACTTCGAACTTGACGTTGGGCGGTACACTGCATTTGACTGTTAGTAGTATGTCCGGGTCGTAAAACAGCGGAAAATACTGACAATTGCGGCTGCGTGGGTGACAGATCGACGCCAATCACCTACGATTTCCAGCGTCAGACGGCTCCTGGCGATACTACTCTATCGACACCAACCTCGGCTCCGGGATGCTCGTCTCCAAAGTCCATGGCCCAGATGCCCGTTCCTGTACCCAGGTCTAACACACGGGTAACATTGGACTCAGGTTTATTGGGGGGCGCCAACCCAAGTTTGCCATCGAAAGAGAGGTCAAAGATGTGGTGTTGAAGGTCTTTCGGAGCGTGCACCTAATGATCAGCCATTTGAATGGAGTACGAATTTAATAATTTTTTTTTGGCGAAACTGACCCAATCTTTCGTTCTCTTCTTCATCGTTTGGGAAGTGGTACTCTTCTCAGGTGTCAATAACCGGTTAGGGGTTTGATTGGGGTGACATCACTGACTCCCGTCGCGAAACCTGTGATAGGTGCGGCCATTCTCCTTGCGATAGTTGAGAATTGAGCTGGTTAAGCTTGCGGTTGAGGAGGTTCCATCCTGCGGCAGTGATCAGTCACGAAGCTACCTTGACGGGATTGTAACGGTATCGAACAGTGCCGACATCTCCCACTGATGAGTCGTTGTCATTGAAATCGTCGGGCTCCACCACGACATGCTGTGCTGGCGCAGCCATCTCGAATACGTTTCAAAACTGGTCTGTTGGTTCTTTCCAGCAACAATGGTTGCCCAAGTGTGAAAGCAGAAGCAGCGCGGCAGTCAACATGAGGGTTGAGGGGTGCGAACAGTCCCATTACCTAGCAAGCGGGGTCCATATGGAATGTCGGGATATCTGATGTCACTGCTCAGACACCCTGCGAGGGGGAATTGGACTGCTTCCAGCCGACAACGTGTCTTGGCTGAGGTAGATCGACGAATGCTAAGATGGGATGAGGCGAGACTAGGGCAACGCAATCAAATGCAGGTTAGCCGTTGAGGGGATCATTCCCAGGAGCCAGGTCAGCACCGCGGATGCGCCGGTAGACCCTGGAACGAGTTCCTGTAATGGAGGGGATCAATAGTCCGTCCTGCCAAAGTACTCGAGAAGTGATAGAATTGGCTTTCCATGATGTGGTCCAATCAGAGCTGCTGGGGGAGCAGGGCAGGATGCAAGCCGACCGCCATTTGCATCACCAACCAGTCGCTGTTGGGCATCCTGCGTTGCGGAGACCGAGGTATTCGCTGCGCGATTGAATGATTCTCGCAGGATGCAGGAGAATGAGGCAGCGTCAGTTGAAAACGGAACACTTTACATGGATGATGATTCAGCTGCACTCGGGGATTGCTGGCTACCGTCTGCTGGAATACCTAGTACAGGCAGTTAATGTCCTCTATCAGGGTATTGCTTCCTTATTTCACGGATTCCTTCTTCTGAAGTTGGATCCTTGCAACAGCCAGTGGTGCACTCGCAGCGAGGACGCGTCCTCGGAAGCCTCTCACGGCCTGGCACTGCATCGGACTCATGACGTACCCCCGCGAGTCGGCATCGGCATGAATGAGACAAAGAAGCGCAATGCGGACTGAAGAAAGACTGGGCCGGCTTGCTACGTGGCTCTGGTTCCCTGCCAGGGCCTTTGGAGTGGAAGTAATTAGATGATGGGGTGAAGATGCCGTGTATCGCCCGAGGGCCACCTCGCCGCTGCCCTTCTACCTAAGGCAAGTTGAGTTACGATAAGATAACACTGCGATAAGCGATAACTAAGGTATTGGTGGGCCCCAGCCGCCAAGGGTAAGGTACCTTAGGGGCCTCCAACCCCCGAAGGTACCAAGAAAGCACTGAACAGGAGAGCCCCTGTGCTGTGGAAAAGTCAATTCGACCTCACAGGCGTGACAGGGCACCACATGGCCGGTTACCGCAATTTCGCGAAACTCTGCCGAACATTGACATCCAACGACGCCTGTCTACTTCTTGTCTTGTTTTCTTGACAATGCCATGGCAAAATCACTTTTTCTCCAGGAGTTCAGCTCAAGGCTGAATTCAGCATGACGCTGAGCCCGTCGAGTTCCTTTTACGTCACGTCGTGAAGCAACGTTACTCGAAGTCGCCCCTTTCAAGGATCTCGCCGAGGCAGCATCACGGAATCCCAAACCCCCTTTTACGAAATAAAAACACCACACTGCGAGGCTTAGATCTGGTATTGCAGATGGCCGTACTGGACGAGATTTATGACGTTCATGCCGTGAGGCGGGCCAAACATCCATCCGCACCATGTCTTCAGACTACGGCTCTTCTTACATTCAACCCTGGAGAAATGGGGTTGGATTTCTGGTCACACTCGAATCGAATCAAATCTCGCGAATAATAAGATATGCTCCGCTTCAAACGGCCCAACACCTGACAGACCCTACCGAGCTGACAGCCTCTTCCGTTTCGCAATGCTGGTCTCAGCCAGACCAAAGACAACAGACGAATGAGGTGCCATTACGGGCTTGGGCCGCACTACACCTGTGAAGATGGGGAAACCTGGATCGTCGGAAGATCATGGCAGGGGAGGGCTCGCGCGCAATGCACGACGACTCCCACCATGTCTTTTTCTCATTGCTCTGCACCGAGGCATGTCGAGGGCTCTTTCTACAGCTGTCGGTGGTCCTGGTTCAGGGGCTCGAGAGCGCGTTTAGGCCCGTTTGCCGTTCTCCGATGTTTCGTCCCATCCGAAACATTAGCACGACAGGGACGGCCTCGCCATCTGCCTCGACGACCTCACTGGTCCACGGCGCGCCATGGTCTCTGCTCATCTGGTTCCGTGCAGTTTCGACGGCATCAGGATCGCTGCCGAGTGGCGGTCCCGAATTTGAATAGGGCTTCTGCGCCAAATTTCGGTCATCGAGCTGCTTCTTCCCAGCTGCTCACTTGCTCAGCCTCAGTTGCAGAAACGTGCCCCTGTGACAGACCTGCGTCGCATCTTTAGCTAATGACTGACGGGAAGCATTGGCAAGCGCCGAGAGCCCTGACAGACTTGCAGAAATGTTCGGATCGATCCTTCATGGTTCAAGATGAAGAGACGGGGTGCCGTACTTAAGATGGCAGGTGTCCACGAGCTGGGGATGAGTATAACTCGAAGCGTCAGCACCGGTCACTTCCATCCCATTCTTGTACTTTAATTTTACAGTACTTTGATAGTACTCCAATCTCTCCCGTCTCCTATTTCATCATGGTTCGTTTCTCCATTGCTGCAGCATTCTGTGAGTTACATCTCCCAGCCACCAGCTCTACAATATCCAAAATCTCTAACGAATGAATCCCAGTTGCTGCTTCCGCCCTTGCTATCCCAAATCCCCTCACGCCAGACCCATCTGGCGCCAAGAACGTCGGCAACGGCAAAGGAGTTCAGTTCATCGGCGGCGCCTGCCTCAGCAGCAAAGACTGCGCCTCAACCTGCTGCGCGACCCTGAACGGCGCAGGCATCTGCTCCGGACTCGGAGCCCAGTTCCAGGCAGGCAAACAAGGATGCGGTTTCGGTGATGGCGGTGCCGCAGGCGCAGCACCCGCCGCGTCCCAGGGGGCAGGCCAGGCGACGCCGTCCATGGAGGCCGCTGCCGGGAGCGGAAGTAACGCGGGATCAGGGACCTCTTCGAATGTCGGCGCCGGTAACGGCCAACAGTTCATCACGGGACAGTGTCTGTCTGACGCGGACTGCGCCTCGGGGTGCTGCAACGGTCCCAAGGGTGCGTGTGCCGCGCGCGCCGTGGCGACGGAGAACGGCAAGGCGGGGTGCGGATTCACCGGCACAGGCACGGGGAGCGCGGCGGAGGGTGCGGCGCCGCCTCAAGCTGCTCCGTCCGCCGGGGCGGGGGCGGGTGCGGGTGCGGGCTCTGCTGCTGGCGCCGGCACTGCTGGGGCTCCTGGCTCGCAGAATGTTGGCAAGGGGAACGGACAGCAGTTCATCACGGGGCAATGTCTGTCCAACGCGGACTGTGCTTCCGGGTGCTGTGCCGGTCCCAAAGGGGTTTGCTCGGCGGTGGCGGTTGCGAATGCAAATGGGAAAACGGGATGCGGGTTTACGGGGGCGTGAATCGACGACATGCTTGGAAATTTGCTACAATTACGTAGAAGTAAACTTCCCTGTGGTGAGTGATGACGGGCGGATGAAGAATACTATGTTGGACTTTTATCACCGGGCAATCCTGCGCTTTAAACAAGTGGGAAATAAGAACAAACGATCGATTCAGATTGGTGGTCACCTTATAAGTGAATGATGCCTTGTACTCACTCTTACCTTCAAGTTGCCGTTTGAAAATATATCAGAAAAGATATAGTCTGTAGCGTAAAGATGTATGAAACCCGTCACTGTTGCAGTGGACACTACAGAAAGAAGCAGTCTGGCCCAGATCCAAAGGCCTAGGCGGCAATGTTACATTGATCCTGAAACAAGCCAAATCAAAAGAGTAGAATCTCGAATAATGGAAAGACCGAGTCTTCAAATGTCGACTATAATGACGACAACCAAGCGCTGATTCAGCATCGCTACAAGTCTTCTAGATTCGGTAGCAGAAGCATTAAAAATAAACCAGCCTTGCAACATATTCGTGTAGTTGAATATCTAGGATGCATCGTTAACATCGTCGTCGCTTGAAGCAATGGACGTAAAACCAGCGAAGAAGATCTGTCGTCACCAAACCTGAAAATCCTTTTTGAATCTGCCAATGTTGAATGATTTCATGTCGATGAATACAACCCTAATCACCCTAGTATGGTCTCATTGTAGGAAAATCATTTAATTTTGAACAGACACGATTTGATTTCATAAGGCTATCAAGACGCCTACGACTAGAAAAATGCAGTGCTAATGCAATATGCCAACGACCACTCCGACGTGGTTCAATCCTTCCTCCAAGCCTTCTCACCAATCCAGCGAGTGAACTTGACAGCGTTCACGTCCACTATCCGGTTGAAAACATCGCTCGCCCAAAAGAGCGCCAGCGTATTCACCAGGGACCCCCAGAAGAACGCAAGCTCATACGCGCCCCACGCCTTATTCACCATCTCACCAGCAGCTGCAGCGTTGCCGCCGGCCGCGAGGACCTTGGACTCGTCCCCGGCCAGCTGCAACGCGGCATGCGCCGGCGACAGCCATCTGACGCCGACCATGTGGTTGATGGCTCCGTGCCAGAGGTACAGCGAATAGGAAATCTGTCCCAGATACTGAGCAAAGGTGGTGGTGAATGGGCGCTGGAGGAAGGGCTCTGCTCTTGCTGGCACCGGGTTCTCCAAGGAGGAGGAAGGGGATGCAGCCGCCGCGAGTTCCTCCTTTTCGGCATCGTCGAGGTCTGGGGTGGTCTGGTGCCAGGGGAGTCGGATGTCGCGACCCCGAAGGAGCAAGGCCTTGAGGCTGAAGGATACGGGCGGAGAGTACATCAAGGCGAAGATGAAGACGATGGCGCCGATAGAGTTCCAGAAGAGTTGGGTGCGGTCTCCCATGGCTTTGTAATAGTCGGGCACCCATTCTGAGATTGTGATGAAGCCCGGGGTGGATGCGCCGTAGTACTCGGGGTAGGAGAAGAGGTGAAGGCCGATGAAGAATAAGGCAATTGTGCCCGCGTGGCGGATGACGCGAACCGACTTTGAACCGATCTTCCGCGCGACTCGCAGTCTGTAACTGGGGAGCTCATGTCCGGGCGTTTCTGTCACTGGGGTCGTGTTGGGAAGGACGATGGAGAGCTCTGCGAGCAGCAGTCCTACACAGAAGAGAGCTTGGTCCCAGTCGCCGATGTGAACCAGCCAGAGGGTGGTGCCTGTGACACCGACCATGTGAATCCATCTCTTTGCTCGAGCAAAGATGAGCAAGAGGAAGAAGACGAGAAGCGAGCCCTTGAACTCGACGGGAATCGTCCAGAGATGCCCGTCGTACTCGCTCCCCTTCATGTTTTCGCGGTTGACAATGGGCCGGAACGGGTTCATCAAGTCCACCGTGGTCCAGAACCAGTGCTGTAGCTGCTGATCGAGAGTCGGGCCCCTGGGCGGCACAGGGGCTCCGGAAGGATCGCGAACGTACTCCCCTCCATACACCAGGAGGGCGATGATGAACGTCGAAGCAAAAATGGGGAGGTAGAGTCGGAAAGGGCGGCGGAAGGCGGAGCCGGCCAATGCGCTAAGAACCTGGTCCATCTTGCGCTGGTGAATCATCGTGAGGGTCTTGAGAGTGAGGACGAAGCCGGAGATGACAAAGAACACGGTGACGCTGGCGCGTCCGGAGTGAAGGGCCCTGATGATGGGCATTTGCCAGAACATTTGGTGGTCGGCGAAGCCGTAGCCCCAGCGAAGGTCTGGGAACCAGAGGTAGGAGAAGTGGAAGATGTAGACGACGAAGGCTGCGACGCCACGGAGGCCATCCAGGTACGCCGTGGAACCTAATTTCCTCGGCTTCGGGCGCTGGCTTGGGTTCGTTGTGAAGTAGTTGAAAGGGCTGACGAAGAACGCCGGGAGGAAGAGAAATACAAGAGGCTTCAACAAAAGGGCTAGTGTGAGGAATCGGTCTTTCCAGGTAAGGTCACCTCCGAGGTGGAGGTGTTCGTTGAGGAACGACGATACTGAGTTTCTTGCAGATCTCACTGAGATGAGAAAGGGGTACTCGTGCTTCTCAATGTCGATAATCTCGTCCAGTGACTCTGTTGACGGTGAAGCTCGGCCATCTTGCTCTGCGATGAGGGAGTGTCGCTCGTATGTGTCCCGGGGAGAATGCGAGAATGGATTTGTGAAACGCATGATGGCAAATTGAGAACCAAGTAACCTATTCAACGAAGAAGTGTTCCTTGGCTAGAGCTGCGGAGAGGGCAGGAAAGCAGTTATTGGGGGTTGAAAAAGGTGGTCATGGAGTTGTTATACAAGCCTCGAGAGGCTGCTGTCCGGGAAAGATCGCCTGCGTACGTCTCTTTCTGTACAAGTGCGGGATATAATAACACCCCTGTGCCTAATTGCCTTTCCTCCTGTGGGTGGGAAATGACGATGCACTCTTTACATTCGTATACACGGCCATACAGCAAGACCATAGCCGCATTAAACTTCGTGTTGGCTTATGAGCCGCGAAGCCTCTACAGGGAAAGCCCGTTTTGCATTGGTAAGATGTGGCAGGTTCGGCGTTAGGCGAGCGATGTGTGAGTGTGTAAGCCAGCCGGCATGACAGGACGGTGACTTCGGGCCGGCCGCTCTGCTATGTCGCGTGAACGTTGTTTGCGGCAAGCAAAAAGTGGCGTCCAGATCCAGCCTTTCTTGATCCAAAATCATTAGGACCGGGCACTTAATTATGATTTTAAGTTCCCGGCCAAGGTTGACGCTTTCGTTCGGACGGGCTGTGTGCACACCTCACGCCAAAGAGGTTGAAGTGAAACGCGAAAATGGAAATCGGCCTGTGTCATCTTGTCTCCTTGACAGGGCGGAACCCAGCCGCACCCCGAACACTCGAGTTTGACTCTCTGAGCCAAGACCTTTTTCGAGAGAGTTGTAACTCGTTACCGGGTTACAGTGAAGTTTTTTGTTACAGTAAAGTTTTGCAATTGACCGATAAATTCAACCCTTACAGCTAGGACGGTTTCCAACCCAAGGTGTAAAGACCGTGGATACCCCGGCCCTCGTCTTTCTCCTCATAACATCCCCAACTAATCCTGTTAAACACTCCACAAGTACTGTAAAAATGCCAAGACACAATGGTAGATTAGCGGCGGCCCAAAACGGGACGTTGGCTTGGCGTTGGCGTAATCGGCCGGAGGCGCTTTTTGTCTCACACATAGCTCGGCCCTGTCTCTAGCTCTTGCCGAAGACGTTCGCTCAACTCCAAGATCGAATTGCTAATCGATGGTCGTGGTTTAGATCTTGCAACAAGGCTTGATGTTTTCCGGAAACAAGTCATCGTGGCTCGGAGCCACTGACACCCTGACTTCTATCACGCTTGTTGAAGCAGCCGTTTCTCTCTTTTAGGCTCTCGGTCCTTCCCGCACACTGACATCACATGAAGGTACTAGGCTTTTGATTTCTCTGAGATTCAGCTTACCTAGCCAGCAGGTCAAAATCAGAACGAAAAAGACAGACACAAAGCAAGAAAGAAAAGGCTGTCATCGGGCCCTGATTTGGTCGTTGGCGGTGTACATTGGAACCCTCCGCCCGTGATTGAATCCGGACGAGGCTGGAACAGGCTTTCTGGATCAGTGAATCCGGGCTGCTTGGCCGGAGCCTACGATGCTTAATGCGTTTAAAGTTGAGGGGTCTGATCCGCTCCTTATTTCCGTCAGCCTTCATCATGGGCATGTACAAACGAAGAAGAAGAATAGCTTTGGCGAAACGACTCCATTCCTGGGTGGTAGATACGGCCGTACACACAAAGTCACGTGAATAAGCCTCCTCGACGGAGAAGGATTTCTGAGAAACTCTCGGACTGGAATCGCATTCCGAGTTACCTGGAGGCATCTTCAACATCAAGAAAATGTCACTCTCTGCGCGACGACAGTCCTAGTTTGATAACGACTTCAGAGTTCAAGGCATTTTCGACAGGAGAGATATTGAACAGTCAAATGTACTCAGACACAAGACGGCGCACGTGAAAAAACCTAAAAGGCAACGTGGCTTGCGACATAACATGCAGCCGCCTATGCGAAAGGCACACTGACGCTAATTTTCTTTCTGGCATTCGTGCTGCCAACCATCGCTTGGGGGCAAAGATATTGAGATCTGGTCAGCCGGCCGGATTTAGCATTTCTATCAAACTCAACTTGAGATGGAAAGGACATCATGCATCAGACCTCATTAGAAGCTACTAGTCCGCAAGGGCAGGCTTACCTCTCCTCTAGATTTGATCAGCCCCACGAGTTCAGAGACAGCGAGCTTCTTTTTTGGAGTTGACCCTTCCAACCATTGCGAGTATGGTATATTTATGTAACTTGCCTTGCTTGCCTTAGGTACGTGGGGTGGGGCGATGATCCTCGCGCTGTTACCTCGTTCCGTAGGCCAAGGTGAGACTAGGGTCGGCTGCCAACTTTCGAGCCGGGTCCAAGACATTAAGAGACGCCTCTCTGCCATTTGCGTCTCGCCAATATCTCATCCAAGAACAATCGTGAATCTAGGTCTTAGATCGCGATGACGTTAGTCACGGCTCTATCCCGCTGTTTCTAGTCAAGAAAATTCAATGCTGATGTTACTCATGGCAACTAGCTTTCAACGTTTCCCTTGTGTTGAGGCTGTTGCAATAATCTTCCGCTGCCCATTGAAGCTGCCAGTTGTCGTTTCAGAGACTTGTTCCAGTGCTAACTGCCAGATCTGGTCGCATCTTTGGATCTTCTTGTGGATGGGGTAAGAGACAGATTACCCGTTTGTTCCTCCATGTTGAATGGTTCAAACCGCGCGAACTGAATAGTAATGTCCACAACGATGGCAGTGGTGCTCTTAGGCTGGGGTTTGATTCGTTGAATACCTCGCCGTATTTTGGGCCTACAGAATTTCGATCTTCTTCCAATTTTAGACTACTATGAGAAGCCTGCGGCAGGAGTTTCCATCAATGAGGATGGAATTCACCAGTCGTACTTCAACCCAGCTTCCCAGTTTGAAATTGTACAATCAGGTAGTCTCATTTTGAAATTGAAAGGTCTCGAGACATGAGTTTTTAGCGACATGCTAGCTCATTGAAATGAGAACAGGATGCTTTATCTCACTCCAATGAGGATCGGAGGGCCCATTGATGTCATAAGCAAGAGGCAAGAGGCAATACGCCTGAAAAGGAAAACATCGATCTCCATTCGAGGCTGGCTTCAAACACTCGAGAGACTGGATTATTCAGACCTTGCCATGTACCCGATGTATACCGCACGACGTTTGTGAAGGAATATCTGACATAACGCTTGCTGGTGAAAAAAGTATGGGATTATTGGAAATGACTGTATTCTATGCCGTTCTACCCTAACGCCTTGTAAATTCCCAATCTTTTGATAACCTACATACGTACATGACTTTTACTTTTGCTGTTGTTTCCTCGTTGAGGGCTAGTGCTATGATCGCTATGGAAGACCTTGACGTAGGGCAGGGTGCCTCTACCAGTCTGATGCTGTTTGTTGAACTACATGGAATGTTCCAGTAGAAGAAAATGGACTGAAAGGCTGGACATGATGCTAGACAAGAGAATAGGGCTTGAACAGAAAGACTACTACTACGAAGTTGCAGTTGCAAATGCCACGCGAGAAGCTATGGCACGAATTTAGAAACTGAACAGACCACTGCGGCGCTTGCCGAGCGGGTAGATGATCAACGCGCTGATGAAGAGGCCAACGGCAATACCAATGGCAATCTGGATCATGGAGGCGGCGACGTTGAACACGACCGTGTTCACAGACTCGCCTCCAGAGTAGTGAACAGAGCTCGTGCCATTGACGGCGTGCGTCGAGTTGGTGATGGCGTTGGCGGCAGTCAGACCGCTCAGCAATCCTCCAGTGGACGCCAGACCTCCCGGCACCTGCGTGAAGATGGCCGGGATGAGCGTGGCCGCGGCGACGCCGTGCCGCAGACGCGAGTAGAGGTTCGCCAGGACGCCGACGGTGAGGGCGCCGAGGGCGTTGGCGACCTGCGGAGCGGCGCTGAAGCGCAGGCTGCTAAAGTAATTGACAATGTAGCCGGCAAAGGCGACGACGAGCATGACGGGCATCTGGCGCCATTTGGCCTGATACAGGATGCTGATGCAGAGGACGAAGAGGGGCACGAAGATGAAGCTGTAGTAAGCGGGGATCGAGTTGGTACAGCTCGTCGTGGAGACGGCGTTGCTGTCGAACATGCCGTAGAGGACGGCGCCGATGGTGATGCCGAAGCCGAGGAAGAGGGAGTAGATGATGGCGTAGACGATGCGGATCGAGCCGGGGACGATGGCGCGGGATTGGAGCTCGAGGGCGGAACACACTGGGCCATCAGCCGGCTTGTCCTAGTTTTTTGGTGCCCGTAGGCCGGTAGCATCCCCCGACACGTACGCAAGGAGCGCAGAGGAAAAGGAGGTATAGCTCGGGGAGGGTGGGAGGGGGCATGAGACACGACGGGGTAGGCGAAGGGCATCACTTACAAACTGCATATCCAGGTAGAAGCATGACGATGCCTCCCTGGGCCATGGCCGAGAAGCAAAAAAGCTCGCCGCCCTTGATACTGCCAAAAGCTCTGGCCAGGAAACTTACCAAGACGGTAGCCGTCACTTCGAGCACGTTGCTGTACAACTTGGAGTTGGCGGCCACGATGAGCTGCAAGAAACCGACGAGGCAGCCAAAGAAGAAGCAGAGCGGCAGATCGATGAGACGCGCGCCGAAGGAAAAGGGGGCGGCCGTGGCGCTGGTCAAACCGAACACGAGGACGCGGATCCACGCGTGAAACTTGTCCTTGGCTTTGATGAGCGTGTCCAACTGCTGGATGCCGTCGTCAACGCTGACAACGTCGTGGATGACCTCCTTGTAGACGTGGTGCGTGTCCCTGAGCTTTCCGAGGTCGATGCCCTGGGCGACGCGGACGATACGAACTTCGGTTGTGTGGGTGGAACGATCGTCAAAGGAGATGATCATGCATCCGGGGAGGTACAAGAAGTGGCCGTCGATTTCAAGGACCTTTGCCGTTGTGCTGAGATACTCTTCCAGACGATGCGTGGGCGCACCAAACAGCATCAACGCCTTGCAGAGCATGATGATATACTCCTGTCTGGAGAGCGTCTCGGCAATGTGAACAGTGATCTTGGCCTCCTCTTCTTGTCTGGCGAGGTACGCGGCGATGGAGTTGCTCGCGGTCCGCTTGTGCTTCGCCCGCGTCTTTTTGGCAGCCGCTTTGCCATCCTTTGGCGACTCGTCAGTCTTTTGCGTGTTGGGGTTTGCGAGGCGGGCGGATGCTTCGATGAGGTTGACGAGGGTCTCCTGTGAGCGGTTCGCGTCGTACCACTTCCTCTTCCCGGGCGTCGTCGGCGTTGCGGTACCCGAATTGGAGCCTGGCGTGCCGGCGCCCGGCAGGGCTCCGCCAAAGGAAAAGGAGGTGACGGAGCTGCGATTGTTCTGCCCGGACTGATACTGGCTGCCCGATTCCGCGGGCTTGTATAGCTTCAGCAGCTGTGACAGAACACTACCGCGATACTCTGTAGGTGCAGGGACGGAGTAGACGCCGTCGTACTGGCCGTCGTTGATCTCCTGCAGGAGATGTTCGGTGGCCTTGTGGGTCTCTGCTTCCTGGGCGTTGGATGGGCCGGCGCCGCCATCAGACGTCTCAGCGAGGCGCCAAGTGTGAGCCCTCACGATCTTGTAGGCCTCGTCGTTGAGGGCGGCATGGTGTTCTTGAGCTTTCGTCTCGGCCTCGTTAGATTTGCCGTTGAGTGGCTGCCGGGAGTGGAGATCTTGAAGAGCAATATACCCTCCAGCTCCTTCGCCTCCTCCGAGATCGTACTCGCTCGCGGTGGTAGTGGTGGCGGACTCGATAGAGTGTCGGTTGTCTCGGCTCGGTGAGCCAGAGTGAACATTGGCAGCCATCTGCCGAGCACGTTCTTGAGCAGCAGCTGCCGCCGACTTGGCTTCTTGGCGTTCATTGTCATCCGAGAGATGGGGCTCCTCTTTGGCAAAGGTAGCTACCGTAGGGATGGAACTGCCGGAGCCACCTCGTAAGATGGACGGTCTGGCAGGCTGTGTCGGAGCAAGCTTGGGTGTAGTTGGGATTACTGGTGGTGATGTCGGAGGCTTTGTCGCGGCCGCGTTGCTATTGAATCTAACACGACCTTTTTCTTTTCTTAGGGCGGCTGCAGCTGCGGCCTCGGAAGGGGTGCTAGTCCCGGCCGTGTCGGAGCCGGACGTTGGCTCGGAAGCGGATTCCGCCGGCCCAGCTGCTGCCGCTGAAGCCGAGCCGACGCCGCCGCCGGGCTCGAGCTCGGGGCCGGGGTCATCATCGGGTGAGGCCTGTGAGCTTCCCGCCATTGCATCGACGGTCAAGAAAACGGGCGGTTGCTTCTCCTTGGCGGCGGATCAGGAAAGAAAGCAAGATACAAAAGCCGCAAAATATTACAAAAGAAAAATTTGACCTTGTGGGAGCCAGAAGTGGATCGTGGGGAAAAGTATGGGGGAAGACCCCTTTCTTATGAATGAGTTGAACCGGGCCGGCGGTTCACGAACGTCGGCAGGTTGTCACCCGGGCCCTCCGGCAACTTGGAAAGATTATCATACCGGAAATACTTTCTCGTATCCATCAAAACTCCACTTGGGCCGAAACTGCTCCACGAGAAGCAGCAGATCGAATTTCCATGAACATGCTAGCACACCATGTTTTGGCGCGAGTTCGTTAGGGCACCAACTTCCCATTACCTAACAAAATCGGGGGATGCTTGCCGTCATTCGCCAGGGGGGCTCCCTGTGAGCCCCTGCGCGGCCTTGGCTTGCGGATGGTATGCAATATGGAACTATGCACATGTCGTCATGCAGTTTCCGTTTTCTCTTTGACGCGTCTTCGGCTGATATGCTGGGCCTCGGAAATGGTGATAAACCGCCATTTCGCTCGAGATGACACAATAACACGGAGCTGTCCACGAGGTTGCAAGAAAACTAGTGTGGTAGAACGGCCTTAGGGCCAACCCGAAGATCCTGCATAAGAGTTCCCCTCGATAGTGTGGTTCCCACTCGGAAGCACCCGATTCGCTGCCGCTTGCTGTCGTCCGAGCTCGGCCAACCAGATCTTGTTTATGTACGTATCTGCCGTAAATATCTGTTGTAGTAGGGGGTCAACACAAGGGTCTTCCCAAAACTCCATGTCCAGTCCTGCCGCCTCATCGAAAACCACATGTTCGGTTTGCGCGGTCTGCCAGGACCGCGGTCTAGACTCCAGAGTTGACGGTAGGCTTAGGTCGTGGTCCATGGAGGCCACCCCCTTTTGCAGAGAGGAACTTGGACCTCAGTTGCCTGAGTCATGTAGCCGATCCCCGCCTGGAATAACCGGCACAAACGGGTTTCAACTACACGTGAGCAAAGGAAATTTTGGATCAGAATCCTAGCGAGATGACGAAGATTTTCTTTCCGCATAGGAAACTGAGCGGCTGAATAGGAGAATGTCCTATCCCCCAGTCATAGGATCGACGGGCCGTCGGGAAGGAGTTGCGCTCGGAATACTCCACGATGAGACCAAAAACTTTGATTGATACGACTCACTACTTAATACATGTATGGAGAGGCGCTCGTAAAGGCGACTAAACCACATGCACACACCACAACTCTGAAAATTAGATATCGAACTTCGCCAGAGATGTGAGAATGCACATACAAGTTGAGGTCATGATTTTTAGAATCCTTACCGGACTTTGAACTGCCCCGAGGATACTTCTAGTTGAAAAATTCTTGTTCAGAGTTTGAAAAGAGATTGAAACAAGTCGAGGAATCCCTGCCCGGATCCTGGCCTGGTTAAAAACGTTTTTTGACGAAAATTTTCACAACTTCTGCTGACGACGATTGACTGCTCTTGAATACCTCACAGCTTAATTGTGACGGCGGAGTTTTTGACCCGCTTTACCACTAACTTCAAGCACTTGGGCAGTAGACCTATGGGAACTCAATGTTCCATACCCGTGTTTTTTCTGAACGCGTTATCTGCCTAGTAAATATTCCTATAGATGGCCAGTCACTAACCAAGGCAAAAATGCTCAGTACATCGATGGAAATATCGTTCATTTCAGATTTGAAAGTTCTTAAGACCAAAACAGACTACGCTGTTCTCATGATGGAGGTAAAGACCCGATGTATATGCTGCCTATCACTGCCATGGTAAATTACAACTAGTCAGACCACGTGTCATTTGTTCCCAAAGTTCTAAGATGAGAACAGCCTAAACTACGACGCAAAGTTCTGAGCTGAATGAAGATGGAAATTCAAGTCTCAGAGATACCTGGTCTTAGAACCATGACTTTTGGAGAATTGGGACCAAGAATGAGACGCATTACCAGTGCCAAGGCAACGAATTGAAGTCCTCATCGTCCGCTTAGAAATCTCGGAGGCAACTCACAAACATTTGATGACGAGTGGATCTGGCGAATCCTCTCAAGCAACTGCCTCATTCAACGACCAGTAATGATATCCTCTGCAATCTTTTCCGCCAACGCATACACGGCGGATTGGGGGTGTCCCGGAAGCGCGAATGGAAAAGTGCTAGCATCAGCCACCCTCAACCCCTGAACACCAAACGCACGCCCGCGGCTGTCGACAACCGCCTTGCCCGACGCGACATCCCCCTCTTTGCCCATCGCAACAGTTGATACAGGATGCCACACCTGCCCTACGTTGGCTCTGACATACTCTAGTATCTCCTCGTCGGTCTGTACCGCATCCCCGGGGAACGCCTCGGCGCCATTCTTGAATCCTGGAGTGTTGGCGAATGGTGAGGCCCACGCGGCACGAAGACGCTTAACGGCTGTGACAGCCAGCTCCACATCAGCGGGGTCAGACAGCCAGTTCAAGTTGATGACTGGCTTTGCTTCGATCGAAGCTGATGAGATGGTGACATTTCCGCGGGAAAAGACATGAGGGAGGTATGCAGCGATGGTCCCGCTCGTTTGCCCCGGAGCCGTTGAAAAAGATCCGGCAATGAACGAAAGCTGAGGCCAGTCCGAAGGGACCGAAGAAAGCTTGTCGCGAGTTTCTCGCGTAAGGCTGGCGAGAGTCGAGTTGGGCAGACGCTCGTGGGCTAGGAAGCCTGCGGCGGAACTGTAGGGTCCAGTGCCGGACTTGAGATACTCCTCAACGAATCCAGGATTGAGCGACGGGTCGTTGGTGAGGGATTGGGCGGAGGGCGTACTGACGGGGTACGCAACGAATATCTGAATTGGGTCCTGGAGGTTCTGTCCCACGCCGGGAACATCGGCGACGACGGGGATCGAGAGGGCTTCTAGCCGTTCGCGTGGGCCGATGCCGGAAACTTGAAGGAGCTGAGGGGAGTGAAATGTGCCCGCGGTGAGGATGACCTCTTTGTTGGCTGACAGGGTGTACTCGACCCCTTGGGAGTTGACGCTCACGCCGGCTGCTTGGGTGCCGTCGAACAGGATCTTGGTCGCCAATGTATGAGGGTACACAATAGTCCCCGTGTTCTTGATCGCCTGTTGCAGGAAGCTGCTCTCGCTCGTAGACCGCTGCGCCTTTTCCGGGTCGATCGTCGAGGGAACCCATGCGCCGTACCCAGCCAGCTCGCCGCTGCTGAATCCTTTGGGACTGATGCTCAGCCCGAGGCTCAGAACGACTTGCGAAAGCCAGGTCAGCGTCGGGTCTACCCAATTGTTCCACGAAACCTGTAGTGGGCCTCCATGCTCATCGTAGTCATTGGGATCGAACTGCACAGTGGCATTAGTGTTCTGGCGCTTCTCCTCGTTCGGCGGCGTGAGATTGATAGAGCGCTTGAAATACTTGAGCATGCTCTTCCACCGAAACGTCTCGTCGCCGACCCTCTCCGCCCAGAGGTCGTAGGAACCCTTCGTTCCGCGGTTATACGACATAGTGTTGATAGCCGAAGACCCTCCCAGCGTTTTGCCCTGCGCGTAGTGCACCCGTCGGCCGCCGGCGCCCGGGATCGGCTCCGAGACCAGGGACCAGTCCATCACGGGCTGCGGAGTGAAGTCTGGCGACGGGTCGATGAAGGCGATGCCCGTTAGCGAGAAGAGGGGCACAACGCTGTTGTTGCCGTTTTCGACTTCGTAGAAGCCACCGGCCTCGACAACGGCGACGGAGGCGGAGGTTGCGGCAAGACGCGATGCGAGAGTCAGGCCGGCAGTGCCGCCGCCGACAACAATGTAGTCGTAGCTTGCGTTGCGGCCAGGGTATCCAAAGGCGGAGGAAAAGAGGCGGTCTTGCGCGGCCGCGAGGCTCGCGAGGCTCGCGAGGGATAAGATGAGCGCCTGGGACAACATCGTGTGGAGGTCGGTTGATCCGCGGATATGTCAAGAATGGGCCAGACGTGTCTCTTTCAAGCACAATGGTTTGAGCTTTCTCGAGAAGCCCACGACAATGAGAAATGGTGTGGGCTCATTTTCAAGTAACTGCACCCTGCGAATCGCATCACTACGGGCGGGGATGGATCTTGAGGGCAAATATTTGATTTCATCGGGACGATGGTTCCATGCGCTACTGCTGTACGATTAGGCGAGCTTCTTCTAGCAACCCTGGCGATGGGTTGCCCGGGGTTGCTCCAAAGATGCTGTAACGTAGGCTCGGATTCCGTTGTTGCATCGAAGCGGCTGTCAACTTCGATAGTCTCTGGGCCCCTAGCAAGATGTCAGCACGACGTAGGATTTCCTCTCGGACTGGGTGACATGTTGGGGCATGAATGTTGGAGGAATTCAAGGGGAGGACGGGCCGTCGCTTAATGAATGGGAAGCATTACATTGCGTGCTGACAGACCCCGTACTGTGCTGATTCTCGGTTGCAATATCCGTACATGCTGCAAAATGCGGTCTGGCAAGTCGAGGCTACATGTACCTTATGGACCGATGCTTGTTGATCCTTACTTGGGTATGAAGATTCGAGGGATTTCAACCGCGTTGATTAACCAAAGAGGAAACATCAATTCCAGAAGAAAGAACCAGAATCATCAGAAAATTAGTAAGGGAATTTTAAGCCAAAGACAGATAGAAACAATGACGTGGAGTAAGATGAAGGGCCGTGTTAACAATGAACCAGCAAAATATCCGCATAGAATGGACGCAATTTGCCCGGTCTTACCGAATTCTTTTGGCCAACCATCTGCTGAGGGCGCAATGCACGTAAGCCATCAAATCCCTCGGCCTTAGGCTCAAAGCGAGAGGCACAGTAAACCAGTGCACACTTCGTCTACACTTCAACATGCCAGGATGCAATTCTTTCCCCTCCAACCCAAGCGATGCCATCACTCTCGGACAGCGAATTATCTGCGCGGCGGACTGAAGTGGGACATAGACGCCGTCCGCGTCATTTTCTTCGTCGAGGAGCTGTCACGGAGTTGACGGACCCATCCACCGGTAACCCGATACTACAAGGCATCCGGGATGATCGGCCGATGGCAGCATCATTGCAAGGTTGGGAGCATTACAACATTGCGGCACGGCCGGAACGGGACCGAGATCATGATAGACCGGCACCAGAACAGCATGTGCGGCTCAATGAAATGAGCACCGTTGTATTCTTGTTGCTCTTTTCATTGACAGTCGCCGGCCTCGTCATTGCAAAACTCGCTGCAGATGCTTTTCTTGCAAAGGTCCACTGGAGACTTCCATTCCCATCTCTAGGGTCCATCTTGGTCGGCGCGGTTCCAAAAGCCTCTGAAGCCCCGTCGCCGTCATCCTCGCCGCCGTGGTTCAAATCGGTTGCCGAAGTCGGTGGTATCATGTTTAAAGGCATTGTGACGGTTTTTGGTGGCAATTACATGATCAACAACGGTACTCGGTGCCTCATCGACTTCTTGCCTGCAGGATATATGCCACGGAGCCTCCTTAATAATGGCACTATTACGCAGGTTCTCACACTCATTGGTTTCGCCATCCTCCCGACCGCAACATCGGCCACGTTCTCCGTGGTTGCGCCCGGCAGCTTCTGTGATCCGAAGACCAACATCTTTCGCTTCTGGCCGCCTCGGACCCGGGATGACATCAAAGCGATGCTGGACGGTTGGGTTGGTCTCGCAGGTCTCCATTTCAAAATGGGAGGAAGTATGACGCAGATGGCCAAGTGGACTTGGACATTTGGAAGAGCATCCATGTGGCTAGTTGGCATCGGGTTATGGACGACAGTTGAGATATACTTTGGCCCATGCCGGTACTATCCTCTCGTGTGGAGATTTTGGTTCTCTGTGATGTCGGTTTCTCTGGTCTCGTGGTTCCTTGGCAACGCCGATAAGTTAATCGTAACCAAATGCAAGTCAATAGGGCTTGTGCACCTGGAGCTGGTGGCGTATCTCGCGGCCTGTTACGTCGTCAGATGGGCAGAACTTGACGGGTTTTGTTCGAAAGCGGACTGCTGGTAGATTAGGAGAGTTTCGCAGTGATATATTTACGCAGTCCCTGTTGTTCCTGTGGCTTTGCATACAAACATTTTCCTTTAGCCCGCCTAAACCTCAGTTGGTTGTTTTCTGTGTGTATAATTATGAAATTTTCTTAAGATAGCTTTCTGTTTTAGAGAAGACACTTTTGATGCGATGGGCAGGAATTGAAGTGATAAAAAAAGATATACTGTACAATCAAGGATTCATGCGTACCTCCGTAAGATTTCAATGTTACGTCAAAGACGCCTTGAGTGTAGGATGTATGCGGGATGTATACCCAGTTGGCAACGTCAACAGCAAAGGAGAAATCATGGACACATTTCGGCGATACCGACATTCAGGTAGAGATACGAAATGAGCGCAAAACGCAGGAAGCAACATCAATTAGTACATTTGGGCGGCGCATCGCCTCAGAGAAAAAGCATTATCACCATGACTCGCCATTGCCTTGGACATCACCCTGGCATTCTCGTGCACAGCTACAACTACCAGTCTGTCAATCAGGCCATCCAGTCCTGCGCAGCAATGGAATAAGCTTGGAAATCTCGGGGATTTATTGAGGGGAGAACGATAGAGGCATCAGGAGATTGGGTTCTACTATGTATGTTGGGTTCGGTCCCTGCTGACTATCGATGCAAGCACGTTTCGGAAGCCTTGAACTCCAATCTGCGAAGTCGCGAGAAACCCACCGCAAAGACGCGAAAGACGTCTTGGCACCTTGGTATACAATTACGATACGGAGCTCTAGGATCCGACCCAGGATTCAGGCTAACCTCACGAAGGTTAGTATTTCAGAGTGCTGACATGTCACCCGGCCGATTTTACGAAACTGAACCGGCTCCGGTCTAAATCCAGGTCTCCTGTCAGTGGACTTGTGAATAGCTTCATCCATCCACCAAGACCAGCTCTTGTTGAGTTACCATGGGTTATTGATAGTGTGAACGCTGTTGTACGGTTGTACGGGGAGACGCTATGATGAGTAAGCGATGGCACGTCATAAACACCTAACTCTCGCCGCTGTCGAAATAATTGCAGTCAAGAAAAGGCGGGGTGGAGCTTGGAATGCGCGGGGTTGCTGTCTTCATCGGCGTTAAAGTCCTTACAAATCGTACCTCGGCACAACTTTACGCCCACAACTACGTTATTGCAGCTCAAATCACCGACTATTTCATGACGTCCTGTCTTGCCTGATACTAGCTAGTCTCAGTATTCATCTCAAGCTCATAATCCAAGGGCACTCACTACCAGCGAAGCTCAGATACCTTTCAAAGCCACATCGTTCACCATGACCCAGAACAAGACCCTCATCTTCAAGAAGATCCCCACCGGTCTCCCGGTGGCGGGGGAGCACCTCACAATCGAGGACCGCCCGATCGACCTCAACGACGCGCCCGAGGGCGGCCTGGTCGTCGAGATCCTCTACGCCTCCTTCGATCCCTACCAGCGCGGCCGCATGCGCGAAGCCGGCAAAAAGTCCTACGCCCCCGCCTTTGAGCTCGACGGCCCCATCACGAACAGCACCATCAGCAAGGTCCTCAAGAGCAACAACCCCGACTATGCCGAGGGCGACCTCGTCTTCTCCCACACGCCCATCGCCCAGTATGCCCTCGTCACGCCCCAGATCCTGCAGCAGGGCCGCAAAGTGCAGAACCCCCACAACCTGGACCTCGGGCTCTTCCTTGGACCTCTCGGCATGCCTGGGTTGACTGCCTGGTCTGGTCTGCACAAGATCGGACAGCCAAAGAAGGGCGAGACCATCTTTGTGAGCTCGGCTGCGGGCGCCGTTGGTCAGCTCGTCGGGCAGATTGCCAAGCGTGAGGGTCTGACTGTGATTGGTTCCGTCGGTTCAGATGAGAAGCTTGATTTCATCACCAAGGAGCTTGGTTTCGATGCCGGCTTCAACTACAAGAAGGAGAAGCCTGCTGAGGCGCTTCCCAGACTTGCCCCTAACGGAATTGACATTTACTTTGAGAACGTCGGTGGGGACCACCTCGAGGCTGCTCTTACCAGCTTGAACACCGAGGGTCGGATTGCTGTCTGCGGCATGGTAAGTGACCAGCAGCTCGGTACGTGTGTTTTGATAAGACGCTAATGCATAGGACAGATCTCAAATTACAACACCCCCGCCGATCAGCAAAAGGGCATCAACGGTCTGATGCAACTCGTCAGCAAGCAGATCACCGTTCAGGGCTTCCTTGTTGGCAACCCCAAGTTTGGCCCCGCGTACTTCAAGGAGCACCAAGAGAACTTGCAAAAGTGGCTGTCCGAGGGAAGCGTCAAGTCCAAGTTGGCGGTTACTGAGGGGATCGACAACGCTGCCGATGGTCTGATTGGCATGCTTATTGGACAGAACTTTGGCAAGGCCATTCTCAAGCTTTGATAGGCCCCCACGACAACGTCTAAAATGAAAAGAATTATAGTTGACGAAATCTTCTTTGCCTTGCTTTGTTCCAAACTTCCATTGAGAACCCGACTCGATCCAGTCTAAGAGTACCGTGCGAAGCTATTCTTACCATCTTGATCAATCCAATTCACGCAAGCAGCAGCTCAACTCACTTTCCACTGATTTACAGAAGACAATCTAGGCCGACTCACTGTTGACTTTTAAATAGAAATCCGATTCCACCACGAGCGAAAACTTGCCTTCAACTTGGCTGCTCTACTGGGCGGTTGTCTCAGTGGTCCGAGGAGGGTAGCCATCAAGCCCTGGCGCCGCAAGGAGGTGAGTACCCAGAGCGAGGATTAAGGTCGGATTCCTTGAACTGTCCAATATCAGAAAACTACCTACTTGAATATGAGGCTTTAACGAAGCTGTAACGCGTGTACTCCTTGTTGACACTTTCCCCCAGCTCCCAGATAACTGCCACTTTCATAGACCAGCGAGTTACTTTGTTACCATAAGTCATCAGGGGCGCAGAAGCTGACAAGAGATAGCAGCTCAGGAACTGTGAAGATGTATTATTGCTTTGCTTGGAAGATCTCCTCATTCTTGATGGCAAGATCTTTCAATCATGCTCTACGGAAGACACAGTGACTGGAGAGTTGATGCTACTTCGGCTCACCCAACAGCAGTTTGCCCGGGCATCTGTTTTCGTCGTCTAAACACTGCACTAATGCAGCACTCACAATTTTTAATGTTTCACGCAGATCGCGCCGTTATTTTCCCTCCCGGAAACAAAGCCGCCCAAACCATTTTGGCTCAAGACTGGCCAAGAAAGAGGTTCCGCATATGCTGACATGGAAGTGGAGGTATCCAAGAACTCCGTGGGTATCAAACAGCCCGACAACAGCCAACTAGAGATTTAAGCTTAAAACTTGGCCAACGTCATCTCCGCAAGCAAATCCTTGCTCGCCGAGAAACACGAAGCGACAACCAAGACAACACCAAGAGAAAAAAAAAAAAAAAGGGTCTCAATCTTCCCACAAACTTTTCAGCTTACCGCATGTTTATTTGGGTGAAAGAGACGAACAAAAAAAGTCTTGGATCGCCCAGCCTCGGCTTACTTCGTTTGGTATCCCGTGCGGGAGGATGCCGGCAAGTTGTTTGCTCGTCGGGCTCGGCGATGGTTCTCGCAGCGCACTGCCGCATGTACACCTGGCTATTGATTGGTAACTTGAAGGCCACTTTTCTGCTGTTCAGGTGATTGTTCGTGCGGGGTTTCTGAGGATTGTTTGGGCTTAGATTGGTTGAAGAGCAACTCTTACGAAGTCAAGTTTCTCTTCTTTCTGCAACCGTTTGTTCGATAAATGAATGAAGACATCAGAAATTGCGATTGCGTGAAACTATTTGGCCCGTCAAAAACTTCAGTGACATGGGAGTCGGGCCTTCTCCTTCGGTTGGCTGGAGAACTCGGCCAGAATCGCTTGACCACCAACACCCAAGAAAATCCATCCGGAGAAAAATGTGGGTAGCGCTGGCCCTTCCAAGCTGCAGAGTCTCCATCTCGACCTCTCCCGTTCGTCTGTCAGCCTCCCAATATGACCTCAGCCAAGTCATCTTGCACTGATTAGTGTCTCATGTGAGGCCCACGATGTTGGTTAGCACATTTAGCTGGGAATGAGAAGTGAGCGAGTACAAAGCCGCACGCACCTGCAGCCACGTTTCCTCCAAGACCTTCCAAACCTCGGGTGATCATCCACTACTTTCTTGTAGTTTCTCAAATCTTTATCTGCATCAACATGGCCGAACACAGCACGGCTGTCGAGCCCACCATGGTCGAAAAGCAGGAGAAGCGCAAACAGCCGAGCGACAGCGGCAGCCGAACGCCGTCGTCGGTCGACAGCAGCCGTGCCGTTGACGAGAAACCAAAGTCCCCGACAGGTTTTTTGGGCTTCTTTGCCAAGATGGGCGATCTACCAGAATGGGGCTTCCACGGGAAGCGTCTCGAGGGCAAGCTGCTCAACTGGAGTATCGGATTCATTGCGTCCTGTGGCTTCCTGATGTTTGGATATGACCAGTAGGAATCTCCCTCTCCAATCCCCGAGAGAAACCCAGATCTAACCTTCCTATTAGGGGTGTTCTTAGTTCGCTTCTTACTCTCGATGACTTCCAGAGGAGCATCACCCTGATGACGCCGCTGGACCAGTCAAACCCTCTCTGCTGGCTCGATTATCCCGAAAACACTCAACGAGACTACACCCAGTGCACTGGCGATCCAAACACACAAGCCGCGGCTGTTGCTGTCTATCAGATTGGTTGTTTTCTGGGAGCTTTCTTGATTCTCTTCTACGGCGAGACCTGGGGGCGCAAGTCGTCCACGTTCTGGGGCAGCGCCATAATGATTTTCGGGACGATCCTGCAGGCCGGCGCTCACGAATACGGCCTGTTCTCGGGCGGCCGAATCATCGGCGGTATTGGAAATGGAATGGTCACGTCGAGTAAGATCAGTCGCGGCTTTGTTGATCGCAAAGTGAAGATCTAATCAAAGCGTAGCTATCCCTACATGGCAATCGGAATGTGCCCGACCCCATCAGCGCGGATTTCTCATCACTCTTTCTGGTGCTCTCATCTCTGGTGGCATCATGATTGCTTACTGGGTGGTAGGTTCCATGGCACTTTTTAACCCCGGACCTCAAGTTCAGGGACTAATGTAGCAACAGGATTACGGGTTTTACTTCCTCGAAGGCACCATTCGCTGGCGATTCCCGGTAGCATTCCAGTCATTCTTCACCATCATCGTCATGATCGGCCTCCTCTACCTCCCTGACTCGCCTCGTTGGCTAGCCATGAAGGGTCGCATGGATGAAGCCCGGGAAGTTACATCTCGCCTTCTCGGCAAGCCCATTGATGACGAGGAAGTCAACCTCGAAGTCAAAGCCATCCAGGAAGCTCTCGAAGTCCAAAGCCAAGGCGGAAGATTCAAGTATAAAGAGCTCCTCACCAATGGGCCGTCGCAAAACTTGAGACGAACTTCGCTCGGCATCGCTGCACAGTTCTTCCAGCAGATCTGTGGTGAGTGTATTTCTCCCTCTTTCTCTGCGCAATTCGACTAACATGTTATCATAGGAATCAATCTGATTACTTACTACGCTGGATTCCTATTTGAGAATTCCCTCGGCTTCGGTCCCGAACTATCTCGACTCCTCGCCGCTCTCAACGGGACAGAGTACTTCCTGGCTTCACTCGTTGCTCTCCCATTGATTGAGCGAACTGGTCGACGCAAGCTCATGCTCTTTGGTGCGTTTGGCATGATGGCCTCAATGGCGATCCTGGCCGGAACTGTGTCTACGGGCACTGTTGCTGACAATGGAGCCCCCAATCTCGAAACTCGCTACGGAGTGACCGCCACGGTCTTTCTCTTTGTATTCAATTCCTTCTTCGCCATCGGTAAGCTTCAAGTCCCTTCGAACCCTGAATTCCGTTTGCCTTAACACTATCAAAAACCAGGCTGGCTCGGAATGACTTGGCTCTACCCCGCCGAGATCACGAACCTCCGTATCCGCACCCAGGCCAACGCCCTATCCACCTGCTCCAACTGGCTGTCCAATTTTCTGATTGTAATGATCACGCCCCCCGCGTTTGCCAACTTGGGGTACCAGACATACGTGATGTTCGCCGTCTTCAACGCGGCCATTATCCCCTGCGTGTACCTCTTCTTCCCAGAACCCAAAGGAAGAAGCCTGGAGGAGCTTGATGTAATCTTTGCTAGTGCTCATGCCGACAAGGTGAACCCCGTCAAACGGGCCAGAGAGATGCGTCACGTTGAAGGTAGAGAGCTTGAGAACGAGTTGGAAAAGTATTTTGGCTCTAGCGAGATGGTCGAAGATGCTCGGCCCATGATGCGCTAAGAGGAGAAAGGATGATTCTGTGCTCCCGGACCACAAAAGCTTTTAACTTCATATTGAATAGCAACCTATTACACTCCTATATCAGATACCGGGGCCAGTTTGAGGGTGATGTGGAGCATGCCGCTTCTTTGAATGTTGAGTTTGTCTATGGCAAACAGACATTTAAATTTGATTCACCGCCTCAAACCCATTCAGCCTCCCGCTGCGTACATGCTGACAGGATGGTCATTGATCGGCACTTACGCAAATTGAACAGAATAACGGCAACTGCGGCCGACATTTACAAGCCCTCAAGTCCGCATCTGAACAAGAGCCCTTGCTTTTCAAGACAGCACGAGCTCATTCTCAAATCAGAGCCTTACATAAAGGGAAAAAAGTCGTTGCGTACGATGCCTGTTCTTTCTGAGCAACCGACTTTCTGGAAATACAACAAAGCTAGGCCAGTTTGCATCCTATTAAATGAACGTCATCTTTGTCCGAGCGTGCCTCTCATGGAGAATAGAGAGCATGTTATCGCTAAGAAAGACACGATGCTGCAGTTGAAAATGACTATTTCGAAAGTCTAGGAATACAATTGTCTTGTTTAAATTCTCTACTTCATACTTCCAATCCCATATAAGTAAGCTAAAATCATTGAATCAAGACGTACAAATTTGTGAGTTCTCAACATAGCCTTCAGCACCTTTATTACACCTACCCAACACCAGTCGCATACAAGCTTGCTTCGAACTCTAAGCAAAATGGTGTCCTCGGCTGATTCAGTCCGTTCACGTTTGCCTGTCAAGTTTTCTGACAGAGATGATTCCATTATTTCTGGTCACCCTGCAAGAAGCGTCTCCGGTCCTGTCCCATTGACGTCGACCAGTCCTACCCGTCAAGCACCTAGCACTACCAGATTTCACCTCGCTTCACTTCTCAGTGTACCGGTTATTTTCTTTTGGAACAGCCCGAAACGACTCCTCCCCATTCTCCCGGTATTCTTCGTATTTTTGTGGGAGAAGCTTGCAGATATTCAACACAAGCCAACCAAGCCATTCTACAACAACACCCCACAGGACTGGGCCACCATTTTCATATTCGCCTTCTTCCTTCGTTACGCCCGCCTATTCTGCAACATCTGGGGAAGCTGGCAATATAAACCAGCCCCTGTGCTAAAGAATGCAAGTTGGACTAGTCAAGACGTCACCGTGGTCCTCCCCACCATCGATCCGGATAACCCAAAGTTCGACGAGTGCATCCTCTCCGTGCTCGAAAACCGGCCTGCCGCAATCCTCATCGTGACCGTGGGCGCCAAGATGCGCGGTCGCTGCGAAGAGCTTGCCCAAGTATACCGCAAAAAATACACCTCCACAAAAATCGGCGTGAGCGCCATCCTCCATCCCTCGAAGCGTCGTCAAGTCGCCCACGCCGTGCCCCACGTCGAGACCAGGTTCACCATCATCGCAGACGACCATGTCTTCTGGCCCAGCACCAACTTCATACCCTCGATCCTAGCCCCCTTTGAGGATGTCAGAACGGGCGTGGTGGCAACCTACAAGCGTGTCCGTCGGACGACGCCCGGTGAATGGTCCATACCTTCCATCGTGAACCTGATCGGCTGCTTCTACCTGCTCCGCCATAACTGGGAACTGCGCGCCTCCAACGCCATCGATGGCGGCGTCTTTGTCGTCTCCGGTCGCACCGCCGCGTACCGATCCACGCTCCTCCAGTCTAAAGGGTTCATGGAAAGGTTCTGCAACGAGCACTTCTTTTTCGGCATGTTTGGCGGTAATCGGGGTCTGGGCCCCGACGACGACAATTTTATCACGCGCGAGGCGTACCGAGAAGGCTGGGACATCAAGTTCCAGCATACGGACGACTGCACGGTGGAGACGTCGCTGGGCGACGAGAGCGTGGAGAAGTTCTGGGGACAGCTGGTCCGCTGGGCGAGGACGACGTTCCGGAGCAACCCGTGCATGTTGAGGCGGGTAAGCGACGTGTATAAGTGGCGGATGCCCTTTACCTACTTTGCAGTCTACGGAGCCGCCCTCTTCAATTTTGCTCTCCTCTGGGACGCAGCTCTTTTGGTTTCTTTCTATCTTTCATGGTTCACTCCGGGATTCTTCTCGAGAGAAATGGGCCTGCTTGCGCTTTGGATCCTGTGGTCCAAGACGATCAAGCTATGGCCGCACATCCTCCGCCACCCCTCGGATCTTCCCTTGGTAATTTGTCAGATCCTCTTCGCTTACTTTCACTCCATCATCAAGTTTTGGGCACTCGTCACATTTTGGGACTACACTTGGCTGGGTCGGAACCTGGACGCCGTCGACGCCGAAGCCGAGAGGTTTGAAGACTATCTGGTCGAAGACTTCAGCTTTGGGTCTGAAGCAAGCAAGAATATAGGAGTCCTGTAGACCTTCGCTGGGCCCAAAGTATTGCTGTTTGGTTGGGGCGTTTCTGGACATTTGCCTTATTATATGGCCTTCATTCTAGATCAGCGCTTCGCTCAAAGCAACCCCAACAACCAACCAAATCAGTCAACTTATAAAATATCGACAATCCACCAACTAAAAATTGGCCTTAAATTGGGTGGTTGATTTAGCCGGATTATCTATAATCTCTCAAGCTATAGATGCTGACTACCCCCTATACATCCCTACAATCCATAGTGTTGAGGTGGAGATGTGTTGGGTATTCCCTAGTTAAATAACATCTATTTTCCCCTTTTAATTCACCGCTTTTCTTCCCCTTCTGCCAAAGTAAAGGGTGGTTCACGTAAGATGCGAATCGCTTTATCTCAGCGATTAGAGATAGGTTAAAGGAATTGATTAACTAATTTCATAAAAAGCCTCAATTAATCAATTAGGTTTAGGAACATCTTTAGTCACCTTGCCAAGTGAGCGCCGAAAAATGAGTTGGTTGCTTCGAATGAAGCGCTGTTCAAGATTTACTCTTTAGATTCCCAGAAATAATTTTTGGTATATGGCCAAACCTGCTCATTTTGATTTCATTAAAGTTTACAGCATGTAGTAGAAACGACTGTCAGTGCGAATAATGATCATTTGTCAGCTCATAATTCTTCCAATCTCGCTTTAACTTCCCAGGATGTTTGCCAGTGAACCAGGCCATTCCCAGCAGCATGCGTCAAATACTTAATTCTACGCGACTTGTTGGTATTTTCTTGTATGATGGATCAGAACCAGTCGACCTTACTCCTCGATTACGCGGCAGCTTGCAGATAGTTGCACAATGCCAGCGTCTTCCCGCGACTCCAATAGGGAAAAGAGCATGATGCGCCCGACGCTGAAGAGCGATGTTGAATCAGCCCAATCCATCTCGAGTTGTAATCTAAGAAAGTGCTATACAGTCCTGTCCATGAGAGAACTGCAGGTTAGTTTGAAACGGACACTTGTGGCTTGGGAGAAGCAAACACATTGATACTAGCGTAGCATCAAGTCATCCCGAAAGTCCTTTTTAAACGGCGGGCACAGTACACTCAAGTCTGCTTGACATCCTGCCGCCGTCACAATCCAGTTCTCTACTAGCGTTGTTGAATGAAACCTTCTGGTTATCTGGAAGGAATTGTGTCTGAGAGGGCGGGTTGATGGGCTTATTTGAAGAATGGCGTTGTTGGCATTTGAAAACTTGCTCACTCTATTCCATCCCGTGCGACCCATGTGTCATATTACTGAGGGGTAATGACGATAGAGAATAGTTTTTTTTTTTTTTTTTTTGTATTCTGGGTTCATTAACATTCAATCATACAAAGGGGGCTATGAATAGCCGATCTGGGTGTGAATTGGTAATGGAAGACATGACCATCTTCTTTTAGTACTGATCAGGTAGATGTCCAAATGATGCGAAAACCAGCCAAGACTGTCGTGGCCAGGTTATCCGAGCCTTGCGTCAATAGTCCCATGTACATCATCTGCATTGTACATTCTTGCCCCTTGCTTTTCAGCTTCTGCAGCCAAGGCGGGACTTCTAATTTCCATATAAGAAAGAGGGGG